AGGAACAAAAGAATTGAGTGGGTCAAGAATTGCATCGTGTTGGATCTTGAAGGTGGGCGGAGTTGAAAGGTTGGAAAAGAAAAGCGGTGAGGTAATTGAATGTTTGTTATGGGACAATCAGTTTGGAAATTTGACTCAGTATTTATAGTGTCGGCATCTCTCCCTCTCCCCCCCGTCGTAGCCAATCCCTTTCTGTAGGTGTGAAAATTTTCATCCAACCATTGTGAAAGTGTGTGTATGTCTGCTAATAGTGTACTACAACATTGATGCCGTCCTAGTTAAAACAATGGTAAATTAACCGGGACTTTTATTGTTTTCGTTAACATTTTTGATGATATTTTAGGATGGGAGAACACAAAACCACAAAAGTTTATTATCGGAACATTAATTAATATTTTTCATTTTGTAAACAACAACGTGGGCCCCAAACCATTGGCAATTCCAACTCTATTTGCTAACAAATAGTACCTAAGAAGTGGAGTCTATTTCTGTTGGAAAGAATAGCTCAGCTTTCGCCTCATGGAAGCTCCCTCCTCAACTCTACGAGTTAGTGCCCACAGAGTAATGGCCTCGAAAAGCTGAATAAGTTGACCAAACTCCAATTTCCAAGGGATCTATTTGGTCTCGTAACTTCGCTTCTACATTCCAAACTTTTAATGTTTAGCTACTACAACATCTACCAGAAAGAAAAAGAAAGATTTAATTAATCAAACCATATTATCATTGGGCCTAATTGGGAAGCAATATTGGACGCAAATAGTCGCCATACTGTCACAAAAGCAAAACCTCTATACAAAAAGCATTTTATAGCAAACTTGACAAAAAACGTGTGTGTGTGTGTGTGTGTGTGGAAAGCCTTTTTTTCAATTTCAGGTTCCTAATGTGAAGTAATTTCTTGGCATGTTCAGGAGAGTGTTAATGCTATTTTTTCAAGGTGCTAACTGCTCTAGAAGGACAGAGTATTTGAAAGCCGAGGCAGTTGGCAGTAAGTACAGAGAATCGTAAAACAAGGAGTTATGCTCTAATTAGAACATTTCTACAGACAAGCTCGGCGCCATTATTGCGTTTAATCTTTAAAACTGCTGTGAATCCGGTATGAGTATAACTCCGTTCTCACCTCCCTATTGTTTCCAAATTGGCCAATTTTTGATCAATTTGGGTCGTTTGTTTACCTACTAAATAAAAAGAAATACTTAACTAGTCGTATAATCAAAGCGAGGTTTGTTTTCTTTTTTTGTTCATAACCCTCATTGTAATCGTATATTATCAGGCTTTTCAACTTTATTGTTGATGGAAGAAAACATGTTTTTGGTACGACTGTGGCTTTGTGGTATAGCTCATGTTTTTCTCTAGTCCCACGGGGGAACGTCATTGAAATGGCGCCTTTTCCGACTTCATTCAATATGGAAAGTATATATCATTTAGGTTGGTTAATTGGGTGATAAGTTAGTTCGTAAATAGTAAGAAACACGTGCAGCGGGTTTGTAACATTTGATGTTTTACTGAGAACCTCCTTAAAATGTCCATATATATTCCTGCCATTGTGTTTTAATAGACGAGGAATCTTTCTTGGATACTAATCTCTTATTGTTTTGAGTACTAATTTGTCGCCATGAAATTACACGAATTCTATTGCAAAATTTGCTCAAAACTTATAAATACACCTGTCAAATATATTTAGGTTAAATGAACGCCTACAATATACAGATATCTTTATGTCGTTCTGTATTGGTGAAAAGAGCTCTGCCTAGCACTCAGGAGATTAATATTGGGATAATTTGAATTTGGTAGCACCACTTTCGCCCCCACTTTTCGTGTGTAAGCCACGGTAAAAATACAAAAAATCACAGTGGCTTTAGTGGTAGCGTTGTCCCCTCCAATTTTTTATCAACAGCTAACAACAACGGGGAGAGGTAGAAGAAAAAAAAAGGAAAAGAAAAAAGTGCAATACAATTTGGTAACACTCTGGACATCTGATTAAAGGAACAAGCACTCACAACAAAGCAATATCGTTGTACAAGCCCTGCATACAGTAGGAACACAAACCAGCCACATTACTAAACCAATATAGATAATTTATACTCGCTGCGATGGCAATCTTTTCATCTTTGGCGGGGTTTTTCAACCGCAACAAGAGAAGAATATTCATCACTTCTGCAGTCACATTTTCCATCTATATACTTGTTAATGAGTTTGTAATTAAAAAGTTTAGGAATTACCAAAATGCTTTACGACAAGAGTTTATGTTTAAGCAACAGATTAGACAACGGTTCATCCTGACACAACAAGATTGTTATTACACGATTTTAGCCTTGCTCCCAGTGTTGGCACAGCCAATAGTCGATGCATTACCGGTTGATTTGATAACACAAGCATTGAGGTTGAAAAAAGGTCAACAAAACCAGCCGCAAAAAGTTGTAAGCGGCACTAATAGTGAGTTGACTGCAGATAACCTTAATCTTTTGGATAACAACAACAACCCTCAATCGCAGTTGTCGGCATATTTGAACAAGAGCAAAGGTGAGTTGTGGAACTTGTTGAAGATCAAGACAATTACCAGGACATTGACTTTGATGTATTCGTTGTCAGGATTGTTGTTGATTAGCAGATTGCAAATGAACATTTTGGCAAGAAGGTCGTATTTGGAATCGGCAATAGTTATGGCTGGAGTAAAGAACCCAAATAATGACATTGACCCACACGAGAATTACATTATTGAACAGAGTTATCTTTCACTCAGTTGGTGGCTCTTGAATAAAGGTTGGGCCAATTTGAGCTCGTTGATTGAGAATTTGGTTATTGAGAAATTTGAAAATGTTAGTCCAAAGACAGAGATGGGGGTCATTGATTTTGAGCTTATTTTGACTGAAATCATTGAAGAGATTAATACTAATAACAAGCAGTTTGTTTTGGACAACTTGTTTCCTATTAAATACCCCGACTTGTTGGAGACTATATTGAATACCAATTCGGATGTAATACATCAGTTGGATGCTCCAGACTCAAACTTGACAAAGTTGATCAACGAAACTAGCTCAATTATGTCTGATAACAACTTGTACTTTTTTGACTTGTTGAATCAGTTGATAGTCACCAATTTGCATACCCTTACATCCAACCTTTCTTCAAACTTGTCCACCACCTCAAACAGCTTAATGATGAGTGATACATTGCCAGATCAACAAAACCAACAACTTCAGTCATCCAAAATTATAGAGTTGGACAATAAGCCATACAAGCTTGCCAGTTTCCTAGCCCAATTATCGGTCCAAAACGGTATTATGATAAATAATGACGATGCTGGGCCGGACGAAGAAGATGACTTTGAGGGCTTGATCAAAAGTTTCAACAATGGGCAGGGCCTTGCAAGCAATGGCTATGGTGCTCACGAACTTAGCGGGAATGTATACATAAACACGTTGAACAATTTAGATGAACTAGAGAATTTTAGTGCTGGTATATACTCAAATTTTGAGTGATTGCAAAACACCTACCTTTACAGTGAGCCAGCAAAATTGCTCATTATTGTGTAATTTTGGTGTATATAGGAAGAATAAAGGGTATTAACGATTTGATAAAGTGGATAAATCCGTTGACCTTGTAGTTGCCCTTTTTTTTGATTGTCTTCAAGGAAAGTATAGTATAGTACAGTACAATAGTAAAGGAGTAGTTTCAAATAAAAGTGAGTGAAAGGGAAAAAAAAAGTGTACTTTAAAAACAATTCCCTATTGAATATTTGCCTACTTGTCTCCTTTCTTACTTTTCACCCTCCCCCCGCTTCTTTATCATCAGGTAATCACCACAATTATACTAATCAACCATGTCATCTCCTAAAGTTATACTCGTATCATCCGATGATGAGAAATTTCCAGTTGAACAGAAAGTTGCTGAAAAGTCAATCTTGATCAAGAATATGATTAATGATTTGAACCCCGACGGATTGGCCGAGGACTTTGAAATTCCCACCCCAAACGTCCGTGCAAATGTCTTGTCCAAAGTATTGGAGTGGTGTGAACACCACAAGAATACCGTGTTTCAAGATGACGAAGATGAAGATGCCAAGAGATCAGTACCTGTTGAAGAATGGGATAGAAATTACTTGAAGGTTGATCAAGAAATGTTGTATGAGATTATTTTGGCCGCCAATTATTTAAACATTAAGCCATTATTGGATAGTGGATGTAAAATGGTTGCTGAAATGATTAAAAATAAGAGTCCTGAAGAGTTGAGAAAGACCTTTAATATTGTTAATGATTTCAGTCCGGAAGAAGAGGCTGCTATCAGGAAAGAAAATGAATGGGCTGAGGATAGATGATTGAGGAAGATTATTCAGCGTGGAGTCTTTGTCCTTGTCTTTGTCCTTGTCTTTGTCTTTGCTCGAAGCTTGAGTTATTTTTTGCTTTTGGGCTATTGTATGTGTATGCAAAATAAGAGGTGACGATAATGTTGCCACTTGTTGAATGTATGAACTTATCGGTTATTGGAGGAACATTTGTTTGTATGATAAATCACTCTTTTCTTACATTCTAGTCTATCAAAACTGGCTAACTGACTAGCTGACTGACAGGTGTGTTTGGTAGTTGTGGTAGTGTATAATGATCAAAAAACGTCTACCTTTTCCCCTTTCCTTGCACAAAACAAAAAGAACTTTTAGTGAAAATGGTAGCTCACAACAAATTTACTACCTTTTGTCAAAGACTAGACATTAGTGAGAGAGAGAGAGAGAGAGAGAGAATAAGTAACTGTGAGTTGAGAGTGTATTGTAATAGTTAATCAATATTTTTTTTTTTTTGAAATTTAAAATTTAAAATTTAATTGCAACTAAATATATAGTACACACTGTTTTGTTTTTTAAAAAAGCGCCAAAATTATACCTCATTTCGGCATTGAATTACAAATATTGTTACCCTAGATAGCATTATACAAGACAAATGTCACTAAGTCAGTCATCAGACAATGAAGAAAGTGGGAATGCAAGTTTTGTAGAAGATGTCAGACCTATAAATAACAATAATACACTGGATTTAGAACAGATGTCGCTCGAACAGTTGAACCAGTATCAGGAGGAGATTACCAATGAGTTTAAAACTTTATCCAAAGACTACCTCAACAAACGTCTTTGTCGAATAAATGTCATGTTGGAGAAACTAAATAGTCTGATTAAATTAGCCAACGCTAATGACAAGAGCTGGCTAAAGATTTACAATTTTGAAATTGAAACCATCAATAATATAATGACCAACACTGAAGATCTAATCATGGTGAACAATGGAACTATTCCTAATAAACCAGATTTACTTAAGTCAATCGATGAATATGAAGAAGAATTGCGAGAGATTTTTTCCAATTTGCAAAGTCCATTTGATTTTGATGATACGTTTAAATATGATAATCGAGAAATATCAAAGAAATTGGACAATGCCCATCACCATTTAAGTAAATTACCATTCCCATTTTTGTTTAACCAAAGTTTCAAACCACATAGAGATGAGCTAAAGAGTATAAGTCTGGAAAAGGACTACCAACTGAAGTTGATACGAAATAATTGCCAGAATAATTCGACAATTGTATGGAAACAGTATTATTCGAAATTGGCCCAATGGAAAAACAAGTTGCTTAACGACACACAAGCGCAATTAAACCAGCTCTACAAAGACTATCATCATTTAAATGAATCAAGAAATGAAGATTTGTTGGACCGATATTATTATCGATCGCTTATATCTCCACAATATCTAATGGAAACGATAAATGACAAAATCAACATAACCAATACTGATGACTTGGATGCAGTGATAAAGACTAATCATGATTCAAATTATGTTGAGTTGGATACGCGATTAAAACCGAAAAACAAGATTGAATTATCAATGATACGACTAGAAGATCAACGTAATGGTCGATTAGTTGAAAATACTCATGCTGCTATCAAGCGAAGATATTCACAAGCGTTTAAATATGATGCAATTGCTATTGACCAATCAAAGATTGACGATGATTTGCGGCTAATAAAACGCAAGATACGCCACCAAAATGAAAAAAGACGGCAAGGATCGACAGCCGATGAAAATGACAATGTGTATCAACGCTCGCTACACGACTATTCCGAAGAGGATAACGATGATTATGATGAAGACGAAGACGAGTATGAAGTAATTTTAGAGGAATATGATGTTGAAGAAGATATGTCACCAGCAGAATTAGAAGAACGAAAAGTTTACAAAAATGTATTGGGCAGTCATGACCCTAATGCATCCAAATTTAGAATGTTGGAGTTACCTCCATTGGAAAATTTCCCCAAACTATAAATAAGCCAAGGATAATTTTTGCTCTACTTTGCTATACATATTATATATATATATATATATATATATATAGACTAATCCTTTTCCAACAAGATACTAGCATTTTTCAAATTAGCTTCTTCAATTGTCTCATCTAAATTCTCAATGAATTTAAAAGACTTATTTGAACTGTTTGAAAGAGTAAATCTATCCTCTGGACCCAAACCGTAATCTTCTGGATTCTGCTGAAGAACAGATTTTAACCATTGGAATAATACCACCACGGTATCATCAAGAAGTAATTTCCGAACAAGTCTTTTACCATTGGGGAAACGTATTTGAACTCTTGTCGTTGGCTGTTCTGCTGGCTCCTTGTGCTCTATTGGCTTTATTGAATCAAATACATCTTCCTCAGTTTGAGCAGTGGGTGGAGGCAATGTATTTGCCTCTTCATCGTCGTCACTGTCCAAATTTATAGCATCGTCATAAGTTTTTCCACTCTTGCCATTATCCAACACACTTTGTTTCATGGCCAATTCAATTTGTTGCTCCTCGCTCAAGCTTTCCGGATCAATTCTTGTTTCGTGTTGTACTAGAGGATTGTTTGAGTCTGGATGCAATGAAAACTTATCCAAGAAATCAAATACTTCATCTAACCACGTTTGTACATCTGGCACTTCCCCGTCTTTCCATTTACGTACACGTTCGCCCGTAAGAGGATCCAAGATTCCCAAATGCGGGAACCCATCCACATGATAAAAGTTTACATACGATTCACCATCAAATGAATCACATTGGTACTGCAAAAAGATGAAACTTTCCTTAACCACTTGCTTGATTCTTGAATTGGACCAAAAATCACGATTAAACACTTGAGATTGAAATTCTGACGAGTCTTGTATATTAATCAAAATCCATTTATTTTCTTCCTTGGCTTTTGCTCTAGCTTGGTCTAATGTCATAATGCTTATGATATCAAAAGGTGGTCTGAATAAATTGGCTAGTCTTCTCTGGGTTGAAGTTAATTCGGAATCGCGATTCTGTCTAAGTCGCCTCCTTCGACCAGCAGCTCCGCTATGGCTTCTAACAATTTCCTCAATATCTTCATTACCCTCTTCGTCAGAATCTAAAATCTCTACTGTGTTACCTCCATATTGTGCATCTGTATAATCCTCGTCAATGTCGTCGTCATCATCATCATCATCATCATATGCATTGTATGAGTTGATATTTCTGTTGTTAAAATCAAAGCCTTGATGAAATATGCCCTCTTGTCTTTGACCAAATATATCAGGTGGACGAGGCATTTGGCTCATAATGCCACCTCCAAATCCTGGAAAAGAGTCGACTAAAGTCTCATGTCGATGCACATTTGCATCTGCTTCACGCACATCATTGCCACCGTATGCTTGTTCTTGTAGTTGTTTGGCGTAGGCTTCGTCATCAATGTCATGACTGCTCCTATTGTTTCTATTTCCTTGATTGTTACTGCTTCCTCCGTGTTGTCCAGATTCCATATACAATGTCACGGCTAATTCGAGATCGCCACCAGCCACTTCTAAGAACTGTGTTGCAACAGATTCATCTTCGACACCTGTGACTGCGAGAAATGTGGGTACTTGATCGTCCATTGAGATAGGTAATTGAATGCAAGGTGAGGGAAAGTGTTTTGGGGGCTTGAGTGTGATTATTCAACGCTATTCACTAACTAGATCTGTTTCTTGTGTTGCAAAATCTCAAATGGCAAAATTGTTTCTTTCTCTTTTTGCTTTTTGATGCTTTTGAAAACATTCTATACACACATACACACAGTTTTCTCGTTTTTGGATAATATGCAGTACTGAATAGAAATTGGTTGTGCAACCCTCTTGAACTACATAGGTATGCCTATATGATTTGTAATCTGAGGTATTTGGAATTTACATTACCACACTAGTGGTGATATCCGTGGAAAAACAAAACATCGCGGTTGAAACGCTGATATTGTTAAGCTGTTGTTGTTGTGGTGCTGACAAATTTTGACGTATGGTTGTTTGTGTCATTTTTGCGGAAAAGTCAATTGGTTATGATCCTGATAATAGAAGATAGTGGAATAACAAAGCCATGACGTGATCTATACAACGGTTGAGGTGATGTTGCCAGTCTCGTGAAAGTCCGACCCTCAACATAACTAAACTACCTTTGACGTCATAAATACTAAAGGTGGATGACAAAGCTGTGCTGACAAATGGGAAGATATCGCAAAACCACAAGGCATCGGAAAAAGTATTTGGTTATGCATTATTTGCTGCATGGCATCAGAGTGGGCTGTTATAAATAGAGCTCGAAATTTCCCGCTGGTGGAATTGACGATGGCTCATATATACTTTACAACACACGCATACTCGGACTTACAACCATGACAGACAACTCAAATATTGTTAAAATTGACGCTTTAGGCGAAACCAAACTATTCCAACCAATTAAGCTCGGTGCTAATACACTTTCTCAGCGTATTGCTCATGCACCAACTACTAGACTTAGAGCAACTGAGGACAATGTGCCCACAGATTTGCAATTGGAGTACTACAGAGACCGAGCACAAGCACCAGGAACTTTGCTCATTACAGAAGCTACATATGTCAGCGAAGGTGGGATTGGATTACCTCACACTCCAGGGCTTTGGAATGATACCCAAGCTAAGGCTTGGAAAAAGATCACTCAAGCAATTAGAGAGCAAGGATCTTTTTCTAGTGTTCAATTGTGGCATTTGGGACGTACTGCATTTCCAGAAGAGTTAAAGAAAAGAGGATTGCCATTTGTTGCCCCTTCTGCACTCTACGACAGTGAAGAGATGGAAAAGCGTGCCAAAGCGTGTGGCCATGAATTGAGAGCATTGACTAAACTGGAAATTGAGCAATTGATCAACGAAGACTTTCCCAATGCAGCTAGAAAAGCTCTTGCTGCTGGGTTTGATTATGTTGAGTTGCACTCTGCTCACGGATATTTGTTGAGTCAATTCTTGAACCCTGTTAGTAATCAGAGAACTGATGAGTATGGAGGATCCATTGAAAACCGTGCTCGTTTGTTATTGGCCATTGTTGATAAATTAATCCCCATAGTTGGTGCCAACAGATTGGGTATTAGATTTTCGCCATGGGCTACTTTCCAGGTTAGTAAACCGGAAGGAGCAGAAATCCATTCTTATATTCTTCAGGAATTGCAAAAACGTGCTGATGACGGAAATGAGTTGGCCTATGTGTCCTTAGTCGAGCCAAGAGTTTCTGGTATTGTTGATGTCAGTGCCGAAGACATTCATGGGTCCAATGACTTTGTATCCAAGATTTGGAAAGGGTCACTTATTAAAGCAGGTAATTATACTTACAATGCACCCAAGTTTACCGAGTTGGTTCGTGATATCGATAATGATAGAACTCTCGTTGCTTGGTGCAGATTCTTTACATCGAATCCAGATTTAGTGGCTCGCTTGCAAAATGGTTACCCATTGCAACATTATGATCGTGATACCTTTTATCAACCATATAACTGGGGTTATAACACATGGAATAAGTATGACGAAACTAAAGAATACGATGAAGAAGCCGAAAAGAAGAGAGTTGGAAAGGCATTGGCTTAGAACTATTAGATTTATACTTTAGACTGCAAGTACGAAAGTTAATAGACAATGTATAGACAATCTTAAACTCATTACCTATCCAGTGTATATGTTTGGTGAAGAATGTACTGCTACTGTGGCTTCTACACTGTTTTGGCTCCACAGAATTTCATTCCCCTTTTTAGAAGAAGTCGTGTGACTGTCAAAGCTGCAGAAGAACCATTCCAACAAAATGCCAAATACAAACAAAAAAAAGAACAAGAAAAAGAAATTCTCTGCAGATACCCAGCAATTTTGTTGGGAAGTTTGCTGTTGAGATGATTGGCTTTTATGTTCTAGATATTAGTTTATAGAAGTCATTTTAAGGTGTTCTTAGGTGCTGTTGTAAGTAATAATGTTCTCCTCTGCTTCTAGAATGTTCGAAAATGAGTTTGCTGCTTTCCTTTCAAACCCCTCCCAGTTTATTTCTTGTATTTTATTTTTCTCTTATCATCAGTGTCGTACATTAATGTCATATATTATTGTGGTACGACATTGAGGAGTCATACATTTGCCAAAAGAGATACATAGAAAGAGAGAAAATTGTTGAGAGAGAGAGAGGTCCAAAAAAAGCAGAACAATTCATCGGTTATAGCGTCTTCCTTTCATTTACACTTCCAGTCCATCACCGCAAACCACATATAAACGCACATTGAATTGACATATTGGTTCATTACTATCAATTACATAGATATACAACTACACTACATACATACACCAAAGCTGCTACATCATTCATCCAACAAAGCCAACGCATCAGATCAAATCACAAACTTAGATTCAACCAATTGCCCCTATTTTCAAACCTAATCTTCAAACATCAACAACTTACTCCACACCTGTCCCTAATAGCATCTACTGAAGTTTCACAAGTGAAGACACCACATCACAACTCAACCCAACTCAACTCAACTCAACTCAACTCAGTCACTTAAACACTTTGCATACTTTTTTTTTACTTTTCTTTTTGACTTTCACAGTTTTTAATACAAACCATCTTGTACCAATTACATTTATGTTCAGTTGATTATTAGCCCAAACATATAAATTCAACCTTAATTACACAATCCTTAACGCCTACTGTTTTACGACCATTTGTTGATCCTTTTTTATCCCGTATTTTTTGTTTTGTTTTTATCTTAATTATTTTTTTTTATCAAGTTCCATCACAGCATTTAATAACAGCATTTCTGTTGCTTACTCCCGAATAGCCAATACCTTCACCAAAGTCGAATTTTCTAATGGAGCAATTTGAAGAATATGACAAAGGTAAGCTATTGAGAAACAGATACATTAAAGTTAGCGACATCAGTGAGGGCTCATATGGGTTAGTTTCTGTTGCCAAAGATGTCAAGAGGAATGACTTATTAGTTGCAGTTAAGTTTATATATCCTGTTGATTATAAGAAAGGGTATGCCAAGGGTCAAACCCAATCAAGGCCATCATCAAGCCCGGCACGATTGAAATCACCTCAATTTGGATCTCCCAACAGGCATGATAAGAATACTATATTCAATAGTTTGTTAAATGAGGCGCAAAAGGAAATCAAGATCCATAAAATTTTGGGCGAACATCCAAACATTTCGCAATTGTATGATCACTTTGATTCATGCCTAGTATTGGAGTTTTGCTCAAGAGGTGACCTTTACGAAGCAATTCATAATGGGAATGGTCCAGTGACCACCCAAGATATTAAAGACGTTTTCCAACAGATTCTTAATGCAGTAGGTTTCTGTCATTCGAAAGGAGTATACCATCGTGATTTGAAACCGGAGAACATCCTAATTGCCGAAGATTGGAGCATTAAGTTGTGTGATTGGGGCTTGGCCACTACCACAAGAATTATTTCGAACAGGGACGAATTTGATGTTGGATCGGAGAGATACATGGCGCCAGAATTGTTTGATAATGAAATTGAGTCATATGATGCTTCCATGATTGACATATGGTCAATTGGTGTCATTTTATTAACTTTGGTATTTCACAAAAACCCTTTCCAAGTAGCCAATTATTCGGATAAGAGATTTTTGCAATTTGCCAGCAACAGGGAAGCATTGTTCGATATATTCTCGACAATGAGTGGGGATTTATTTTCAGTGTTGCGATTTTGTTTGACCATTGATCCAATGAATCGTGACTTGGACAGCGTTTCTAAAGAATTGGACGCATTGAGGTTTTTTACAATTGATGATGAGTTTGAGTACGAATATGACTACAATGAAGGCGATGATGAACAAGAAGAAGGAGAAGATGTGGAGGATGTTGCATCGGATGAGGTTGACCTTGACGATGAATATTTGTCTTATCGAAATGAAGATGGCGTCAAGTCTCAGTCACATCTGGGGGTTGCAGAGGCAAAGACTGATAAACTCGTAGATGGGGTTGCTTCTGCTGAAAGGGACAAGCGAGTCAGTTCACCACTTTCGAGATATGAAATTCCCCACAACCACAGAGCCGACGCTCTTTTATCCACCAACACAAGTGCCAAGCCAATCCCAATCAATACCCATGATTTCAAATTTATACGTAACACCAGGAAGCCTTTAACAGTTGCATCATTTAATCAGAATGCGCAGATGAATAAAAGTACAAACAGTAGGCTTGGCAATTTCAACAGAGAAGATTACTTCACTCCAAAGTCCGTGTTTAAACACTACATGGACAAATATGGGGATAAAAAGAGAAGCAATCAATATCAATATCAGAATTCTCATCAGAGCAAGAATTGGAACGTTAATGGAAATGTGGTTGATCAAAAGAGACCACCACAGTTGAGGAGAAAGAGAACGTGGAAAACGAATCAGAGATACAGACCATCAGCCCAAACTGCACACTTGAACAACAACAACAACAACAACAACAACAACAACAATAACAATAACAATAACGGTTACGTCAATGGTAAACTGGGTATAGGTCAACGCGATGAGTTTCCTCGCTCGGTTGATAGGAATGGTGGTAGAAGATTGTCGGCTAATTTGAATTCTGCATTTCTTCCATTACCGCAGCCAAACTCCTCAAGTTTCAACAGTACGGCAAGCGTTCAAAATGGTTCGTTGTCAGCACATTTATCGAATTCTGGCAAGTACATTCCGCCATTCCTTCGCTCACCCAATCGTCAACCACAGAAATCGCCACTTGTTGAACCCTTGACTGAGGAAATTGATGATTTAATCTTGAGTAATGACGACGAAGTTTTCCACTTGGAAGATGATTATGTGGCTGATGCAGGAAAAGAAAATGTAGCCCCAAATGGAGACCATTTAAAGACTGGAAGCATTAGCGATAGTGACCGTCCTGTTTTTCCAATTTATAATGACAAGGTTAAGGATGGACATGATGGCGTCAATGGAGCAAGACAAATTAACGGTAACCGTCACTTCAATAGCTCAACAAACGATCAAAAGGAAGTGAAATCATCACTTTCCAAGCCATTTCATGAAACTTCTACAAGCAGTAGTTTAGAGCATACAAATAATGGCAAATATGTGCCTCCATTTAGACGCCATTCAGTCTCACGCACAAATGCCAATGGTGCGTCAACTGGGACCGGTGAATACAATTTGAGTAATCTTTCATCCACCACCTCCCAGAAAAAGTCGATCAATTACAAAACTCGCAACTCGCTTGATGGGTTTTCAAGCGATGGCTCAAATGCTGGACGTAGTTTTAATAGTTACATGAGCGGTGGTGTTGGCAGCACTCCTAAGAGCTTGACTGGATTCATGAATCATAATGGAGCGCAAGGTAAGACTATCCACAGTTATATGAATGATTCATTAAAGATCACTAACCGTTCAGCTAATGGTACTGATAACAAAAGCCGCGGTGTTGCTGGAAGCAAATATAGTAAAGCAATTAGTGGCCGCAGTGACAAGAGCGACAAGAGTGACAAGAGTAGTGGATATGATGAGAGCAAGAGCGGTGATGACGTCAGGGGAGGTGGCGGCAATAGCGGTGCCGTTGAAGTTGGTAGTTTTAATGACTTATGGTTTGGTGGCCAAAAGAAAAACTGGAGTGATTACGATGACTGATATGAGCATAGTTGTTTCAAGGATCAGCCCAGTTTGTTTTTTTTCTTTTGGTGTCATTATTAGCGTTGTTTATAGTTAAATATGCTTCTAATGTTTAGTGAGCGTCTACGCTTTTATTTTTCAATGATTAACGTGAAGAAGTTGGCTTCTGTTATTATGATGCTGAGCCCATCTAAGGGGGATTTATCAAGAGTTAATCTCCCAAATACAGTCAATAAGGATTGCATTAGATAAGCTTCAATGAGAGATGACTTTTGTAAAGCACCCAATTACCTAGTTACATGACGCACAAATTCATCATGGCATCTTCCATGCATATTTCCACAAAAAGCTCAAATCTCTAAATCTTATCTGAAGTGAATTGCTAGGCTAGGCAATATGTATATATACTTTGTTGGTTTGTTTGTGGTTTCTTTTTTTTTTATCGTCTTGCATTTGGGGTGGGCACTTCTATAGGTTTCTCTATTGCTCTTGCCCAAAATTGCCATCTGTTTACCCATTTTCAATAGTCGTTATGGATTTTACTCAACTTGGAAGAAATATCTACAAAAGTCAGCAAATATGACAAAAACAAAGTATTCTAACTCACCATCCTTTTGGCGGATTTTTATTTACTTTTTTTTTTTCTTTGTTTCTTTTTACGTCTATTTACTAAGAAATGAGGAGAGGAGTGATAGGAAATTATGGATTTCCCAGGTGATACTCTTTTCTCTTCTCCCCAAATTTGTTAAAAATGACTTTGACTGATTCTTATTAGTTGGGGAGAGAGAGAAACTTTTAAAAAAACTCAAAAATGATTTCCCCATCCATTCTATTAACTTCTTGTACGGAGATATCATTTCTTTTTCCACATTGGCTATTATTTTCGAAGTTTGCTTCTACATTCTAATGCATATTTCCAATTATAATTTCGTGTTAATTTTTACATCTAAAATAATATATTATTGTACTTCTGATAACTGTAGCGTGTGTGAATTATAACCAAAAGTTTAATAAAAACATATCACACAAACATAAATTCCACAAAAGCTTATTCTTTGATGTATAAATTAACAAGGAGAAAAGGCAAAGGAGTGTTGAGGTAACAATAACAAAAAAACCCAAAACATCACAAAACAAGCATAAACAAAGACATTTATATCACAAATGGGAAATTAGTGTTTTTCCACAAACAACGAGCAACACCTAATCAAAACAAGGAAGTGAAATTATAGAAATGTAAACAGTGAAAGTCTTCTGGCCCAAACTGGTAGCACAATAAAAGTAAAAGCACAGCTAAACAGATTTGATTAAGGAAAATGTCTTGGGTTTACTCATTTGTATGATGGGCAATAATAACTTTTCTACAGGTGATGAGGAGTGTAATGGATATTTGTGCTGAGTTGATATATGGAATACAAGGTTCTTTAACGTTCTTGTCAAAGTACACGACTTATTAAATATGCGTACAAAATAGTTTTGCGACAAACCTAGAATGATGCAGGATATTATATAGAGAGGATTACTAATGTTCAAGAGTTAAGGTGTCTGACCTCCTAGTCATTTATATAGTTTAGGGGTTTATTCTACTTGTGTTATTTGTGTATTGATGACTTATAGAGAAGTCATTCATGATGAATTCAATTGTATTTTGAGGTCACGCTAATGAACGATCTGAGGGAGTTCTAAGGGCTAACATATGTTATGAAATGAATATAATTAGGGAAGCAAACATGGGGTTGAGATTTATTTATATAGAGAGATAATGATAATAATAACCATATTGAGTTACGCTTATAATAAATATCTTCTGCTACTCCAACAAACAACGAATCAACTGACAACACATTTTAACCCTAAACATTATCTGAGGGTCAACTCCAACATGCTGTGCAACCACATTCCTTTTTTTTTGGCTTATTTCCGTTTAAGCCAAAGCTACAAACGGCTAAAAAGATTTTTGCATGTGTACCCTTTTAGATTACATGAAACTTTGGATGCAAGCACTTTGTCTCAACTGTGTTGTTGTCCATTGAATATACTACTGTATGCTTTAGTCTGAACTTTTTCGAACCTTTGAGTTTTATTTTTTTTTCTTTCTTTATAGACTCTTTTACCAATAGCAATGAAAACCAAAAAGTCTAGGATACAAAAACACAACAGGCAACTTCGTCACAAACAAAAAAACATTTTGTTTTCTATTGTCCTTTGTTGCTATTAATTTTTGTTTAATTTTTGTTTTACGATTTTCAGGATTCCTTGATCCATTTTGCGTGTTAAATTTCGACTCAAGGTTTAAAGGCATATCTTTCCGCCTCTTTTTAGATTACTTTCTAATTGAGTAAACAAAAAAAAAAGTTTATTTATCTATACTTTATTACAAAAAAGCTCCTCGTATTTTCTTTGTTACTCAAGAATTGTTTGGGTAAAAGCCTAGCCCAGAAGATTACTTATATATATATATGACACAGGATATGAAACTTTCTACATTTTAATAGATTTCTTTTTCTTCTTTTGAAAATATTTGTTTCACAATTTTTAGCTACCTAGGGCAATTATTTACCAGAGTCAACATATATTCCCCCAACTTTTGGTATCAATTTTTGTTTCATAGTTTCAGATAGATAAAATCTATTACCTGTGTTTCACAATACACTCCAAACTGTTTCAGAACCTTTCAACAACTTCGTTTCAAAAAGAATATATATTTGTATCAGCATTTCTCATATGTTGCAATTGAAACATCAACAACCTCTTTTTACAATTTTTGGTGAAGAACAGAAAAGCCAACAAGTCACGTGAAAATCTTTTGTAATATGAGAGATATTAAATCACGTGAAAAGGAATTGTTCTATTTTTGGAATTCTAAATTTTTTTGGACCATTCTTTTTTGTTTTTGTTTTGGTTGTTTTGATTTTAAGGTACAGACACACACACTAACACACACGGGTGAAGGAGAAAAATAAAAAATTAAATTTAAAATTAAAATCAAATACGAATACGAATAAAAAAATAAAAATAAAGAAAAAAAAGAAGACGGAAAAAGAATCTTTTTTTTGTTCAAAACTCAATCCCAAATACATAATTAACTAGTAGCCAAGTTACTACAAGTTACAGAGTAACAAATATTACAACAACACAATACCCACTGCTTTTCACTCATTTAAAAAACAGCTTTCACTTACATTTCATCAATATTATTATTGTCGTCTATCGTTAACTTCCAATCCCCCCTTTTTTTTTGACTGACAGACGCGACCTCAAATTTATACGAACTCCATTGATCCCTCATTTTAAACAATTACCATGTCCACAACTACGCTAACAAAGTCATATGCCAAATCCGCCACAAAGGATATTGAAGATTCATTACGGTTGATTGACGATTTGAAATTTTTCCTTGCAACAGCCCCGGCCAATTGGCAAGAAAATCAAGTCATTCGAAGGTATTACTTAAACCATGACGAAGGATTTGTAAGCTGTGTCTACTGGAACAACTTATATTTCATAACCGGTACAGATATTGTGCGATGCATTGTTTACAAGTTTGAGCACTTTGGCCGTAGAATTATTGATCGCAAGAAATTTGAAGAAGGGATATTTTCTGATTTAAGAAATTTAAAATGCAATACTGACGCTATATTGGAACCACCAAGATCAGAATTCCTTGAGTTCTTATTTAAAAACTCGTGCTTGAGAACGCAAAAGAAGCAAAAGGTGTTTTTTTGGTTTAATGTCCCCCATGATAAATTAATGGCTGATGCTTTGGAAAGGGATTTGAAGAAGGAAAAACTTGGACAGAAACCAACAACGATTGCCCATAAAGAGCCAGCAATAAGTTTCAAGTATGACGAAAATTCTAGTTTATACTCCCAGTTGGCCAAGCATATTGAAAGCCAAACACAAGATGGAATCACTAGCTTGACGAGGACAAGTGCTTTGAACACTGCCAACAGTACGACTACAGCAACATCTACTTCTGACGATGGCAACATACTAGATCAGAAATCGTCACCAGAATATGCATCAACTACTACCAATTGGAAAACCGAACCCAAATACCTCAAAGATGGAACAGGCCATTTATTTCGATCTAAACCCAATCGAGCTCTGTTTGACCAGGATACAAAGAAGGTATTGAATACGTCCACAATTGATGAGGCTGAAATAAACAATGAAAATGGTGATGACGATGAAGAAGAAGAAGATGATGATGATTTTCCCTTGGATTACTTTGTTTCTCAAGATAATAATGACAACTATATCACGTTGGATTCCAATTACCAAGGAGGATCGATAACAAATATATTTGATGATACCAATGGTGATGAGTTCTTTGACCCAAGCCTATTCATACCTACGGAAGTGGGGAATGCCAGTCTGAACCAAGTTGTATCCAACGATGAATACTTGATTGAGCAGACACAACCTTTGAAAACACCACTACCTCAAGCCATGCCAACATCAAGTGCAAAGATGCTATCACTAGCTAATCAAGACAACATAGGAGACGAGTTTTCCTCATACCCACAACTGACGGGTACTATCGCCAATAACTACCCCATTCCGTTATCAGCCAAATTGCAAACCACCTTCAAACCAGCACAACAGGAACAATCTCAACTTAGCACTACAGGTGGTCTCACTACTCCACAGTTTCTCAAAGTTCCTTCGCAACAGATGCAAGCGCCATCACAAGCATTCAATTTGTACGACCAACAGCCTTACTTATCAGATATGTCAGGGATTGGTTATAATTATAATCTCATACACCCTGATAGTGAGTACTGGACCACAGGTCAAATCAATCCCAACTTGGCGGATGCAAGCTCCGTCCTTGATTATAACGCAGGTCTTGGATTCGGGTACCCGATGCAACAGCAACCAACGATGTACATGAACGATGAATTTTTACCCTATTTTATCAATCAACCATTAATGATACCCCAGCAACAAGCGCAATCACAACAACAACAAATAAAGTATCAAAGCTTGACGAGGCAGCAACAGATAAGTAACAAGATGATGAATAAAAAGAGACAAATGCAGCAGCAACAGCAACAGCAACAACAACAGCAACAGCAACAACAACAGCAACAACAACAGCAACAGCAACAGCAACAACAGCAGCAACAATCAGCTCATCAGCAAGTTCAAAAGCAGCGACAAAAATCAAACCTTGTCATTGGTAGTGGCGGAATTACGAAAAAGACTGTTTTAAAAGTGGAAAAGCCATCAATTTCTTTAAATGAGGTGGTGAAGTCAAAGACTACAAAAATTGCAAATAAGGAATAGCGTGACGATAGAATGATGCTCACCATCGGGCTATCTTGGCTTGGTTATGATAGCCTTCCTCGCTGATACACCCACCCCAATTCACTTCTCCTAAGGTTTAATTGTATTTTCGTTACTTTTTATTATTTAGATTTTAAAATGCATTACTATATATGACAGTTATACACACATGTACTATTATGCAGCACGATACTCTTCCCAATCCATAACTCTAACTCTGCTTTAAATCCGTCTCGACTAATTAGTGTACAGTTCTATGAGCCTTTGCTGGGAAATTGGATATCTCGCTTTCAATCTAGCCATAAATAGTTTCTGTTCGGGGGACATAGATTCGTTTCTGGCTAGCCTACTATAGCACACGATAGCGGATCTTCGAAATATGGGCTCTTCGTTGACGAGGAATTTGCCTAATATTTTATCCAACCGACATATTTTGTCTTCATCTAAATCACCATCTTGAATTAATGTTGTGGATAGGAAGTTGAAGCATAATTGGACAATGCTGAAATTCAATTTCGAATTGCTTGTCTTTTCAAGATATTCCAATACAATTGCCTCAAATCTGGTCTTTAATGATGAAACGTCATCGCTATTGTTACTTCCATACTTGATGAGCAGCTCTATGATTTCAGTCCAAATCAAATAAACCTCCTCATCTATTCTAGTAACAAGTTTGCATGTGTACCCTATTACTTTCCAGATCTCCTCAGCATCCATCGACTCATCATAACGCAGCAAAAGCTTGAGAAGAAATAACCCATCCATGACTTCCTGTTGTGTCATTTGACGTGCTGCATATTGAAATCCAAGCTCAAAATAACTCCACAACGATTTAGACAATGTATGCTTTCCAGTTGCCAAGAAGTACTCTCTAAATTCAAAACTCATGGCATTCAACGAATCAATCGAATCGGAAACTACCAATATTGATTGTGTCTTTTCTTCCAAGTTAACCATCAGGGCTATGATTTCACAATGTTTGTCGAATTGAACAATGCTCAAGAAATCACCAGGGAGGCCCTTTCGGAAAAAGTTGGAATAGTAGGTCAAACTCCCCATATTCTTCTCATCGCGAACACCATCAGCAGCTGGTTTAGAGTCTTCAAAGATGTCAATCTTTTTAACTTTTTTTGCTCGTGAATTCAATGGATCGGTTCTCTCAATCATGGATTGAAATGATTCAAGAGCCTTTGTCGATTGAGTCGAGGGGTTCTGAATATGAATCAGCGCCATATCTTCAACTAAATCATCTTGTGGTTTATTGCATTTGTTCTGCTCTAGTACTGAAGCAGTCTCTGAATGGGCCGATCTGCCCAATTTGAAAGGACGCGTTCCTTCCAATATTAACTTGTCGTCATCACCCTTATCCTCAGGATTTGTCTCACTCGCAACTGGTGTTGATGACTTCCTTTGCACGATATTATGCGAACCATTTTCTGCATCTACCATCATTGCATCATCTTCACCAGCCTCCTCAATTTGCCCGAGTGCCGCGCTCTTGATGGTATCATTATTCTTGTCATCAACCATATTGTTCCTCAATTTAGGCACCACCATTGTAAAGCCATCATCAGCAGGTTGCAAAGCAAAATCATTAATACCCCCAGGATTGACTTCTGTCATTTCAAATACTGAGTGATCCAACGGATTTTCAAGTAGCACCGTGCTATCAATACCTACAATTAGTTCAATTTCGTCTTTCATTGCAAACTCAGCTTCATCCAACAACTGAATAAACTTGTTCGAGTCAATGGCGTAAAGTTGGCAAAATAGTTGTTTCAAGTCCAGGTAAGCTTCCAGACTTTTCAAAACCACAATCAGTCTAACTAGCTCTTGAAACAATTCACCAAACTGCACGTCAGTAAATGTAGTTTTGGTGAGTGCAATCAGAAACGTTTGAAATATCAGTTTGGCAATTTTAAATTGATAAGTTGATATCAAGTATTTGAAGGCGGTGCTTCCTGGTATGTTGGGAGAATCAATCACCGTAGTCAACAATTGTATTTCAGCAATGAAAAAATCATTAAAATCAGTATCCGAGGTTGCCAATTCGTAAATGCGTTGGTCAATTTCTGTAAAAATTATGGAACATACACGAACAAAGTCATCAAGTTGGAATAATTTCGCTGCCGTCTTGAACACATACTCATTTGAGGCGAATAATTGCTTCAACACAATTGGGTCCTTTTCTGAAATGTAACTCAATCGGCTTTTCAAAGCATGGGCGTTGGAAACATCTTCTTTGCTGATTATGGCATACTTTAATAAATTTACACCTTCGATTAGGTCAGATGTATTCCTAGATGACATGAATTCAATCATAGGATCCTGGTCTCTTGAAAACACTCTTGATGTTCCAGTTGGTGGCTCAGAGGAGGAATGGCGAATCAACACTTCATCCTCTTTGTGTATAGGAGATTTTTTCAACACCTCTGTTTTGCTTCTTGCCTTTTCAACAAATGGGGCCTGGTCTTTTGGAGGAGCATTCCAGCTTGATGCCCTAGGTGCTGGCCGATTAGACTCATTCTTCAAGGCTTGCTTTTCCGGTCTAGCTGTTTTACCCGCTCTATTTAACACGGCCACTGGTGGCACATTGCTAGACTCGCGAGAAGCACTACGAGAGCCTTCCCTGTTTTGCTTCAGCTCTTTCATCCTATCCCACATGGACTCCCTCATTGGAGGCGCGGAAGCCTTAGTCGACAATTTTCTAGAGGTAGTCGCTGAAGGACCTAATTCTCGTTGGGATCTCTCCAATGCACGAATGGTGTTTGTATCAAATCTTGTCATCAATGCCTCTGATTCCTCGGGGAAAATCTTTGAAAAACACCAATAGCAGTCCTTCGATACTTGACGAACATTTGGATTAGCATCCTTCAACAATTTCACCAACAACTTGTTGGCTGTATCAATTGCTTGGCCGCAGTGGCCGTTCAAAAAGGAATGATCCAAAGCATACCTCAAAAGCAAAATTTGCAACCATAATGCTGCGAAGGAACGTGGCTTGAAGTTCGGTTCATCCATTGACTGCAATATGCGATGGAATAATTTGCTATTGCAATGCAAATTGGCATACAATGCAGACATAGCCATATTAGCATTAGTTGATGTAATGCTTTTGGTCGATAGACATAATTTCATCAATGTGGGAAATAACAAGTCGGCACAAGGTTCAAATTCCGAGCTCAAAATGATTGCACATTCTTTGATCAATTGACAACTATGGGTGCACAAAGTAGTTCTAAGCGAATTTGCACCTTTGCATATCGGATTCGCAAACTCTTTCAAGCCTGATATCAAGTCTTCCCTAAAACTAGTAGCGGCATTTCCTCGAAGAATCATACGCACTTCCACAATACATTTCTCTCTTTTCTTCCAATTAAATTCAGTTTCTTTACCTTCGAAACAGTCGTAATAAGGTTCGAGTAAACGATTGAGTTCAGAACCATGGCTGATATCTTTCGGTTGAATTGACACCACTAAGTCGTAGTTTACTTTATTCAAAAGCGTTGATAAACTGGATGAGAAGTACTTTATGTCTTCCTCTGCCAAGTTTGCCAGACTTTTCAGTTTATCTTCTCTTTTCTCCAGCAGTCGGGTGGAAACCGACTCAGAACTGCTCGGCCGACTTCCTGGAAGAATTGACTTGGCTAGTTTCTTGTTTATATTAAGCGACTTACATTGATTCTCCAAATATTGACCTATGTTCTGGATGGGTGAATTCTGTGCGTAAGAATTAAACAATGCACTCACACTATCAATCAAATCCTGATTGTCTTGATTATCTGACACACACTTTAAAATTGCTGGAACAAAGAACCTCACATTGAACTTCAGACTAACGTTTTTCACAATCTGTTCCATCCATTGAACAGCCTCAATTGCTAGTCGCAAATTGAAGGAGGTAAACGAGATTTCATTTATTGCATTCTCCACTTCTTCAGGTGAGCTTAACCAGTAATCTTCAAGTGCCTTCTTTGCAACTACCACGTTATTACTTCCTAATTTATTGATGAGAACTGGAAGTATCAAAAAGCTCTGCTGTTTGAGAATGTTGCCTGACTGGTCTTGTACGCTGACTCGTTTAATTAGATATGACAAAGCGTTGAAACTAACGTTAGAAATGCCGCTTTCCTTCACTTCAAGCCCCTTCATTATGATGTGTAGATACATGGGAACTTCATCTAGATCGATAGAATCCTTCTTGATATGTGTTTTGAGCGCCTGAATATGCTGCAACTTTACTTCGCTGGAGGTATCACTCGACTCTAATATTTGCAACATTTCCTGTGAATTTAATGACACACTCAGCATTATGTAAGGGTTAGAAAGTGTAGTTGGCTTTCCGCTAATGTGTGTATGACGATCACGGATGGCAACTATAGGTCTTGTTAATAAAATAAAAGTGTAAACAAAAACAAAACAAAATTAAAAAAAATAGATTCTTAAACGCGACGCAATGGGACGACTTTATATCGTCATACTAGTCCTCAAGAAACAACTATTACAATGCAATGTATTATTTAGGTCTACGTAATATGCACATATTTATTTTAAAACAAACCCTAACTAGAATACTTCCATAAAGCGAGTAAGAATCCAAGAACACCGAACCCTAAAAAGGTTGGGGGAAATTTGGACAAATGAACTTTGTTGTTTGAGTCCTCTTCTTCAAATCCAAACACCACCTGGCCTCTAGCTTTGAAAGAACGCGATTCATTATGCTCTAAAGGTATGTGCTTCAATTGTTTTGTTTCATTGATTATATCCTTTTGAACTGTATCCACGGCTACATTTTGGACATTTCCAAAAAAATCAGTCAACAAAACCTTGTCTACATCCCTTTTGAATAGATCAGTCCGTATTCCCGCATGTGAATGGACATTTTCAAAGTTAAGAACGTCAAATAGCTTATCCATCGTTGTCTTGGAATCTCTGTCAATGTTTTCAAGGAAGTCTAAGGCATAATAAGTAAATCTATCAATGACAGCAACTCCAATATCCATGTCAGAATGATGACTGTAGGAACTCTCGTCAAGCTTGGATGAGCCAACGCAAAGAATGTTAGGCGAGTATATCTGCTCGTACATGGTGTTAGCTTGACACGTGTCAATCATGAAAAAGATTTCGTTATACCGCCTCTTCTCGTGCATTTGGGCAAAGGCATCAGCAATGTCATGTGCTCCAATTTCCTCTGCATCCTGAAACTTTAGAAATTCATTACCACCATGCCCCGTCAAGTAGATAAATATATTTGAATTCTCATCAGTTAATAGTCTCTTTGATCTTGGTTGTTCGGGGCCCCATCTGTCAGTCAATAAACGTATGAAATTCTCCACTGTAACCTCGTAACCTCTGTAGTCGACTTCGATACTGTTTCCATATAAATCCAAAGCTTGATCCATGTTGTTGAAAACTGTTCCAGGAAAAGCATTTCTTGCATTACACGCAACATCATCTGAAAGCATGAGAATAATCTGTGAGTCAGGTATACCTAACCGCTTGACTGTTCGATAAAAACTGAGGACGTTAGCCATATGTCGATAATTGAACCAAAAACGCGATGTCGATACCAACACTGCCCAGTTGTTGGTGTGATTCGATTTGTTAATGGACTCGAAAGCATCTTGAGTATCTGTATTTATATGGTCAGAGACTACCACTTGTAACCAAAAGGCAAGCGGTAGAAGAAATAAATAGAAGAGCTTCATTTCAATGTACTTGGTCTCTTGTTTCTGATCTTTGTACTTGATTGTTTATTTTTTTTCATTTTCTACTTTTTTTTTAACACGCACAACAAATAATATTTTGGTTACATACTTTCATTCATTATTTTAATAGCATTATTTACAACCTGCGCACATTTCATCTTCTCGTAATCGTTATCACCAAGTCTCAATGCAAAGACGAATTTGCATATGATTGCTTGTTTCTCATTTTTCAACACATTAACAATGTATTCCTTAAATTCTTCTTTTGATACTTGGACCTTCTTTCTCTGCAAGTAAGAGCCCAATTTATGATCCATCATTGCCATTATCCAGGCAATCTGCTTAGGTGTTGCTTTTCGAGCAAACGTGTTGCGCTTTTCAGCATAGTCTAGATGGTCTTTACATTTCCTCTTCAATTCGGCAAAAACTTCAAGTAGATTTGTACTCCGACAAACAACGGTGCCAAACTTGTTCAGAAAGCTGTGATGCAGCGCTTCAAACCCTTTCTGTCCATTGTAGCTCAACCGCTTTACAATGAAATAAGAGTCAGATAAACCGGGCATCCCCCAGGTTTTGCTCGCTTCTATCATGGCCCAGGGGTACTTATTTCGAAGCATGACTTTGTCTACTATTTCTTTATCCTGAAACCAAATCGCGGGGCTCTTATTTATCAGAGGTCTTTTATCAAGACTTACAACCTCTTTTCTGTGATAATGTAGGATTCTCTCTATAGCCACCTCCCTATCCTTGCTTGACAATCGGGTGTGCGGGGAAGGAATAAACAGGTCCAACCCATCACCCTGTTGAAACTTTTTCTTTCTCGAATTTACCAAATTCTCGCCTTCTAGAGTCGGTTTGATGTCTATCCCCTGCCTGGTCAATTCAACCATATCGACGACATGACAATGCGTTTTGTCTTTGTACAACCTCAAACCTCTCCCAATCATTTGTATCATCAACGATTTGGACATAGTCGGCCGTGCCAAAATTAGTGAGTCGATATTGGGCATATCAGTACCTTCGGTAAATACTTGAACATTGCATAGGACTGGGATCAACCCCAGCTTAAAGTCCTCAATTATGGCGGCTCTTTCAGCCTTGGAAGTATCACCTGTTACATACTGAGCATTAACCCCATACCTCTGAAACAAAGCACATAAATCATAGCAATGCTCAACACCAACGCAAAATATTAGTGTACTCTTGCAATCAGTTTCTTCCTTTAAACGTAGATACGCCAAGATTATTTTCTCATTGAAATCAATCTCCTTCATAACACTGTACAAACTTGTAGGATCATAATCATTTTTGATCGTTGCTACTCGGTCTAAATTCATTTCCACTTTAACCTCGCTTATTTTTGCATCTGCTAATTCATTGCTTTGAATCATACTCTTTAAAGATCTTTCATAAACAATTTCATCAAAAATATGCCCCAACGCTTGCTTGTCATGCCGCATAAAAGTAGCCGTAAAACCAATTACACTTATTGTCAGGTCTTGGTCTAACGCCTTAAAATAGTTCAAAATTTTTCTATATGTAATTGCTGGTGCATGGTGACATTCATCAATAATGATGCTTTTGAATTCCATGGGGTCAATTTTTTCAAACCTTTTCCTAATCACCAAGGATTGCACTGACGCAACTACGACATCGGCATCTGGAGCTGCTTTTAATTTTCGCATCTCAACATCTACCTTCAATTCAGGGTGCATCAAACGTATCATCTTGGCAGCTTGATCAATCAACTCCTCAGTGTGTGCAAGCACAAGTACCTTACTACCTCTCCCATCACATAAAGGCTTCAAGTGAGGTATCAAGTAGGAAAATATTACAGTTTTACCTCCCCCTGTTGCAATTACTACTGCTGGTTTTCTCACACCACTGGCAAGTTTGGCCAAGACGGTGTTTGCTGCATCTTGTTGGTAATCGCGTAGTTGAAACGGTTCTTTAGCATTGCGGAGAATAGCCTCAAGTCCCGGATGAAGCTTTCTCGGGACAAGGGTGGTGGTGTAATCATCTGTTGAAACTTGAAGGCCCTCATCGATGTCATTTTCAAGGAGTTGGCACTTGCTGAGTGACACGCCAAAGTGTCGTACTATTGCATGTCGTTTGATTCCTTGCAGTAGGAACACTTGGATGTATCTCAGTGCAAATCGTATTAACATAAACTAGTTTTTTGAACGTCTCTTCAAATATATCATGATCTGCCGTAGGTTTTGGCTTTGAATTTATAAAGTTTCGCGTTTCGTTTAGTTGCAACAAAATTGTCTTACATATTTGGTAGCTGTAAATGATCAATTAAAACATTTAGCTTGTATAAATATCTACTCTACTCCGCTTATACACATTGTGATGAAACAATTCTGAATCGCCCTCGACTGGCTCAACATTGCTTTCATATTGTCGGCTAACCTCTGGCGCAACTATGCTCAATACTGCATACGTTCCATCTTCAGTATTGATTGACCTGCTTGGTCGAATAAACAGACCAGGGTTGATCACTATGACGTCATTAACTACCTTGGCAAACACTTTCAATTCAGATGGCAAGATTAAGACATCGGGTAACGAATTTCCCAATTCAGTGAGACCCAAATAGGGCATCTCTAACGATGACCCACCAATACCCACACCATCCAAGTAATCTGCAGCTGATCCACTAGTGAGTTGCGATACATTTTGCTCGTGGGTTCTGGCTATTGAGCCAGGCATAATCGGGTAGTACCGCCTTTGCTCAAACACGTGATTTATCACTCTCTCAAATCTGTTGCTTGAGTACTTTTCACCTTGTTTAAACACCTCCTTCAAGTCTTTAAAAACATCAAGATTGGAAGATCCGATTAAGACTTCATTAACAGCAAAACTAGATGGATTGGGGAATATCTTTACATTTTTGGGTAACTGAAACTTTTTCCTATCGAAGGAGTCTTGTGGATACGAACAATGGTTCACACAACTGTCTTTTAATGATGGGTACAACACGACTTGGATTTTGGTGTCAATTTTCCTCAATATGGGAGTAATTAGTAACCTAAATACATCATCGAGATTCTTTGGTTGCTGATCTCTTGGCAAATTGAATCTGCCTTCCTGTACATCTTTGTTAGTTAGATCAAGGAAAGGACCATTCAAAATAACCACATTTGGAAGAATTTCAGTGTTGATTTTCTCCACCAATCTTTCCAACTTGGAGTATTCGAGTTTGTTCAAATTAGAATATGGCCCAGATGCAACAACAATTTTAAGACCTTGCCCTTGTTGCAACTGATTGTACTCTTCCAACTCAGACCGACTAGAGACTGTATTTCCCAATTGTGGTAACGGCATGACCTCATCAACCACAAAATGCTTTCCAGTTGGGTTTCTTCCCTTTAAAACAACAATTTGACCAGGAAAGAAAGAAAAGACATTCAACTTGCTCAAGTCGAGAGGAACCCTTTGTCCAATCCCCGATAACCTCGATGTTTCCAAAAATAAGGAGTTGCTGTTCAAAGTTTCGTCATCATATGTCGGCGAATCGGGCACTATTCTTCCACAGCACAAAATGTCAAATTGCGAACTCAAGCATGGGTTGCCAAATTGTTGGTCCGACTTATTCTGTTCCAGGTACAACTGGGCTACGCTATCTATTTGGTCGTCTAAAACATCGGCACTCTCAAGTAGTTTCATCTGCATGGTACGATACTTGAACTTAGCAGGATCAAAGTTAGCCGTCAACTTGACTGGATTGGTGGTACTTTCCGGGCTCAAGGTGTTGACTGCTTTGACTTCTGGATTTAATGTTTCCAATAACGTGTGCGAATCAGTGGTTGGCTTGATGGGGGAAGTTGTGAAGGTATTATTGGCACTTTCGTAATTTGCTGGTGATGATAAATCGGGTTCAGACAGGTCAAGCTTTCTTTTCTTTGCATGAGGCGTGGCAGGCCCCGTATTGTTGACGGTTCTCTTTGACAATGGTTTCCTTCCTGAAGTGTCCTTAACAGTATGTGCATTTTTTGGCGTCAACTTATTGTTTGTCAACTTCTTTTGTAAATACTCATGGAATTGGATCAAAGTAGTCATATTCAACTCCAAATCCTGCTGCACCTCAGCAACATTGTAGGATTCCCATTCAAGGAAAAGATCTTCAAGCTCGACATTGAATATTTGCGTGAGTGAATTCAACTTCTCATATTCATCGTCAGTGAGCTTCATAGACGGGCCAAATGTCTTAGCCACTTGGTTAATGAATGTTTCCTCCACCATTGCGTTACAGTCACTTTCTTCACGTTGTGCTTCTTATGTTTTTTGTTCTACAATGTTTTGTTTGAAAATTTAAAAATAATAAAGGTTGTAAGACGCGTTCGTCATGAAATGGTAGCGGCATAATGTCCTTCCCCTACATTAATATACAAAATATACAAACTATTGCTTTACTCTTTGCCAGCATCTGCGTTAGAAACCTCTTGGTCATTTGCATCGTTCTCTGTAGTAGCTTTGGCAGATGCTTTATCCTCAGGCTTAGATTCTTTCTCACCAGTTTCGTCCGTGGCTTTACTTTCATCATCTTCTGGAATCTTGTCACCCTCGATAGCGCTTTCAACTGCAGTCTCCTTGTCATTGGACTCTGCTGAATCTGATCCATCGCTGCTCTTTTTACGATCAAATTTCTTACCTTTGCCTATCTTTTGCCTCTTACCCTTGTTGTTTTCATTGAAACTGTTACGTCTCTTGGTCACTTCATTTTGACCAAATCTCTTACCGCTTTCCCTCATTTCTTGGAACGTTAACAATGACATTTTCTTTAAGAGTTTCTTTTTGTCAACTTCTTGAGATTCTTCTTTAGAGAGTATACCTTGATCGTATGATAACTCGACATCTTTTACCAAATACTGAGCATCTTCTTCATTGGTCAACTCAACGTCCACAACACCAAAGAATTCCTTTTTTGCTTTACTTTTGATTCTACGTACGGAATTGATAACATGTTCTTTTGGCAACTTTGAAGCAATCTTATCCTCAAACCAGGTCTCAACTTGCTCTTGGGTTAATTCGTGGGGAAACCCTTCGATGTGTACTGTGTTTCTCTTCTTAGTGTTCTTGATTTCATTAAAGTCCTTCAATGGATCCTTCCTTTTGATCATATCATTATTAGCAGATAAGACTAACTTGTCACTTGACTTCAAGGCGTCAATTACCTTTTCCTCTGGTCTGTATTGCTTCATTCTGCCAAACGTCAAAATTGTCTTTAGTTCAACCCACCCATCATTTGCTTCGTAAATCTTCCATAAAAACTTATCCTGTTGTAAATTGGAATCAGAAAAGTAGAATTCAACTTGTTTTCTGACTTTATCTTCAAAGTCCTCACCTTGGTATACAAATTCTGTCATTCTGAGAAATGTCTCTAGTTGGTAATGTCTGATTGAGCAAGTAGTGAAGGTACAATTTCATATTGGCAGAGAGGAATTTTTTCCTTTTTCTTTTTTTTTTCCCGTAACATCTCTTCGCAGGGAAAAGTTTACAGAGGCTAACTTTGATTCAACTAGATTTATCTAAGTACTTGTATATTTGTGTAGAGGGTGTGCTTCATCGGAGTGGGATTATGCCGGTCCTTCCTCTGGTAGAACTTTCAAAATAGATCTCGCCACCAACTATTTCATCCTACAATACTAGGCATCATCGATTTAAGATTCCTACAAGACTTTTCTTTTTTTTCTTTTCTTTTAAAATTACATCTCTTTGCTAAATCATGAGATTACCATTCAATAAATCCCATATTTCAAATTTAGCAAAACTGCACCGTCGCTACATGTCAACGTCGTATCCACAGCCAACAGAATCTAGAGCCAGAGAGTTAGTAACAAATTACAACGCCATACTAGCCAAGGTTCATGAGTTGAACCCCAAGACCAGATTGGTTGCAGTTTCAAAGTTTAAACCGTCATCAGATATAATGGCCTTGTACTCTATTGGAGTACGACACTTTGGCGAAAATTACGTTCAGGAACTAGTTGCAAAATCAGAGGAGCTACCTAAGGATATATGCTGGCATTTCATTGGAGGGTTACAACTGGGGAAATGTAAAGATTTGAGTAATAAAGTATCAAACTTGTGGGCAGTTGAGACTATGGATAGTTTGAAAAAATGCAGACAGTTAAATAACGCAAGGGAGAGGAAAGATGGCGAAACTATTAACGTTTACCTCCAAGTCAATACGTCGGGCGAGGAACAGAAATCAGGATTTTTAAGCATGTCTGATTTGGAAGAAACGGTGGAATACATCCAGAGTGACGATTGTAAGAGATTAAAGCTTGTTGGTTTGATGACAATAGGTTCGATTGCCGAGTCAAAGTCTGACCACGCGGAGAACCACGACTTTAAGGAATTGGTAGAGTGGAAGCATGTTCTAGACGCCAAATACAAGTTAGATCTCGAATTGAGTATGGGAATGAGTAGCGATTACGAGCAGGCTATCAAACAAGGAAGTACATCTGTCAGAGTGGGGTCATCCATTTTCGGTGCAAGACCGCCTAGGAGAGAAATAGTATAAATAGGTTTTGCAGATTTTAAAAGTTAAAAATGTTAATAAAAAGTAAATAAAGCTACGACATATTAATCCTTTAGTATCTAAATCTTCAATAACTTTTTTAACCCCGATCTCTTACGTTTAGGTTCCTTCTGTGAGTCATTTTCTGAATACTTACTGGAACTTTCATCGTCGTCGGCTCCATCTTGTTTCTCTCCACCTTCAGATTTTGAGGACTTTGAGTTCTGGTTAGACCCCTTTTGGGAGGAAACTTTGTCCTTTTCCACTTCTCTGTCCGCGTTACCGTTGAATCTATCATCTCCTGCTGCCAATGCTTTCCTCTGCTCAGTTGCTGGAGCATTGCTTTTTTTGATTCCCGATTTGTTTTTCTTGGCGGGCACTGGAGTAGTATCAAGTTCCTCTTGACGTTGCTTTTCCTTCTCTTCCTTAGAAGCTGGGGCGGCAGCAGCGGTTGCGAGACCAGCACCAGTAGGTGCGTGTGCTTCAGCCCTTGCTGACTGTTCCGACTGAGTTGTGTTTTTTTTTGTATAAACTGTGCCAGATTTGTCATTTGGGTCAGGTGGAATTATTGAAGAGCCATGGAGCAACTCATTGGCATGGGTAGTATCATCACCAGTTCGGGTATTGCTAGGATTCCTGTTGTTGTCAGCAGCATGTGTACTGTTATCAATAGTACTATAATGCTTATCACTGTTTGGACCAGATTTAGCTTCAATAATTGAATCACCAGGCTCCTTATCTCTGTTAAGTCTGTCATATTCAGCTGAGGATAAAGCAGCAGCCCCAGGCTCTTCCAATCGTCTCTTTTCTAACCTGGCCAATTCGGTTTGTCTTTCCCGCAAAAGTCTTTCCTTTTCAGCAATTACACGTGCTTGTTCTGAACGTGAGTGCACAGTGGTCTCAGTCGGTTTTGTAGACGTAGTATAGCCTTGTTTCTTCGATGGAACTTTTTCTGCCGCAACATCATTTTCTTGCTCAATAGCACTAGGTGGAGTGAAATCCAAAGTTGACTCAACAGTAAAGTCGTTCCATGCTGGTACATTTGTCACCTTGATGGTTGGCTTAACATGCTTAGAATAATGGTCATGTCTCAATTTGATGTCATTATCAACAAAATCATTCTCCCATTCGACAGCGCTCTTGAATAAATTGCTCAATGTGTACAAAACGTAACTCAGGAAAAGGAAGGCGTGCTCTGAGAATATCAACAACAATACCAACTTGGCTGAAGAGGAAATATTAACACTAGCATTATCCAATGCAAATTGACCCATTGTTTTGGGTGGGGCAGTACCGTGGCGATAAAATGCTGTAACCACTGGAGATACAATTGACCCCAACCAAGTCAACAAAAACAAAGCCCAGTTCCAAGGGTGAATAGAGTCAACTCTCTTTGGAATAGGAGGCTTGAAGTAATTTCCGTTGAACAATTTAAAGTGATCCAATTTGAAGAAAACAACAGCAAAGATCAATGATACTAAAGGCGCCAATGGCCATACTGGTCCAAATAATATTAAATAACCGTATTGCAATACGACACTTCTAAAGTCATCATCTACTACGTATTCAGGCAATGTCAACGAAGTTCTAACATTCTGTAACCAGTTAGCTTCATATGGTTCGTCGCCTTTAGTCTGCAACACTGGTTTCTTCTGGATTTTGGTTTGATACAAATGGATCACTTTGGTTATCACTAATGGCAAAACATATTTCAACAAAGCTTGAACAATTTGGTTGGTTACAATAAAGTAGAAAAACTGGGCATTCAACCTACCTTGATTGATTTTAAACTCCTTTTGAGATTTCAACTTGGTCAAGTACTTGGAATAAAACCTGTTCTCTCCAACATAAGACGAGATAGTTGTTTGAATGTCACCCAAGTGAGGACCCACTAAATGGGCAAATGGCAAGTACAAAAATGAGGTGATAAGCAATGGAGCATAACTAGTCAAAAAGTTCAAAACATAAGTCTTGATCAAAACAGATTGGTTTTCGCTTATTTGAGTATCATGTCCTTCCAACTTGATGACAACACTTGTGACAAGGTTGTATACAATGGATAAAATTGGGACAAACACGGAAAGCAAAACTGTTGGCAACAATGTCAAATAAGCTTTTCCTGGGCCATCGTAAAGGTCAGTTAAAAAGATTTCAATAAAAAAACAACCCAATTGATAGCTAATCAAGACAAAGGCAAATCCAAGAGCAATTGGGATGAAGAACAATTGTTTGACAAACCTTAATCCTTCTGTGTTGTTCTTGTGCAAATAGTTTGATTTAGGCTCAAATCTTTCATTGATTTCAGCTAATTCCAAACTATGCTCTTCAACAAGGTGTGAGTTTTGAACTCCCCACAAGTTTACCAAATACTGTTGTCTTCTATGCCAGAATGCCAAAAAGAAAGTACCCCAAGTCAAATTAATAAAAGTATAGCCCAATGAATAAGCGCCTGATTGTTTGAAGTATTGGAATACACCCAATATAGATAAGCCCAATAGCCAAAATATGTAGTATTTGTAAAACTCGAAATAGAGGGCAATTTGCACACCGTATGTTCTTTTAATTTGGTTGGCCGATAGCTCCGGCCTGGTAAAGGTGTCTTTTAAATCCTCAACAATTCGACTTTCATCAAAAGCGCTGGTGATGGGGACAATGTTGACAACCTCTTGATAGGGTTCTTGTCCAGGTACAATACCACACCCTCCAAGCTTCTTCGAGTTTGTCAAGTATTGGTAGATGATTCTAGTTCTTGAACTCAATTCATCATCTTTTGCAGTAACTCCAAACTCATAATTCTTAATCAAGTCCTTCTCTGCTTCTTCAATGAACTTGTAAGGCGACAATTTGATAAAGATCAACAAGTGGGTAGGATCTCCTGGTCTGATGGTTGCTCCAAATCCCTTGTCGTATAGGTAATGGACAAATGTATACAACGCTTTTTCAGTCTGTGAGTTAACCTTCTTGGTCTTCTCGTCAATTGGATAGTTGTACAGAATGTAAAAATCAGGATCCAACTCCTGAATTGGTTGCGGCATGACGTGTAAGCTTTCTTTTTCTTCAAATTCAACTGTTTCTGGGTTCAATTGACTTTGCCAACAGTGGTTAATTGAGCTCCAATTTGCTTAAACAGTGCACTACCAATAGCTTGAGAATTGAAAGTAATTTAAGCAATTGAGAAATAGAAGAAAAAAGCAACTTTATATATATATAGATGGGGTGAAATTCTCGGAAAACTCAAACCACAATTGTTCTCTTTTTTTTAGCAATTGAAGAAAAATGGAAACAATGTGGGCAGAGAAATTAATGATTTACGTTTTGTGTCGAATACAGTTTTTTTATGAGCTATTCATAAACCTTTATGTAAGAGATAGGACCTAGAATAGGAGGTTTTGTAGGTGTACGTTATCAGGTTATAGCAAACTGATATGTGAAAGGTTGAAATCATTCAAGGATTAGAGAGAAATCTTGACTCACGCAGCAGAGATTTAACTCGCGTTATACCTGTAGAGTAGAGGCTTAAATCAACAAGCTCTTCTCATTATATAACTCCAATTGTGACATAGTGGACGTTTAAACTGAAAATGCGACACCTTCTCAGTACAAATCAGTCTGAGATGACGAATGACATAGCCATAACCCTAGACAATACAATAAACATCACACAAACCTTAACCGTGCCACATCGAGCTAGATTTTATGTCGTGGAATTTTAAACCATTGTGAATGTCACGACACTGATTGTCGGTTTTTGTTGCTGTAAATAGTTTGCTCTTTGATCTTTTGCCTCGGTATTCCTGAAAACAACAGGTGTGAGGTTATTAATTTAATTGTGTGACCAAATAAACTCGCACTTTAAAGGAATAACTTTAAAATCAATCGACTGATAACAGAATGTTGAATTTTTTCTTCCACACACATCACACTTTATTCCACCAATGCTGACAACCAATCAATCAATCAATCATGGGTTCATAATAGTCCAGAGTATCGACATAAGTGAGGAGTACAGAGTCTGTTCATGGTTTTTCCTCTAGAACTAGAGAAACACCAAAGTTTGTTAGATCGGTAAGTACATCATCTTCATCCCCCCATATCCTTTAATACATAAGTTACAAGGCATAAAAGTCCATATTGTTAACTCATCGCCGTTCAACCACTCACATTAAGTGATTCAAGTGTCACACATCCTCCATTTAATATTTGCAAGAGCGTTTCCACTTATAGTAATAATAATCAAATACTTCACTCAGAGAGCTCCTCCCCGTTAGAGTTTTTTTTTTATTGGTTTTTTTATTGGTTTTTTTTCCTTTTTTTTGCAAGTTCAGTTGCCATTCAACATTCCGTTTTTGTTTTACTGGTTAACTTACGTTTTATTTTTTAGGTTTTTTCTTCTTCCAGAGATGTTCTTCTTCCAAAATTCAGCCTCCCCCCCCGTTCTGAATTCACATTTTCCGTGTTTTCTCAACCATTTTTGCTATAACATATAATTCCCCGAATTAAAAAGGAAAAGAAAAAGAAAAAGGTCATAAAAAAAGAACTTGGTCTTCAGTAATTGTTCCATTATATCAACCTTCAGCTTCTAGGCTTTCCTTTTGTATTACTAACCTGGCTATTTCTTTAGATGTTACTTTGCAAGAGAATCTTTGTGTTTTAAAGTAGTGCTGCTTCTGCTCATGGCAGACTATATTCCTCATTTAATTCTGGTCTAGGATGGAATTGTGATTGATTGTACAATGTGTGTATATAATGTGTAATACAATAAAGGAATTATATATTTGACGAATTATAAAAACAACTCATCCAAACTACCAATCTACATACAGTTTAGAAACTGGCCTAAACACTCTAATTCTACCACTCTTGAATTCGCCGATCTTGTGCGATTCCTTCTTAACATGACCTGAGGCATCCTGTTCAACAACCTTGAATTTCTCCTTTTTGGGATCAAAATCGTAAATCACACCAGTAAAAGTACTGTTATCCGATGCATCGCCAACAGTCACTGATTTGCTGCCAATAATTCCCTTGTGTGTGCTGAATTTCCCATTCTTAATCCACAAAATGTCACCAACTTGAATGTCATCTATTTTGGAAATATTTGAATTGTTAAAGTTCTTGTAGATCGTGACTCCATAAGATTTGTTTCCAATTGGTGGCAATAACTTATGTTTCAATTCAGGACTTTGAAAAATGTGTGAAATCAAGTTGCCGTCCAATTTCGACCCAAGCAAATGAGCAGCCGCATTGACAACTACTGGTCCAAATTTACGATGATTGTTTTCCAAGTAGTCTTTGCGTATAGCTGGAGAAGGTTTGGTTAATTGGTTGCTTAAACGTATCGTGTTTCTCGGGTCACTCTCATCAAACTCCAATTCAAAAACCAACTGCGATAAATCAAAAAATAAAACATAGTAGTCACGATACACCGTAGTTCTACCACCGCGTTTATGGATTTTGTTGGTATCAACTTCATATATCAAATCAACACCAATCTTTTGGATCAATGACTCTGGTAATTCATTCTTCAACCACCAAGTTGACGTTGACTTGATATTGGAAATTTCAAATTCCAATTGTTCTAAAGTGATTTCTGCTTGATTTTTATCACTCCCATTTCCTTTTAGTGATCTTGACCTCGACATTGATTCCGTTGACTTCCTACCTGGAATTGACCCAACTGACGCACCAGTTGAAGTTTGCAACAAAGGAGGCGCTTCCGTCGATGCTCTTTTAGGTGGCTCGCCAATTGGTATTGAAGGAGGAAGACCTGCATGCGGCACTGGTGGTGGCGGAACAGTTCCTGGAATAGGAGGTGGAGGAACGCTTCCAGGAATTGGTGGTGGTGCACCTCTTGCGTGAGAACGTGATTCGCTCGAAGAACCAATGGTATGAGCCCTTTGTGGCACAGAATGACGTTCAGGTTGATCAACTAATTCAAAAGCATTATCGTCATCCTCTTCCTCGGAGCTGCTGTCAAGCTGACGGTCCTTGTGTACAGTTCTAGAAGGAGACAATGGAGTTTGAGCTTGTTGTTGTGAAGCATCTGACGAAGGTGGAGGCGGTGGAGCATGATGCGATCTCCTGCGTTCTGCTTTTGCATCTTGGTCTACGGGAGGTGGCATTGCTCCAGGAATTGGAGGCATTGGAGGAGGTGGTCTTGCCCTATCTAAGCTTCTCTGAGAACTGTGTCTTTGTGGGATAGATGGAGCTCTTTCTTGTTCAGCTTGCTCATGTGCATCTGATGTCACAGTTTGAAGTGGAATTTTCACCGCATGTCCCTCAACCCTGCTTGATTCAGCATCTTGAAATTCTTGATCAGTGGTGCTCTTATTTAAGTCATGGTTTTGTGGTTTCGCCATATCTGACAAATCCTCATCAGCTTCATAACCGGTGCCTTCACCTTCAAATTGACGGTGCTTCTGGAGTGTAATCGTGTTAGAATGCTCTTCAGTGCCACTATCAGATATGTATTTGTGACTATCTTGCGCTTGCTTGTCGATATCTTTCTGTGTAATGAAATCTGCTTGGTCTGAATCTGATGGCTCATCATCTTCAGCCATTGAAGAGCTTTCATGGCTCAATTTGACTGGCTCGTGCTCAGGGGCTCTTGGTGTAACCACAGGAGCAGCTGGAGGAGCATTTACAGCAGGATCTAATGTCGAAACTGAAGCATGTAATGCCGGCTCCCCGGTGCCTGCTCCTGCTCCCCCTCCTGGGACCAAGGGTGCGGACACCGGAGCTGGTGGTGAAGTTTGTTTTGGTGCTGCTACTGGCTCTGACTCAGCGTCTCTCGTTGACACCTCTCTATTAGCATCTGTGAACTCAGCCGATTCAACCTTTTGCTTCGCTGCTTTAGGTTTCTTTGCTGTCTCTCCAGCTCCTGGAGCCCCAAACGGTGTTGCCATACCCATCATACCAAACATGTTTCTTCCTCCAGATATCTTAGCCATTCTTTCAACAAGTTTTCTACGTTTCAACTCCTCATCATCCTCGTCTTCTTCCGCCTCATCTTCTTCTACTCCTTCTTGGCCTTGCTTTTCTTCACCATCATCCCGCTCTTCAGCTTGTGCATCATAATCGTCCGCCCTTGTCTGCTCTTCCGCAATTCTCTCATCGGGTACACTATGAGTGACGTCGTCGCTATCCTGGTGTAGATGCAATTCATCAGGGGCATGATGATGCTGAACATCAGCCAGCGGACTTGTGATATTTCCTCCTTCTTCTCCTGCGCCTACGACACCTTCTGCACCCTCTTGTGGCACAACATGTTGCTCTCCACTTCTTTGTTCTCTTAAATGTCTCAATCTTTCTTTCTCTTCCGCTTGTTTCTGCTTCCTCTCTTCTTTTCTTTTCAATGCTGCGGCTTCACGTTCTGCCTCCTCCTGCTGCTTTTTTTGGAGCAAAGCGATGCGTTCTTTCAAAGATACCTTAGGACCAGCGTCTTCTTCTTCTTCCCGATGCTCATCTTGTGGAGTGCTTTTGACAACATCCTCCGGATGCTTGGTTTCATGTACTGGATGCGCAACCAAGTTCGAGTCATCTCTTGGTTGAACTTTGGGAACATACGACGATGTGGAGGCAGCTACAAATTGTTTCTTGATACTGTATGGATCCTTTTGCTTTGAAGAAAAAGCCTGGGGGAGAGGGACTTTCCCAGTAGGGCTCTGTTTAATTTGTGCCGGAGGCAGTGGTCCAGTGTGCGAAACAGAAGAATGAACAGGTTCACCTTTGTTCTCAATATGGTGAACGGAAATATTTTCAGCCACTGGAGAGCTTGTTTGTGACTGGTCCTTAGTCTCTGATACGGGTTCTTGCTTTTTAGTTGGTCGGTTCAGCGCGGGAACAGCGGGGGCAGCCAACACCTCAACGAAATTTTTAGGAAACATTCCTGATTTGTCGTTGTACTCTCCTGAATACCATTCGTCATTCTCAATTGCTGTGATGGTGATGATTTGGCCAGCATCGAAGTTCAAATCATCTTCATACTCAGATTTGTAGTCGTAGATTGCTTTCACTTTAAAGGGAACGTCGGGTTCGGACATTGTTTAGCAATTGATTTAACGTCTTGATGAATAAATGTCAAATATCTTAATGTGTGATTACTAAGATGTATTATTAGTCGTAAAATTGAACTTGGTTAATAGTAAAGAGTAAACTGAGTTGTATTTGTTTCCAGATAAATCGAGGAGGAAAAGTGACAAACTAATTGCGGCTGCCGTCATTTTTTTCCTTTGGGGCTTTTGTTTTCTTTTGTTCTTTGTAACTCAAAATGCACAAAATAGGAGAGAGAGAAAAACCGAAAAAGGAATGAAATAAATTTAATCATCACAGGAGATCCAAATTTGCATACTTGACTGATAGTTACACTTAGATGTCACTAAAAGTAAATGGTTTCCGACCCCACGCGCCTTCGACAAAACTTGCAACTCCTACCAGCACAAGCTCTTCTACAATTCAAATATCGGCTCAGACTTTAACAACATGCCAACCTACAAAGCTATTTAATTACCACCATGAAACTTCAATCACTTCCCTAGACTTTGACGATTCTGGCCAGTACCTAATCTCCTCCGGAGTGGACAAGTCCATACAATTGTATGATTGCCACAAGGGGGTCCATTATAAAGATATACAGTCACAAAAGTATGGGGCCCATTCAGCTAGATTCACCCACGATGGACTCAATTGTTTGTATGCATCTACTCCTGACGCACTGGCCACTAGTGAGGGAAAAGAAGATGACACGATCAGATACCTCTCTTTATCAAGCAATCAATACATCCGTTACTTCAAGGGCCACAAAGCTCAGGTGTCCAATATTGAAGTAAATCCGGCGCACAACAACTTTTGCAGCTCAAGTTATGACGGCACTGTCAAATTTTGGGATTTGAAAAGCTCGTCTGCAACAGGTAGCATCACCGTTGGCCAGAACTCAGTTTGTGGATTTGACCCTCAGGGAATTGTTGTCGCAGTAGGAAGGTACCCACTTGGTGAATCTCAAAGTGGTACCTTGGGTTTATACGACCTAAAGACATTTGACAAGGGGCCGTTTGCAGAGGTGGCTATTTCTTGCCTACAGAACCAATTGTGGAACAAGTTGGAGTTTTCGAATAATGGTAAACTAATATTGATCTCGACCGACTCGCGTGAACATTATATTTTGGATGCTTTCCTGGGTAAGGTCTTAGCAATTGTGCGATTGTCGTATAGAAATGATCCGCAGTGGATGTCGACTGAATACCCATATAGCGGGTGTTGCTCATTTACACCTTGTGGGAAATTTTTGTTAGTTGGTAGCCCCAAATCAATAATCCATATATTTGATGTAAGCGATCTAAGAACGGATGTTGAGCGTCCTGTGATTTTGTCAAGATCCAATGATATATTGAAAACAAGACAGTTACCCAAGATAATTTTGTTTAATCCAAAGTTGTTTGTTTTTGCAACCGCTGATACAACGGTTAAACTATGGCAACCATTTGAGAATCAAACTTGAGAAAAATAAAGAAAAAAAAAAGTACGTATATAGAGTAGACCATAATAGAGATACAATACATGGCTTCTATTCAAGCGTTTTTAAACAGAACAACAGCATCTGCTAAGCCAAGCTTGGTAAGATGTACTCTCAAAGAGACAACTGTGGACTCTCTGCAAGTTGTTCGTGCCGTTGCCGAATCGAGATACAATTCAATCACTATCCAGCCTCTACGGTTTCCCAATCCTAACAAAATGCTCAAGATCCTACAGCCTTTCCAAAAACACTCAATTCCCAAAAGTCGTTCGGAGATTAGAGGAGTCGATAATATGGTACACCAGTTGTTGCAGAGAAAGTTTCCACTAAAGAAGTTTGCACCGATCATGCAAAACGAGTTCTTGTCAGTGCAGTTGTTTCCGCAAGATCATACTCTATCCAACTTCAGAAAGTCCAACGTGTCGCTTGTCTTCAACATGCATCAGATACCTATGTTGAATGATAAATGTTTGGAGTCGGGGTTCAAGAGCCGACCTAAATACAAGGATTTACAATTTTTCAACAAGAAGCCACTGCCAATGCAATCTGCATGCGGAAGAACCAAATCTAAGAAGCAGGTGAGGGAATTGTTTGCCCAATCGTTGAGCACATTCTCAATGCATGACAAGAAGGACCGCTTAAGTGGCATTTTTGTCTGTCATGTTGTCAAGGTGCCGGTGAATCAAGAACAAAGAGATTTGATACGGAAAGATTTCGAGAATATGTGCTCCGCCCTATTAGATAAAGATGACATATGGAATAATCTAAATAAACAGTATAAAAGGACAAAATCTCCAAATCTCCAGCAACTCAAATACGTTCAATTCAGCTATGGTGTCAAGAATCTAATAGACCGAAGGTTGAGGTTTCCTTTTCTGCCTAAACGGGGACTAAAGTTTATTACTAAATAATGCAATGATTAGGATATTTGCGTCCATGGAGGAAGCTTGGTCTTAAAGCACTTGTCATCATATTCGAAACGCCATGCATGCAAGTAAATTGAGAAGTGGGTTACATGGTCCTCATCGAACAATGGTCGTCCACATTCCTCACAGGTTGTTGATTTTCGTGATTTCAAATCCATCGAATGAGATTGTTTAAGTTCTATTAGTTGCTCCTTTATCTTAGAATCTGAATTCCAGTTGATTATATTCAACAAATCAAGCGTTTTTGGAGCGCTTATAGGACTTCCAGGTGGTGCCATATCTTTAAATTGGGGGTACCGCTGGAATAACATTTTATACAACAATGTTTCCAAGTTTGATTTTGCAAAATAAGTTTTGCTTGCTTCAATTGGGTTGTAAAAATGATCATTAGAAATCGGATACCCCAAGTTTCTCAAATGAATTCTGATTTGGTGGAATTTTCCCGATATTGGTTGGCACTTGACGATGCTTTCATTAAGCTCCTGGCTGTAAACCATTCGCTCAAAGACTGTTGTTGTGTCTGCTTGTACATTTTCCAAATCTCCTGGCTGTAGATATCCATTCATATTGACGGCAAACACGGGACAATTGTACACTTGCTCTCCAGGGGGGAACTCGCCTTTCACCCTCGCCAAATATACTTTCTTTACCCGGTTCTTTTTGTCTTGAAGTAAATTCAGAAATTTGATAGCTGACTCTCTACTTTTGCACAATATTAGCACGCCACTTGTGACTTTGTCTAGACGGTGGCAAGTCCAAATTGAGTCAAAGCCGTACATCTCCTTTACGATTTCCGAGAGGCTATTGAACATGTAGTTTCCCGAAGGGTGCGTCGGCACTCCAGATGGTTTATCAACAACAATTATTTCATCATTTTCAAAAACAACTGAAATTTTACTCAGCCAAGGAATAGCTGGCTCGTGTTTGTGTTTAAGGTGGTGGATCACGTCTTTACTTTCGACCTTACGCTGGGATAAAATATCTAAACCTTTCAAGGACTCACTCGGGAGAGATGTGCCCACATTGCTGACAATGTATAGGTTGCCATGTTGAATGTCTTTGACTATTCCCTCTAAAGGCTCGCCGAAATCATTAATATACGTCTCAACCAAAGTCCGCCCTACCCATCTTTGTTTAGAATGTGTTTGGTAGTTCATGTAATACGGTAGGACTTTGCGTAGACCCTTTTCAAACACATATTTCGGCATATGTTGTGAGGAGGATGGGTATGCGATGAGGGAATCGCATGGAGATTCTCTCATGTTTTAACTAATGTTGGTGCTACCATGTGTTTGACCAATAAACTGCAAAATCTCTACAAAAGAGAAAAAGAGGCTACAAAGTTTTTCTGAAAAACCTATCAGGGATATATAATAAAATACAAAAACTAAAGAACTATAATGTACGAAGAAATGACACGGCCTTTTTTAAGATGGCAACACGTTAGCTTTTTCTTCGCCAATGATATTGCCCGCAGGGTCATACTCACAAATGATGTACTTTCCCCATCCGGTACTCGTACAATCCTTGTAAGCACATCCCACTTTTGTGGAAGCTTTCCAAACAACTTGTGTAAAATGGTTGTATTCGTTGGCAGCCGAGTAGCTGTAAGTGTCTCCCTCGTCATACCAAGCTTTAACTGCACTTGGACCATCGCTGAAGCCTGCAGCCAAGTTTTCACCATACTGTCCATGTGTGTGGGTCAATACACCTGAGCAGTCATAGTTGTCAGCATTGTTCTTTGCATAATTGTATGTGTCAACATCCCAGGATAAATCGCCAGCTTGATGAAGAGCACGGTATTTGTTGTGTGCATCCAAAATGTCACTAGCAAATGAAGCGTCAATATCATCCGAATCCGAAATAGCAGCATAAATATCAGATGATGATGATGATGATGATGATGGTGCTGAGTATGAGGTGGAGGATGATGTTGAGTACTTCGGCTGTGATTGGGATGAAGTTGCTGTAAATCCCAAGGAGTCAGTTGATGGAGTATAGATGTTTGCAGATGCTATAGTTGATGCGGTTGATGCGGTTGATGCGGTTGATGCGGTTGATGTTCCAGTGGAAGAGCTAGATGATGAACCAGAGAGCAAACTTGATAACCTATCCCAAAAAGATGATCCACTAGAACTGCTTGATGTTGAAGATGTTGATGCAGTAGATGCAGTTGAATCTGAATTGCCACCAAATAAGCTGCTCAAAATACTCGAAAATGACGATCCCGTAGATGAACCAGAAGACGAACTGTCAGATGTGGTTGATGCTGCCGAGGATGATTGAAAACTGTTCAACAACTCGCTCCAAAAACCGGACGAGGTGGTGGTAGCAGAAGCTGCTGCTGCTGTTGCTGCAGTGGTTGCGGCGACATTAGCATTAGATGCTGCTGTTGCTGCTTGATTAAGGTTGTTTGCACTAGCGGCGCTTGTTTGTATTGATGAATCACCCGATGTGACTGTTTGTAATACTGTGACCACAGCTGGAGCAGGTGCTGCCTCTAAAAGGTTGGCAAAATAACACAATAAGATGATTTGGAGTGAATTGGCAAGCATCTTTCTTATGGTGAGGTCCCAGTAGTTTACTCAGTTCCTATAAAGTTTTAAACACGACATTCTTGCGAGGTTTTATACTTACTCATATACACAATACTAGAGTTGAAAGTAAAAAAAAAATTGTTGCAAAAATAATTTTACATTCCCGATTAGGAAATGTTTTTTTTTGACTAAACCGGAAAAAAAATAGAAATTGTACAGGACCAAAGTTGCACAAAGATTGCAAAAACTGAGCCCATGTCAAAAAAAGGCACTCTACTTGTTAGTTAAAAATGTAAATACTTAAATCATTGGATTTGAATAATTAGCAGTTGAAGCGGGGGGGGTAATGGTAGTGGGGCTGTCGGGCATAAAGAAAGAGAATTGGCGCCCTTGCATTTTTACGGTATTTGGATATATTTTAGAAGGCTTACCACGTTTATACTTGATTCGTACCTATTCGAGTTAAGAAAATAAGGAGGTGATATGTCTGAGAGTGATGTGGGGAAACCTTTCTTGGATTTTAATGTTCTCCGTTGTAAACTTCTAGACTTTTGAATCTGTCTTCTATCAAATAGCCATTTTACCCCATTAGTATGCAAAATATTTACGAGAAAAGGAAAATGTCGTGCAACGTGTGTGTTGTTTTAGTTTCTATTATTTACCTACAAAAATCTCCTTCATAATGTGAGAGATTATTTCCGCCACCCCACCACCAGTGCATCGTACAGTTATTCTCAAATCTTTCCCCTCTTCGTCCAATCCAACAAACTTGACAAGAACACCGTAATTGGATTTTTGTGTGTGAATAATTCCGGCCCCTATTATGTTGATGGGTCTAAAGTCGGTTTCTGGAAGAACTGTAAATCCTACTCTTGATAAGGAGCGACAAACCTGGGCGGAATCATGTCTGTGTGACAAATGTACAACTACGCTGCTCTCGCCTTTTTCAAGTCCCAAATGCTTGCCTATTTGATTCCATCTTTTTTCAAACTCGTTGAGTCCACCAATTGGGGCCGATGTTAACGTCTTTATAAGCTGGACGGGGAATTTCAAGTTCAAATGACTGAAAGAACCGCCGCACATAAAAGTAAACGAAATAACAGGATCCTCGTCATGTTCAACAACGCCTCTCACTTTTACACTTATTTCCATATGGGCCTGATCTGAGATTGTCGATTCTGGCAATTGCGTGATGCAGACCAAGTAGCTAGGATCCTCTTTTTTTGCTTTAGAACCAAGACTAAGAACGTTAAATCCGGTTATAGTCTCACCCAAAGTCTTGTATGCGTTATTTACGATAGCGAATTGGATTAAGAACTCGTTATTATTTTTCACCAATCTGTAGGTGATTTTGATGAGGTTATTCTCATAAAAAATGCCAGCGTCAAAATGAAGCATTCGGTGAAATCCAGCGTACCAGTTGTTTGTGAGGGCATTGTCTTCAACAGTACTGTTGTTTGTACCATTCTCTGGTTTTGTTTTGATATTGCTAGCCAAAACTCGCGACTTTGACCGGCTCACCCCAGGACGATTTGCCAAAACCCCAAGCCTTTTCAACAAAGGACTTTCATGTTGATTGAAGGCAGGGATGGGTTTGATTACCGTACTGGCCAACCTGAAGTCCGCATGGATTGTTGACAATTTCAAGTACTCATAGGCCCTGCTCTGGATCTCCAAATCCAATGACTGCGTCTCAACTTCAAACAAATCAACAATTTCAGGAACAAAATCAGCTTCGGGAAACTTGACAAGGAGCTTGATGAAAGTGCTCAACAACATCGCTCGAGTGGAAATAGACACGCCAAAGTATGCGTCATAGAGCAAACGAAACTGAATTCCGATATTAGTCTCTGCCACATCATTCACTTCGTGACCAAACTCGCCAAGCACAAATGCCGCCACTTTGATTAAGTACTCCGAAACGGGGGATTGTGTATTCCCAAATGGCTTTTTCATCAAATTAATGATCATCTTGGACGTCTTTTTATGCAAGTCGTCATTGTTGACTACTATTTGTACAATTCTCTCCCAGACTTCATTGCTGATAAATCCAACTCCATTGGCGTTTGAGCCACCACCGATTGAAAGCAATTTTAGCATTGTTGTGACATACCATGTAGAGTCCGTTGCAAATCGTTCTGCCAATACTGCAATTTTTATAGCCAACTCCTGTTTCATTTGTTGATCAGCATATGGGAAATAGAGCAATAGTTCGTTCAAAATGACAGAATAGGTTTCCTCGTTGCAGATAGTGTAAAGCAAGTCCAATGCTTTCCTTCTCACTGATATATCCTTATCCTTGAGCAAGTGGATGAAAATAGGCAAAATCTCGTTAAACTTATCCTTTGATGATAGATATGGGGAATCCAGTCTGGCGGTAAGCTTTATCAAAGCATCAAGAGCCAAATATCTCGTATTTGTATCGTTTGATGCAATGAGGCTTAAAAGTGCATTGGATGCACCGGCGATGGCCTCGGGAGACGCCTCCAAAAATACTGCCAACGATACTGCTTGAAATAAAATGGAGCTTCGTGAGTTTCTGTTTGGTAGGCCCTTGACATGTTGAGATGCATTCTGGATAGATTTCGACACCACCTGGCGGAGTTGATTTAACGTGGTACTGTCAATCTTATTGGCCGAGAATGCTGTTGGATCGCTTGTCGTACTTATTAGAAAGTTGTTTTCGATAAATTGCAAAAGCTTCACTATAAGCCAAGGAGCAGGCGTATTATAGTAGTAGTACTCAGCGGGGCACTCCTCCAAGACTGTTAATGAGTAGAGTCTATGCGCAACAGAAGGAATAACTGACCTCACAACCTCTGGTTTAATTGTTAGAATATAGTCAAGCAAGGGCACACTAGAAGTAACAACGCCAATATCCTTTGAACCTTCCACTATTTTCAATAAACGAGGAACCCAATTATTGTTCTTTATAACAACGTCAGGGTACATCTGAAGGAGTGATTTCAAAGTTATCAATGCCTTTTGTTTTACAATAGGTTTCAGCAATGGGGAAGTTGCAGATGCGTATATAATGTCAATCAATTCCATCCACTGCATGGAGTTACCGTCACCGTCGTATATCGTTACTGAATCCGACGCAGTAAAACAAGTTGCAATCATCTGAATCGCCAAACAGTTGACCTCTTCATCCGTAGACCGCAAGTCCAGAACTAGGCAAGGGTGTGTAACTTCCAATATGTGGTTCAAGTGTTCCTTGGCTGTGAACAATGAATTGCTATTAGGGCTCTCGTTATTCAAAAGAACAGACACCGCAAGGTATCCCAACTTTTTATCACTGAAAATATTGGATTTAATCAATTCAATGGACTCATCTAGTCCGAAGTTGATCAATTCAGAATGCCCCAGGATGAATATATAAATCAACTTGCAAATGTACTTTTTCTTTTGGTTACTATTCAACGATGTTGTCGATTGAAATTTATTCTGGATACTATTTGCTTCTGTACGTATTTTCTTGTATTCTTCCTCTTGGTCCTTTGAATTTCTTAGGTCAACAATGAACTGATGTATTCCCTTCATGTGATTTTTCTGAAATTTGTCCTGTGGCTTCATGGTAGATACTTTTGTTGCTGACCGGTCAAGACTAACTGTTTTGGGTTTTGATCTTAATAATGATCTAGGCTTTCGCGGATCCTCTCGATCGAAAATTTGGAGACACAAAAATTCCTAGGGCCAAAATGGAAGGCAGAGGGAGAATTTTGCTGTCAGGGAGTAGCCCTACAGAGTGATATAGTATTTTAATTGTTCCCAGTTCGGAAATGCTACTTGAGCAACCACCGTTCAAAGGGCCTGCCTTAATTTATTTATATTAACAGTCATAGAAACTTTTAATTTCTTGTTGCCATTGACACAATTGGACTTGCTTACATGGGAGGAATGAAAAGGATAAACTCAGTAAGTGATTGAGAAGGCACTCATTAGCTCAGAATAAGTGTACACATTAACAAGCCTCAGTTTTATCTAGTACGTAAAACCATCCTTTGTACATACTGATGATTGCAAAATTGAGGCTACTACAAACCCCTCACTACACAATTAGTACGCAGAACCTCTTCCACCTCCCTTGCCAATGCTCTACCTCAATTGTGCCCTTTAACATGGTTGCAAAATCTAAAAGCCTACGTCAATGGTCGTGTACATGGCTCAAAGACTGCTTGTAATTTTTCATTGGACGAGAGAAATCAAAAGCCAATCGGTCTAACCTCAACGAAAATGTAGCGCTGAGAAAGGAAAAAAAAAAATTGAGAGACAACAGACTAACCAAATTCCAACGTTGTATATATCTATTCACTCAATTTGCAATCAACAATGTCATCCGTTGCCCAACAAGCTGCCAAGAAGGTTGATTTCGCTAAGCTCATCAAGAGTTTAGGATTGACTGGCTCAACTGCAGCTTCATTAACTGCCTTCAAAAAGAGACACGAAGAGGCCAAGAAACAATTTATAGATTTATCAAGTCAATCCACTGAAGTTGATTTCGGCCGTTACAGACAAATCTTGAAGAACTCAAAAGTTGTCGATGAAGTTGAAAAGGCTATCACTTCATTCAAGCCAGTCACCATTGACGTTTCCAAGAATTTGAAGAATATTGAAATTTTCGAACAAAAGGCTGTTGAGAATGCTCAATTGACCGAAAAGTCTGTTACAAAAGAGATTGCTGAATTGAAAGCCACCTTGAAGGACATTGAAAGCGCAAGACCATTCGACCAATTGACTGTTGACGATGTTGCTAAGGTCAGACCAGACTTGGATGAAAAGACAACTTATATGGTCAAGAACGGTAAATGGGTTGTTCCAGGATATAGAGAAAAATTCGGCGATTTGGCTGCTATGTAGATGAAGCTGAATACATATGTTGAAGTATATTAGCGTTTGTCGTTCATGTAGGTGGGGTCAAGAAGATGTAGAGCGCGACTTTCTCTGGTTACAATGTAGTGCTCTTGTATTTACCTCAAGAGGTTGATGCAATTGAAACCCCTTTTGTACCACGTATCCACCCGTCTCTGACTTTAGATATAAAATATTCTAGTGGGAAGTTCTACGATAGGACAATTTTTCCGAAAACAAAAATATTTACTTGCAACCGCGCGATGTTGTAATTTAGCATTACACTGGCAACCATTACATCAAAGCATACAGTCCAAGATATCAATGCTGGTGAAGCAACTATTGAAACGGGGACTAGTGCAAACACATCCTATAGTAAAAAGGGTGTCGACGCGACTACTACTACTCCTATTAAAAGCGTTGAAATTTACGTGTGTTTTGGTCACCAAATTATACCTGGCTATACTTAATGAAAGAACTTGGAAACAGTTTGGGCTAGACTTTGGTATTGACTTTACATTCGTTGTAATGTGTGCTTTAATAACGTCCTCGATCAACTACATACCACGGCCCGACCAAATCTTTTACAAATTTTTATATCGTTTTGATACATACTTTTTTGACATCGGAAAACAGCCTATAGGTTCAATCACCGGATTTTTACTCACCTGTCTCGGTGCCTACATTGTCAACTATTTTTACTACAGCAAAGAAGAAGATGGGCTTTTTGGAAATTCCATGTTGCCGCAACAGAATTATGGCTTCAAGTTGAAGCCTTTGCAAGTGTCGTCTGTCTTGATGCAAGGCGGAGGCAGCGGCATGGCTTCTTCTACAGCCAGCTCCAGGCCATCCATCTCAACTGCCGGATCATCAACCCTATCCCCTTCCAGTGACTTGAACAACTTCACAGAAGAGGAAGAGTTGTTTGATTTAAATGTTCCCTCAGGTGAATCGGAGTACTACCATTTCAAGCCTTTGCATGGTGAAACAGACGAGGAGATCATCAACCGATGGTGGAAGAAAATGCCAGTTATTTTGCTCTGTTCTGCTTGGATCGTTCTTAATATATTGTATGCTTTCAAACAACCAGTTTACAAAACCAAAAACATCATTGCTTGGATATTCCATGTGCCCGTGCATTTTATTGTACCACCGATGGTTGGTACATGGCTTTACTTGTGGCACGCCCCTGGAGCGTTGAGGCTCTACACTTTTTGCTTGGGTTTACAAAACTTTGTATTACTAGCAACCTACTTGATGTTTCCTAATGCGCCGCCAACATTCATCAAGCTATACGGCGATAACAAGGTCCCCACATTTGACATGATTTACAGTGATGGGCAAGCATCGCAAGATAAGAAATTTTCAATTTTTTTCCATAAGGCAGTGTATTATGCTACTCCGCTCAAATTTGCCTCATTTCCATCATTGCATTCCGCCTTTGCATGTTTGATTTGCTTTTTTGCATGTCATTATTCGAAATGGTCCAGTTTTAAGTTCTTAGGTGTTGTTAATGTGCTTGGACAGTGGTGGGCAGATTTATACTTTGACCATCATTGGAGAGTCGATAACCTAGGGGGTTTGATTTATGCCATTCTAACATGGACTTTGTTGAAAAATTGGCATCGTGGTTTGGCTGATGTAGACGCAAAATTCAACCGAGCAAGATTACAAGGAGATTTTGTCAATGGCAGCACTGCTGGTATGCGACTATTTCGCAATACAAAGTTTCAAAATCACTTCGATCCTCTAGCTTAATAGTGATAATAATTATAATTTCCAATTGTTTTAATAGACTATGTATTGAGTAAAACTAGTTAACCTAAATAAGCAGAACCACCATGCTAAAAAGAAGGATACAAAAAAATTGGCGGATATCAAAAGAGCGATCACCTCTTAACATTCGATCAACTCAACCACATCCAAAGTGACTGGGTGGCATTGGAAACCAATGGATTGATCGTATAAATTGTAAAAGTGGCCAGAAGCACATTGGTAGAATTTTGTCGAGTTACCCAAAGCCAATTGACCATCTTTAGTGACTGACCAACCTGCAGCAAAAACAGCACCATGTTGAGGAGTAGGACCATCAAATTGGAATTGATGGCCGGATACAATACATCCAATTCTGTCGTCTGAATCTCTCAAAATCGAATCGTGTAATGACATACGTAAAGTGGCGTTCGTGTAACAGGCGACTGAATAAACGGGAGATTCAAAACCATCATCATTGGAGTAGTCGTGCTTTCCTTCATGCTCTTTCTCGCCCTTGCGAGCTTTATGATTCTTGTGGTAGTTGTTATTACGACCACGCTCTTTGAAATCTCTATGTTCAGCATATGATTTTTCATGGCTCTCATGCTCTTTGGATCTATCGTGTTCGTCGTAGTAGTCATGATCGTTTTCGCCTTTTTCGAAATTCAAATTATTGTCAGAATCATAATCGTCAAATCCGTGTTTGCCTTTGTAGTGTTTCGAATGTTTGTCAAATGACTTGTCCTTGACATCACCGCCAATATCATGAGAAATCTCGTTATCCAACTCGTCTCTCTTTGATAAGACCGTTTCTCTGTCAAAATCTCCCTCATTATCAAAATTATTATCCTTGTTGACATCTTCAAAATGTTTGCGTCCACCAAATTTTCCATCCTTGTCATAATAGTCACTCTTGTCAGTCTTGTCATTATCAAAGTATCCATCTCCATGTTCATCATATCTGTCACTTGAATACCCATCATGGTAATGATGTTCCTTATCCAATGGCTTCTTCTTCTCTTCTGGATCACACGACTCTTCATTCACTTTTTGAACTTGGCCATCAGTAATTTGAACAATAATGTCTTTAGTCTTGGTTTCCTTCGGAGCTGGTGTAATAACAGATGTAACAAAACTAGTGGTAATACTTCTTTCGATTGATTTAACCTCTGGTTCTATCAACTCCCCATCATTGGTGACAGTGTAAGGATTCACAACAATTCCAAATTTGAAAGGCAAGCTGGTAAAACTTCCTGGTAAGTAATCACAAGTTGGTTTGTACCTTGTCCAATCTTCTCCATTGGCTGGGACGTAGTAAGCTTGAATCAAGTTGATTGTGGCAAATGATGCTAGTAAACGTGGCAGTAACATTATTAAATGATGGTAAAGAATGAAAAGGAAAGTGGTGGATAACGGGTTGTTTTATTTTTGAAAATGCAATTGCAATTTATACTGCCTAAAATTGTTGCAAAAACGTTATGCGAGTGGGCCTTTTTTTTTTGTAACGCCAGCCCAAGTTTGTGGCACTTTACTTGATTATCATTGGGTGCCGTCGGATTGAAGTACAGTTTAAGCAGATATACCAGATGTACCAGATGTGGTATATGGAAAGATGAGGGGAGCCTTGGTAGCAGTTGTTGAAGCAGGGGTATGGTCTAGTTGCTTCTAAGGCAGACCTCTAGGATGATCTGTTTATAGCAGTGCAGTCCGAACGGTCTCCTCTATCCTAACCCTATCAAATACACCTCCAAATATATCAATATCAACTATCATTTCAATAAAATGGTTGTATCATCTCCCCTCCCCTCCTCTGTTGCTCTAGTCGAATGAGACAGCACAAATTTTTGCTTACAAACAGTCACTTTTTGGTAGTTGCACGACCATGTGAGAGTATAACTGAATATCGCAGTATATAAAATGATGGATCAGTTCTCTGCATTTTGCCTTACCGCTTTGCTAATCATCAACAAACATGTTCAGAAGAGCTCTTTTTAATACAAGATTCACTCCAAGGATAGTATGTATTAGGCTATGATTGAGTAATAATCAGGGGGGTGTACCATAATACTAACTCACACCTCTAGAATCCCCTTCAAACTAGATTCATCTCTACCGAGATTAAAGATGCCATCTCCAACGCTGTCAAAGCTACCCCAGTTGTGCTATTCATGAAAGGTACACCTGAATTCCCTCAATGTGGTTTTTCAAGAGCTACAATCCAAACTTTGGGACAACAAGGTGTTGATCCAACAAAATTTGCTGCGTATAATGTCTTGGAAGATCCTGAATTAAGAGATGGGATTAAAGAGTTTAGCTCGTGGCCAACTATACCCCAATTATATGTCAATGGAGAGTTTGTTGGCGGGTGTGATATTATTATGAGTATGGCTCAGAGTGGCGAGTTGGCTGACTTTTTGGAAAAAGAGGGTGCTTTGGTTCCAGAAGAAAAGGACGAGGTTGAAAGTGCTAATGTCAAACCAAATAGAAAGTAGATAAGGTAGCTAGATTTAATAACTTATATATATAGTAATCTAAAATGTTGATGCACCTACTCCATGTAGTTAAATTGGTCATGGATAACGTTAGGAAAGTCCGCTTCCGTATGAGCTCCGCTATTGCTGCCACTGTCTTCCCCACGTAATTCTGCTGACTCAACATCAAAGCTAAAAGGACTGGTGCCAGGTTTAGTAGCCTCGTTGATAGTATGCAAATTATCTCCAACTATGGTGCTTTCTGGTGGATGGAAGTTTAACCACCCGGCTTCAGTCGTGATTTCATTCCACAACTTTTGTTCCTCATCAAGGTAAGCAAACTCCTCAATTCCCGTCAAGTCTTGGTTTGAGTTGAAATCGCCTTGACTTCGAGGAAGGACACTATTGGGGTTTAAGAAATCTAAATCGGGGTGTTGTTCCTGTTGCTGGGGAGTGTTGGTCGTTGTCTCCTGGGCACTTTCCTCCACATCCTTCAAATCATCCTCGTATAACTTGAAATCCTCGTCGTGTTTACGAAGAATCTCAGTCATTGCGCCATTGAAATCAAGTACACGAATCAATTTCAACAACTGGGCTCTTCTCAATGCAGCTGGGTAATTACCCAATCGCTTCATCTTGGTGAACAATGTTAATGCATGGTCCAAGTGGGTTTTTGTGGCATCGTGTACTCCAAACGATGCATTAAAGAGAATGAGCGTTGATGCTGAGGTGAACAAGTATTCACGATCCATCCACCCAAAAAGTGCAACCATATTGTCCAGCACTAGAGACCAAATACTCTTGATTGTGTTGATTGATGCTTGGAATGACGAGTTTAATAAACTTAACACGTTTTTGGAATATTTGGTCAAGTCGATGTACTTGTTCTGCGTGGCTTGCACTTGCAACTCCTTCAACTTTTTCGACGAGAAATGGAATAATAGTGGCCTAACTGCCAAGTTGATACCCTGAAAGTATTCTGTCATCAAGTTTACAATCAACCGTGATACTTTTGGCTCCTCCAAAGTATAATCAACGTGGAGATGTTTTGGTAACGTGTTTTTCCAAGTGATTAACCTCTGCACCAAATCAGACACAATTGGCAAGATGTTGTATGTTGGTGTTTTCGTATACAAGGAAGATAAGATGACTGCATTGATTTGGGTAATGGTGACACAGTTGTTGATATAGTCCGCGGGTGGGAAGATGTAATACCCCCTTACATCCTGGTCATCACGAGGGAAATCCGATAGATCAATTTTGAAATCAACTGGCAACTCGGTGGAGACGGAATCATCAGCAAAACTTAAAGGGAGGCCTGCTTTTGATGAAAGCATGCGTTCGTACATATAAACTGTCCACCAAATCCTTCGTCGATGCTCAAGCTCAAATCTATTGAGAGACTCCTTCTCTGCATCCACGTGCCAACCGAGAATTAAGGCTGCCCTCAACGCCAATCCAAAGTAAAAATAAGATGCTATGGTGCAGTCAGCCACTTGTAAATAAAATGCATACAAAAGCATAACCTCGATTCCCCCATCCTTTGTGATGTTATCAATGGCACCAGATGCAAACAATCCCGTGAATATTTCCGAAGCTTGGTAAAAAAACTCAGCCCCTGGCAAAGTGTGTTTTTCCTTGTGCTCCTTCCTTCGCGTCATATTTTCAAGCTTTTGTCTCTTGGCATGAGTGCCCGATTCAGTACCCAAGTACATTTCTCCTATGGAGAATATGAGCAATATTTTGCAAAACCAGATAGTCTCCAAAATGGTCTCGTCATCGGCATCCTTCTTTATGGTGTTTTCATCTGAATTTATCGTTGCATCTTGAGGGTAATTTCGTCTTAGGATTTTCTTGTTCTCCTCAGTCTTGCCCGCATACAAATTCATCAAAAATTGTTTAATTAACCCTTCGTTGAAAAAGTAGAAGCATCCGTCATTGTAATTGATGAATGTGTCCACCAATAACATGGCATAGGAGTAAGAAGGTAAGGAGAAATTCATTGAAAGCCCTGGCCTGGTGTTTGTCTTGGAAAGGGTAATCTTGTAAGCACCACCTTCCTTTTCCATCACTTTGCTCTCACGTTTAATAGGACGTGTGTCACTCTTTGCCGACGAGATTGAAGCGCGTGTATCGGGAGAATTCATCGGAGTTGTTTTGCTTGAGCTAGGAAGTAATGAGTCGAATGAGGGAACCATGTTTTGAATCTCCAAACCAAATAATGTCATAGATGACGATCCTACGTACACTTTTTCCCCAGTTCGTGATTGGATTAGTCTTCCGTGTTTGTCTAGTGAGGGCCCTATGACTTCGAATCCTTGGTTTGATTGATGGTTTACTCCTGAAGTGGCATTTATTTGATTCTGCACGGGTGTCACGTGTTGTCTTGAAGGCTGGTGCTGCTCTGTATGCTTTAGTTCCAGCTCCTTTAGACTGTTTCGAAGCAGCGCATTGTCCTTTTTCAACCTGGCAATGTCATCGTGCAACCGGGAAAGGTATTTCATGGAAACCACAATTTTCTTATCAGCTTCCACGTATTCACATTTGGTCTTTGCAAGTTGGCATTTCTTGCATGGATCGCCTCCGGGGCATCTTATGTGACGGGTTCGGCAACGTATACATGCCAATGACGTTCGCTTTGGGCGTCCTGTAGGGGTTGATTTTGTCGCTGCAGTTGGCTCATCGAAGGATGAGTTTGTGGCTGAGGGTAGATTGATGTCAGCATTGTTGGAGTTGTCACCACACTCGATTGATGGATCATGCTTTATCCCGCTCATTGTGTAGACGAAGTGATATTGCTATTAGGTTGTTGTGTGTGTTCTTTTGGGGTTTTCTTGGTTATTATTTTCCTTTTCTTACTTTTTTTTTACTTTTTTTCTGTTTTGTTTCAATATCTGACGATTACACAAAAGAGATTTTATGATGGGGGAGGGTTTATCTACTTAACCCTTTACAATGCGGTAAGTTCAATGACATTTCTATACCTTCCCTTCGTACCAAGCTGCTATGCTTGCAAATTCTGTTACAAATTTTGCTTCTCCATTTTGGAACCTTCTGCGCTCCTCCAAGAACTCTGGGTGTATTTTAAGCATTCTGAACTTTTTATTAATACTGGAAAATCGATAGCCCTCGAATGTAAGGCACGAAATGAACTCATCATGCAAGAAATCATATAATTGACCAAACTTTGCCCCCTTCTCTTCGTTGATGTATTTTTATATTTTTAAAAACTAGATGGGCACATGATCGACAAACATGGCAATGCTTTCCTTTTTCAATCGTCTCACCAGGGTATCATACATGGCCAGCTGAGTCTGATATCTTGAAGAGATTCCACGCGATACTTTGTCCAATAATTCGTAGATCTTTTGTTTCGTAAAATTTAGATCAATGAAATCTTTGGCTCTGTACACATGTGGACATAGTACCTCAGTGACAACTCCCCTCTCACCACAATAGACATGGATATGATACAAGTCGTGTTTATTGGACAGAATTGGTCAACTTATTGGATCCCTTTTTATCTATTTAAACGCACCGAAATCCCCATTTTTTTGTGTTTCTCTTTTGCAACCATTCACACTAAAGTCCAAACAAGTTCCCCAGCTTATTAACATACCAAGTTTTGCCTCTCTCTCCCTCACTTCAGCTGAACGTGCAGTATTATTAGACACAAATGTTTTTGGGTTTTCAGCTGTTGGAGAAGAGTCACCTCACTGGCAAGGGTCATTCTTGCATCGGTCCCTTTTTTTGCCCTGGCACTCCTACGCTACTTCTTTTTTCCCTTGGAACTCCCCTTTTTTTAAGTGTAGGTTGAGCTGATTATTTCAAAAGATGCTGGTAAAATGCTAGGTTTTTTTTGGTTAAATGTGACAATGTGAGGGGGAGTTGGAAATTCCCTTTGATTAATGGATGGGTAGGACGCCTGGAGTCGACGTAAGGCACCGACAAAATATGGCCCTGATTTATTACACGAATAGACCCCCTCGATGGTTGACTATGGGTCATCCAGGGGCAACTGTGGTGTTTCTAGTGAGGCTTTGTTTCAGTTAATGGAGTTCAAGAGGACAGAGCAGACTAAGGTGGAAAAGTCATCCCCCTTTTAGTCTGCGTCCAAAAAAAGAAAATACTACAAAGGATATAGAAACTAAAAAGCACCGTTGGCGAGATCCAATGATGTTACCGGCGGGGTCAAATGAACAGATTATATATTTGCTCCAAGTTTCAGTAGAGCAATCTTTTAGTAGGTCTTTTCGCACTCTACTAATTCACTTACATCATGGTACTAACTCCATATTTCTAAGAACAGCTCTGGAACCGCTACCATGTGTTCTGCCAATACGAAATAGTGCGCTACTATTTCTAAAACACAAAAAAAAATTTTAAAGAAAAAAATGTATTAAAATGCAAACTATACAAAAAACTATAAACTAAGAAGACAACACATTGGCTTTGCCCTCGCCGATAATATTACCGGCGGGGTCATATGAACAAATGATGTATTTTCCCCAGTTTTCAGCACTACAATCCTTATAAGCACATCCGACTTTGGTTGTGCTTTTCCAAACGACTTGTGTAAAATGATCAAAAGTGGAAGCAGTAGAATAATCATAACTGCTACCCTCATCATACCAAGCTTCAACGGCACTTGAGCCGCTGCTGTATCCAACGGCCAAGTTCTCACCATACTTACCACCCGAGTGTTTCAAGTTTCCAGAACATGAGTATTCGTCAGCGTAGTTTTGTGCGTATTGGTAAGCATCTTGATCCCATGACAATGCCGATACCCCATGAGCGGCACGCTTGGAGTTGTGGGCATCAAGGATGTCTTTGGAGAATGATTCATCTTGAACATTACCAAAGTCACCGCTTGATGAAGATGACGATGAAGATGCTGCTGCAGAGGATGATGAGGAAGTTGCTGGGGCAGATGATCCTTGAGCAGTAGATGAGGAAGTTGCTGGGGCAGATGATTCTTGAGCAGTAGATGATGAAGTTGTGCTTGTGGCCTCTACTGATTGTTGGGTTGGTTGTGAAGTCTCAGATGAAGCAGTGAATGAAATGATAGCCTCATCTGATTCAGTAGAAGCTTCATCAGACAAAGTGGAAGTGACCAAAGTGCTTGGCTTGGCAATGACAGCCAATTTTTGAGTAGTCAATGAGTCACCACTTTGGATAACCAAGTTTTGACGGTACAAGGTAGCATTGGCTTGGTCATAGTCGGAAACAACAGTGGTAAAAGCGATATCTTGACCCAAAATATTTGTGGAAAAGACCCAGGTTGAAGCAGAAGGTGCTTCAGTAGTTTCAGTTGGGGTTGATTCTCCTTCGTCGGCACCAGCAGTAACGTAATGAGTAACGTGTACATAGTCGTACTTAACTTGAGCCAAGGACAACCCGAATAAAGTGGTAGCTGCAGCTGTAAAGTGGGCGAATTTCATGACGCGATTTTATTTAATTTGTTTTGTGTTTTAAAATGAACGTGGTATGTTTACTTTTTTTTTTTTGATTTTTCGCTTTCTCGTTTAAAGGGAATGCAAAGGGTATTCGTAAATGAATGTGTCAGTATAAAAGAACTGGGTAGTGACGGACAATAGTTGGGAACAGAAGGAGTGTGTAGGTGAGGACTTGTGTTCTTTTAAGCTAAAGAAAGGAAAAGGAAGGAGAAAAATAGAAAAAAGAAAATGAAACTGAGATTTAAAAAAAGAGAGATATGTTGAAACATATTTATAACAAATCTTGAAAGTAGAAAAAAAGAAAGACAAAACAATAACCACCTGGTATATTAGTGTTATTCCCCCTTTAAACAAAATTAAAAAGAAAATGGACCTGTAATTATTATGATTCGATTCGTGCTTAAACAATAAAAGCACAAATTAGTTTGTGTGTATAGAAAATCCATTTATGGTTAAATTGAAAAATTATTGACAGTAGTACACATAAACGCCAAATAGACACGTTACACAAATTGGTAATTTTCTTTTCTTTGTTGTTTACATTTCCTCTATTGTTCAAAAGGCATTCTCATAATCTCCCTCCTCTATAAATTGTTTACTTAATGAACCAAAATAGGAGTAAACAAAGACACAAGTACGTGTTGGAGCTAAAGAATGTTAGTGGAGAGACTCCACCAATACGTCTCGTTTCAGGGGGAAATAATTTGGAGGACAAAAAAGTGTTTGAGTAGAATATTTGGTATCAAATAGGCATGTCCCCAGAATGCCATTACATCTTCATTAATTATAGAACTACTCTTCACATAGATCCTTTCTCATCGTGTAATGTCATTGGTTTTCTGCAATTCTAGATTTAAAGGCCTGGCTTTGATTTGTAACTCGCACGACCTTTTTCCTATTGTCTTTTCATAGTTTCTGTTTTTTCTCAACGCCTTCGAATTTCCGATAAAATCAATCAAATTTTCCACACCAGCTAGTTCATCGAATCAAACGTTTTTCCTCAAACGGTTCCATTTTTCAGCCAATGGATCCTCGGTCCACCATTGTCCTAATAAAAAAAGAAACAAAGAAGAAAAGTTAAAACATCAATTAAACTTGCATCGATGTGTCAAAATACGATATATCCAGCTGCTGCACCGCCCCGATAGTGGCGATTCCAGAAGCCCTTTTGCAAGAAAAAGAAATTAATTATTTTCCTCCTCAACCGTCTGGAGCCTCAATATGAGTACATTCCACGGCAAAGTAATTAAAATCAACCTGCGGCAATGTACCCACATTCCTCTCTCTGCCCTGGGTTGCAAAAACATTCCGTGGGTACAAAACGGAACTATCGCGTACCTGAGACAACCTCCTATTTTATTCAATCTCTCCCCTTCCACATTGTGATTCGAGACACACGAATGGAACGGCTTCTTCTAGAAAAAAAAAAGACATTGTGCCATGACTACGTACACGATTACTTTTCCAAATATAGAAAGCATTGTTGTTTTATTTTCATACAAATCTAGACCAATGGAAGCACATTCTGTCGACCTTGCCCCTTTACATTACCCACTTGTTTGTAATTGCAGATTACGTATTTCCCCCATCCTTTAGAACTGCAATCTTTGTAGGCGCACCCCAACTGGGTAGTCGACTTCCATATTACTTGAGTGAAATGATCAAATTTGGTGGCTGTTTGGTAATTGTAGTTTGCTCCTTCGATATACCATGCATTGACCACCGACTGGGCTGAACTATATCCAACTCCTAAATTCTCTCCATAAGGTGAATTGGTGTGCTTTAAATTCCCCGAGCAGTCGTACGCATTGGCTACTTTCTGTGCATAATTGTTGAGCTCTTGGCTCCATGCTAACGGGGCGACACCATGAGCAGCACGTTTGGCATTGTGGGCACTTAATATTTCACTGGCAAATGAGGAGTCAGGAGTTGGAGTCTTTGGGCTTGAGTAAACAGGAGCAGCGGCTGTGGTTGGAATGGTGGTGGTTTGTGCTTTGGACTTTGTAGTAGATGACAGCTTTGGAACTATTACGGTGGTTGGAGCCGGTGGTGGAACGATAGGAGTGGTGGAACTGGTTGCCACTTTCTCAACATTAGGATTACCCACTTCTGAAGTAAGGGCTACTTTGGTAGTTATAACCGTAGACTGCTCTACTGAGGAGGCTGGAGTCGTTATTTCTTCAATGCTGGTGAAACTACTTGACGTTGATACTTGACTAGTGGTTGTCTCCATCGACGCTGACAACGGATTACCCAAAAGATATTCAGTAAAATACATTCCTGACTCATTATAAATAGCCGACCTCAGTACAGTAATGTAAACAACATCTGTAACAAGGATTGTTGTCGCTTGTACTACTGCAATAATTGACAAAATTGCAATCACTCCCTGAAGTTTGCAAAGCATCGTTTGAGTTGTATTTACTAGATTTGTTTATAGAAATTGTGGACATCTACTTGTATTATATACTCTCCCCTTCATCGTTGGATTCTGTTTACAGTTCACTCTGCATTAGCATGTATTTGGTCAAGAAAAAGTTGGTGAGTTAAAATAATATTTGGAATATATAATATTTGCACCAACGCGATTTGAGCCAGCAGGATGAAAACACATGGGATACTTCCACTAACAAGTGTTAGAGCATAGCTCCATTGGAATTGCAGTATATACAACGTTTCCAATCTGTCCCCTTTTGCTCCCTCTCTGTAATTCGAAACAAGGTTGCCCACCATAACAGATGTTGTTGCAAAGAAACAAGCAAAATTGACTAGCCTCAAAAGAAAAAGCTTCTACACGCGACTTTTGTGCAACATTGACTTTATAAACAAACAGATCTATTTGTTGTTGATTTCGACATAAATAGACACTAGACAAGACAAGACATTCTACCAACATCAATTTGCAACCGAGACGAAAATAGAGTCTAATTTTATACAATTCTGCCAGTTATATCTCCTCCATCCTATTCATAATCGTCAATATTGGGATACACGATCTCATACGGCCTCACCGACTTGCCATCTTCAAACCCATCCTCAACGTACTTGCTCCAACTCTGGAGGAATTTGTGCCCCGAGTCATGCATCAATTGTAAATCTCCAATAACGCAAAGTTGTCTCTTTGGCCTAGTGATTGCCACATTCAACCTTCGCTCCTCACTTAGGAACCCGACATCTCTTTCATCGTTGGACCTCACCAAAGTCAAGATAATAACTTCCTTCTCCCGACCTTGAAAGCCATCTACGGTACTCACTTCGATCAACGTGTCGGGTCCCAATTGTTTCTTCAACAACTGCACTTGCGCTGCATAGGGTGCAATGATTCCAATGTCTTGTGGTTGCACCCCGCTTTCAAGCAACTTGTTGACGTGGCCCAGGACAATTTGTACCTCCATTTCATTGTATTTAGAATCACCCTTGATCGACTCTAGAATTTGCTCGGGGAAATCGCCACCCTGTGTATCGTACCATAAGCATTGCACATTTGTGTCGTCATTGTTGACCACACCCGGGAGGTCAGTGAGGGTTATTTCTTTAACTGATTCATCGCTAATCAACTTGTCTTCGTACAATTGCAGACTGGGATACTTCATAATACTATCATTCATTCGATATTGCACATTCAATAACTTTTTATACTTGTTTCCATCTAGCTCTACAACTAGTCGATCGAATAGTGTTTTTTCCAAAAGAGACGCCGTAGCGGTTCCTGTCAGCATGACAGTAGGAGGCAATTGCATATTATCACCGGCAATAACCAAGCGCTTGAAGTTAGCATTAAGCAAGAGGGGAACCCAGCATTGAGGCTCTAGCGCTTGCGATACTTCATCGATAATGACTGTGTCAAATGTGGCGCCACTGCGTTTCAAATCAAACGAGCCGGCACCGTGTAGGGTGGCTAGTACAACTTTTGCCCCATTGAGCAATTCATTCACAATCTTGCGCTCTCTTTGCACCAACTCCTTTTTCAACAATTTCAACTCTTGGTACAAAGCCCTCCTCTCGGCATATCTCTTGCACTTTTTAATCTTTGTCAAGACAGACTGAATATCACTCTCGAGATCTTTAATCACATCTTGGCCATAACTCTTGGATAGCACTTCAAGTGAATGCTCTAAGTTTACCGGTAGGAGTCTTGCAGGATGCCCAATTCGTACCAAATCACCAGATTTGTAGTAGTGGTTGCTACTCCCAAGTCTCTCCAAAATTGTATCAACTGAAATGTTCGATGGGCCACATACCAAGACCTTTTCTCCGCGAGACGTCAATTGCCGTATCAACTCAACTAGCGTCATAGTTTTTCCTGTTCCTGGTGGTCCGAATATTATAGAAATGTTTGACTTGTTGATTGCAAAATCAATAGCCGACTTCTGCGATGGGTTCAAGCCATGGTTTAAAAACTCAATCTTCAAGTTCCCATCCAAAGGAGTGTATTCAATCTCACCAAGAAGCAACTTGTGGATATCATTCTTTTGGCTCTCTTTCAACTCCATCACTTTATTCATGGTGGTGATCATACGTTTGTACGTGATTGAGTTGGCCAATTTAACAATCCACAAACGCGATGAATCGTTGGTGTTGTTGTAGTAGTTGAGAACTTTGTCATCGCCTGTTGATTCATCTATCGAGAGAATAATGGTCAGGTTGGACACTTTCACTACCACCGCCTCAATTGCTTCGTCCTGTTCCAGCTTCTCATCCTCTTCTTTCTTGGTCTTCTTTCGCTCAGCATTGGCGCCTTTCGCCATCTTGGCAATCCTGACAATGTCACCCGTTTTCATCGACGTAGTAGAGAGATCTCCACTGACTACAGCATTGTCCAATTGCATCTCCAAAATAGTCTTGCCTCCAATTCCGGTTCTCATGTTGGAAATATTCAAGTTGGTCACAGCAAGCCCCATCTGGGCTAGCTTCTTTGGAGGGTATGCGTTGATATACTCGGTGGTTTGTGCTACATCTTCATCTTGCTCTTTCAAGATGGCATCTTTGAATCTGTTGAACAAACTCATTGTTCGAGAGGAGTAATTTGTATGAATCAAGTTTCTTGAAGTTTTTCAAAAGAGAAAAAAATCAAAAACGTAAAACTTCATGCATCTTTGATTCAAACGACATAGTCATGGTGTTTGATATTTGATTATCCTGATAAGACTTCGTGAAAATATTCAAGAGTCTAAATGACAATAATCAACGATTCTAAAACGAATGTGGTCAAGTTAGGAAGCATTTTTTTTAGTAGAAGTCTGCGATATGAAGAACTCGCACTGACTGATTAAGGCATGGAAATGGTTGCATAGGCTACTCTTATTCACCTGTAGAAAGAGAAGGATGCATCTGTCTGTCAGAAGCCCTTTTCATCTAACATTTAAAGTGTGACCATCTATCTACAGAAAAGAAACTTTCAAAATATATTAATTTAAAACAGCTTAAAACTACAGTTCTATCCACTTGATTCACTCAACACTCCTGTACTCTTTGATATCTCGTCCAGTTTGTTCTTTCAAATACTGGGCACCGGCATTCTTTAAATTATCCAACACCAAATTACGCTGTTTGAAATACCCCGACATTCTCAACAACGATACAACTTTATCGTAACAGGATTCTCCAAAGCTGAGGTAATTGCCAAACCAGCGGCGGAAATCAACAGAACTGAAATGCAGCACGTCAAATTGTAATCCGGTATTACGGTGGATTCCGGCGAGTATCATTGATATGAGGACCAAGTCGATGCCGTAGTGGGCTAGCTTTCCTAACTAGATTTTATCAGTTAGTATTTGTAGATCGCGGTGTGTTAATGATATCCTGTTTATACATACACTCATTATTTGTTAAGAAGGATAGTATGGTGTTAGAAAGGGGGATTTTACAAAGATCGTAACTGATTCTGTCGGAGATTAAAAAAAAGGGAAAAATTTACAATCTATTCTTCACGTGATTGTCACATGCATTATGTTTCCTAGACCAAATTGTCATAGATCCTCCTTATGTTGTCATCAAGTTGTTCACCAGTCCAATCAATGACCCTACCACTTCGACCAACACTAATTTCAAACCGACTCAATATTTCCATCAAATTCACCTTCAACTGTTGATCAAACACGTTCGCCTCTTTCAACTCGCTACTCATCATTTCCAAATAGGACAAAATGCCAAATCGCGTAATCAACAAATCAGACCCCTGATCAATACTTTGTATCTTGTAGACAAGCTTCAAAATGGACACTTTCAATTTCATATTCAATGTCTTTGAATTGAGTAAATTCAACACCGATTCAATGACATTCCTCACAAGTAGAGTTAAATCGCCAGTTGTGCAAAGTCCATTGGTAATTTGTTCAATAATCCAATTCAATTGACGATAAAACCATTCGGTTGACTCCGACGGGTGTGTGATTGCATTGTACAATGGAATATCCCATTTGTTCAAACTAGGGTGAGCAAGAACATAGCGGAAAGCCAATTCGTACAAGAAATGGCCCGGGTTAGCTAGTATGGGCACAAATTGAGAATAAACAAACCAAATCAATTTGGGAATCTCTTGTTGCTGCTGCAAGGTAAAGCAAATTGTCGACAAGTAAACTCTAAAGATGTTCTTATCCTTGAAATGGGCATTGGCCTCGTCATCAATCGATGTCAAGATCTTGTTGAGTATAATCTTGGCAATCGAAGCGTATTTTGTGTTGGACAAGTTGGCAACAATAAATTGCAAAACTCCTGTATCAATTAAATTCTTGATATTGAACGAATACACCACACTGGCATCTTCCTGTTTGGTATACTTTAAAAGCTCATCATTGTTTAATATAATCATGTATAGAAACTCACAATCATAAGCAAGGTGGTTGGTTGATTGTAACGAGTTTTCCCGCTCTAATGCTTCAATTTGGTGCCAGAATTCAACGCCCTTGCCGAACCTGGGAAGATTCATCTCCAAGCTGTGCAAAGAATTCTGGATAATCCCCTTGTTCAACGACACTGTAAGCTGTTCATTTTGCTTTGTAATCAACTTGTCCATTTCAACTAAAGACAACTCGTCACCAACAAGCTCTTCTGATAGTTCCCAATTGGATACAATTGTAATCCAAGATACAGAAACCTTTGCCTCCATTTTTTGCAACACAAATTTTAGCAACAAATCCTCACATCGGTTCAACCCTTGATACTTCTCCAAAACGGTCTTGAGGCTAATCAAGTTGGACAACTTCAGGTGATCGAAATTGTAAAGAATGTAGATAATCAAAGCCGAAAAGTATCGTAAAGATGCATTCTGCTCACTTGGCAAACCATCCAAGCACGTCGATGAAGTCAAGGCGATTTGGAAAAGTTTTTGGAAATCAATCTTGTTCTTTGGTGATACAAGCAATAATTTGATCACGTATTTCAAATAGTTCTTATTGATGAATTTGGATTGAAGAATGACTTCCAATTGTGTGTTTAATATACTTGCCGGGACTACGCTCCAAATGTTTGTCTCTAGTATGTAATCGCCAATATGGTTGACAAACAATTCAAACTTGTCAGAAAGCAGGTCTGACTCGGCAAAACTCTTTGTGATATAAAGCATCGATTTGTGTAGCCAGGTGGAGATACTGTCATGTTGAGGAAACTTTATCACGAAATGGATAAATACGGCATTGGTTGTCTGTTTAAAAGTAATCTGTTGTAGCACTTTCTCGGCTGTGATTGGATCTATGGTTTCTTGAGCCGACAATATGCTTAAAACTTGGTTCCACGATGACTCCTCGACTGAATTGGAATCCAACTTTCGCTGTATGACATCCATGACCAATTTCGTGTATGCTGGAGGAACATCCATACCACTTTCAAGCATCGACGACACAATCAAGCAATTCAAAGCATCATCTTGTAAGCTCTTCTCCAACAACTGAGCAGCTACACTATTGGACTTTTTAATAATGACGGACAATAAGCCGTAATCACTTGGCTGAGAAACAACCTCGTCGACAACTTTAGCCAACTCGAAATTGGTCATCATAACCAAATTCGAATCGAGTAACCCAGTTAGTAAATCAACTCTATCTCTCCCCTCTGATTTCAATAATTTCCAAAATTGGACAAAAGTGAGCTTGATATTTTTGTCAGCAGAAGAAACTACTGCCAGCTCAAAGAGCATTCCATCTGAAGTGTTCAACAACTGGTTCAATTGAGTCGCATCTAACAACCACATGTAATCAATAAAGTCAACATTCCCACTCGACAATTTGTCAAACACAAACCTTGACAACGAAGTAGAGCTAAAATTTGGAACAACCTTAAGTGTTTCTCCGTATAGTTTAATTACCAACTTAGTCTCATCGTTTCCAGTATTGCCCTGGAATAGCTTACCCCAGGTCATTTCCGAAGTAAAGTAATCAATGGCTTCTTGGCTTGAATTCATCAAGAAACTCCAAAGTTTAGAAAACAACATCGTGATCAACAGTGTTGCCGGAACCTGTTTGTTAAGAACCATGGTTATTAGTGACAACACGGCCAAATAGTCCAAGTTTGACGAAATCAACTTCTTTTCAATCGCGTTTGGCTTTTTCGCCAAGTCCTTGACTGATGAATTGTAAACCGCTTCCATAATCGATGAGTCTTGGCTAGTTGCCAGGGATGTCACAAATGCTAGCAGTTGGTTCAAGCCTAACTTATCGACTAAATCATCCACACCTAATTGGCTGACAAGGGAAGCCATAACCTTCTTATCTTCGCCAAATACGATTGAATACTTTAAAAACTTAAACAACCACTTCAAGTACTTCTCATCGCTGCCCTTGTTCAACAAAAATTTAAATTGTTCAAACATCGCCACCACAAATATACTTTCGTCTTGGTACTTGTCATGCGCTACATCGAGGTATTTGTACGGACTGCGTACACATCGCGCCACAACCTCATCAAACATGTTCCAAAACTCGGGGGTCATTTCCGAATCCAACGAGTAAATCAATGCCATTATTGGAGTAACCAATAAATTTTGATTAAAAAACATCTTGTCTTTTGATAGTCTATTGAGTAGGTGATAGATCTTGGTAGCAAAATTTGAGGTGATGGTAGACTTTGAAGCCAACTTGATCAATGACGTGTAGAATGAATTGGCGCCATTATTCTTGTTCCACCATTTGAAATCCTGATTTTGTAAATTCATATAAAGGTCAAGCATTGACAAGTCATGGTTAGACATTTCTGACTTGGAAACGATATCAGAAACTCCAGTTGCAATAAGCTTTTGTAGTGAGCTCTTATTGAGTGAAGATGGCACCAAAGTTTTATACTTGTTGATAATCGTCAATGCGGTTAAATGGGTAAGTTTTGATGGCTGGGTAGAAAGTTGCTGGGCAATCAATGTGACATCCGGCAATTGGCTAAATGCAAGACCGATCAATTCCTGTCTCAGATTGATCGCATCAATAACCTGCTCCAATCGCTTTAAAATGAAAAGAATCAATTGTAAAGTCAATTGCACTGTCAATCCTGTTTTCGAAGACAATCCTTCTACCAATGCTCCCTTCAGCAACGGCGCAAAAACTATGCTTTCAATAATAGATCTGAAATCGAACTTGATAAACTCAATGTTTGTGTCAAATTTGGGCACTGGTATCTGTAATACGTTCGTGTACAACAACGTATGAGAAATCCACCAAGAAGTCAACGACGGATCATGGTAGCCACCACCATGTTGAACAAGGTAATTCATGTATGGTGAGACTAATTCCTGACAATGCGATAATACTTTGACAATAAACTGCAATTGCTTGTTTGAATCTGTCGGTTTCAAACTTGTCAATAACGTGTAGAGCAATTTATTGGCCACCTTGAATTTCTTGTTATTAACTTCAACAATTACACCGACATCCGAGTTCTGAGTCCACAATTTGTCATTGGCAAATACTAATCCATTCTTAAAATCTGTAGTCACTTTTGTCATAAAATCAAGAAAAAACGGTTCTTTAATTTTGTTGAACAAGATGTTAGCTTTGTACATAAAACTATCATTGAGTATTTTACACTTTTGTGCTTTCTTAAAGTTGTGTTCGTCGAGCAATTTGTCGTTTAGAAATTGTATCAAATGCTGCAACAGGTTAATAGTGTCGTATTGTAAATACTTCCATATGTTTTTAACAATCTTTAGGTGGTTAGTTAATAAATCCAACCGATGGTAATAGGCAACATTGGAACACAAATCAATCCATAGTTTCATAAAATTCGATCTTATTGAAAACGCATCGTTTACTTCGCCGGCTTCAATTTCAATCTTACTTGGTGTCATCAACTTGGGTAAAGCCGGGAGTGTCAAATCAAAACTATTGAGAAATTCTTGTGCTATTGTTGAATCGTAGATGATTAAATGGTCTATTAATCTAATAGTTGGGTTGGTTGATGAAGGTTTTAAACTGCTCAACGCACGATAAGTGACGCGAGTGTAATTAATCAATATGTCCTTGGCGATATCGATGATGACCTGTCGTACTGGTAAAAAATTGTCCTTATTTTCAATGACTTTATGCAACACATGGTTCAACTTGTTAGTTATGTCAACAAATTCCTTGTGATTGTTAGTTGAAGAATAATATGACCAAATGGGCAATGCTCTGGCCAAATCCCCTCGTTGTATCAAATGGAATATCAGCTCCAAGTTGTCAGTGCTCGACTGTATTTGATTTAGCTGTTCAACAAGACGGTAATCCACATTGACGGATGGTGCTGAATATACCTTTCTCTTTTTCACTTCCGACATGTTGGTTGTGATTAATGGGGCGTTCTGATTAAGTATTTGGTTGTAAAATTAAATTTTCAAAATGTATCAGATGAGAGATGCGCAAAACGCTACCACAAATTGAGATGCAGAGAAAGATGGTTATTGGAATGTTCAGGATGAAGTTAGCAAGAAGTAGGAGAATATGGCTGCTTCGAATACCTGTTTACTATGATTGGGTTAAAGGTTATTGATGTATTTAGCCACATCTTCAAGGCGATTCAAACGATTGTAAGAAGACGCACGGAGTGTCTGCATTAAAGTATCAAAATAGTCCTTTGCTTTCTCAACTGAAGCGACTAGATTTCGGTAGTAGTTGGCTATATGTTAACCTACCTCTGCCAGAAGCAAGTGATGATCCGAGACTCAAATCATTGTTGACAGCTTTTGACTATTTTGAATGAAAAGAGGGAGACATGCGTTATTGGTTTTTAAAAGCAGTTTGTTTTATGAAACAATGCCTTTCGGTGATAACAATCTTGAATTCAGTAGAAAGGATTATATCTATTGCCCCACTCTTCTGCAGAGTTTTTACTTTGACTGAAGAACGCTAGTTTTTGCTGGGCATATTGTATACAAATGTACATGCACATGTCAAATGGGGAATGTATGGTAAAAGCCTCTACACATACACAAACACTCTCGTATTGAGAGTAGAAGAAAATAAATTACAATTCACCTTTAGTAAATTGCAGAAAGAGTAAAAGAGGTATTACATTGTCATGATTATGATTGCTGCGACTTTAACCACAACTGTCATAATAATATTAAAAGACTATATGCAGTACAGTGATGATGATCTTTTTGCGTATATTGTACAACACAGGAAATTTTTACCAAAAGCTTTAGTTAAGTGTAAGTATAAATTTTATTTTAAGAAACTATACGTTTTGCTCGGTTATAAAGGAAATACCAAAAAATAAAACATCAGACATCATCGAAAGAGACGGTAGAGGAACTCGGATCTTGTGTGATATGTTTTGTTGTAGTACAAACAAAGTCCTGCAAAAGTGTTCTTTAAAGCTTCATCGTAGAATAATGCTTTGTAATGTAGCAATTTCATTAGCAAGAGAAAGAAGTTTGTCTTTTTTTGAAATAAGATGTTATTGGTGGCTTTTATTATGATGAAATTGGTGCAAAAATTATGATGAAAGTCAAATGTTAAAAAAAAAGCAAGATAAACCAAAATAATAATAAAACTTCAAAGATTGCTGTGAAAAAGAGTGGGCAGCAACATTACCCACAGGAGCACCGTGATTGCTACTTCGTACTGTGTTTGCCAGTTACACACACTTTGTAGCTTCTTACTTTGACTTACAGTCTTTATTGTAAGTTTTGACTAGCTCGAAAATCAATTGTGCTACTCTGCACTACCATTATTTGGAAACTGTCAACAATGTCAAGCGACATATACACAAACTTCATGTTCTTCTTATTGAAAATAATATGTTATGATACTGTTTTTTATGTATTGTAGTCTTCATTAGCGTATCTTTTCGTATCAAACTCGAGCGAAGGTTGGAATGTATGATTTTACTGTTTTGTGCTGGTGTTTTGAGGAGAGAATCCTTACTCTATGATGTCATTAAGAGACATTATTTGGAAAGATTTAGAGTGATGAAAAAAATAAAAGAGAATAAAGTATGGGGTAGGTTGTTTTCGGTTGTTTCCAAGGCAAAGCAGACTGTTTTTAACCCACTCACCCCCTATTCACGAGGGACAAAGAGTTGGTCGGTGAGCGGTACACAGTACACCACTTCGTCTATTGTTGGTTTAACAAAAAAAAGTCGGACTTCAGTCAGAGTGAATGGTTCTTTATTGTCTTTTTGTTTTTTTTTATTTTGTTGATCCTTTGTTCAATGTTTACAATATTTCTTTGTTTAGTTAAGTTTCTTCGTTTGGCTTGTATTGTTATATCTTGTTTAAATACTTGCACTCTTTCTCAGTGTGTGTGTATAGTTGTTGCTTGTTGCTTGTTGCTTGTTACTATCAATAGAAGATTTTCTCGGCCTTTGTTTATTGTTTTTCGTTTACTCTTTAAATGTGTGATAAAAAATAGAGATTAACGTAGTCAACTTTTGGTTATGATACTGATCTTTACTTTCTTCTTGCACCTTAAGCATCAAAACTCGAGGATCACTTTTATTAAAACAATAACAATAACAATACAATACAATACAATACAATATACACACATATAAAATGACTGTGATTACATCATTAATATTTTCACTGTTCTCTTTAACAAACCCTCATTTCACAATAACAACAGTGTATTGTCTACATTGTATGTTATAACTCACACCACTTTTTTTTTTGTTATTTGCTGCTAGATAATATCGTTTCTGCTTTCCCTTCATCGTTTCATCTGTCTTACCTTTAATAGCAACTTTCCCTGTCTCAAACTCTTAATTACAACCGACATATATAAAAAAGTTGGGGGCATGTGTGTGTTCTGTATGCTTAGACGCCACCTTACATAATAGAAGAAAACTTCTTTTTACTAATGACCTGTGTATGTGTATAATATATAAAGAAGAAACATACGTTTTTGTTACAAAAGTGTATGTGTATTGTTTTGTATACAGAAATACTATTAATAACAATATACACAAAAAAATGTAATAGAGTACTGCATACAAATATTGAAATTTAGCTAGAGTAGTGTATACAAAAGAAGTTTAGTAATAGTAGTAAAAGGCATTTCAATTGTTCATTAAAATTGTACAATTAGGCTTTGTGTAGATTGTTGGTTGGTTAGTTCGTGAGATACTCTCTCTTTACGTATCTCTTCCTGTTGGGGTTTCCCCTCAATTAAAGTAAATCTATAATTGTCCATATCTCTTCAAAATTAGGGCAGTGTAATGTAACGTAATGATCTGTAAGTTACCATTTGTATATCCTACATTTATTTTGTTTACCCTTCTTTTAATTAATATATTTGTTTCTATTATTATACACACATTCTCTATAAATATATATATATATATATATATAATTTATTTATTTCACGATATTTTATTTTTCCATATTCAAAATCTGGCAACCAAATCTATCAATCAATCAGTCAGTCAACCAATACCACAGAACAGATAAGACCTGGCTCATCAACTGAGAAAAACTGCTATCACCACTTAGAATATAACAGCTTGGGAAGGATACTCATTAACCCAACTCAACCACCAAAATACATTACATCATCCAACCACAACCAGCCTTGATTCAGCTCCATTTATAGTCTGAAACCAAGTAACATATACACATAACTGAAGACAATTTCAGTCCGTTACCAAAGAGCATCATCTTCGAAATTAAAGGTGCACGGAAAGATTATCAAATAGAGAACCAGCATAGAACTAACAACACAGAGACAATCTACTTATCCCCAATCATCTTCTTTATATCAATCAATTACTAACCTCCCTTTATTTCAACCATGATGGTATGTATACAATTCAAGTTAATCTGTCTTTTAAACACACAAACACACACACCTGGAAGAGTTAGTGCGAGAAACACTGTCGTCATACAGTAGCAACAACAAGTACTACTGCTACACTTACAAGAAAACACAACAATGAATGTAATCTGACAGATTCTCACCTCAGGATACACGGTAGATTACTTCTGTCATCCAATCAGACGAACAATTTCCATACTCACCACCGCGTCTTTGAAACAAATACGACCACAACATTGTATGCTACAAACAAGAATGTCAAAAGAATAGGTTTTGTCCCTTCTCCTCCTTTCTCCATTTTCATCGGTATCACACTTTTGTGCAATGAGGCTTTTAAAGAAAAACCAAAACGCCGCCATTCTGTAATTGCACAAAAGAAGGCAATGCGAAAATAGGAACAACAAAACAACAACAACAAACAGCCAACAAAGAAATAAAAAACAAAAAAAAAATAAAAATAAAAATAAGAAAAGAAATTAACAAATGCATTCCGAAACAATTACACGACCATTACTAAACAATAAGAGAAAAAAATACTAATTTGGTAATAGCACATACTGCACTTTGCATTATATATATATATAACCAAAGCTAACATTCACACGACTGAGATGCTTTACTTTTCCTGAAGACAGATTACTTTTCAAAGAATACTACTAACAACACCTTTTTCTTTCTTTTAGAACTTACGCAAATACTTCAACACCCTTCCTACTACAGCTGTAACAAAGACAACTATTCATTCATCCCACTCCACACCAACACTTTCTAAATCAGATGCAAAAACTGCTACCAACGACATAATAATGCCCACCACAACTACTACTTCAGTACCAGCACCAAGCACCGACTACGCATCTTTAAACGAGGTTGTTAAGGGTGCGCAAACTCCTTCGAGCAGTACCTCGGCGTTTTTCACATTTGACGCTACATTGAACGAACTATATCCCAACCTACCTTCTAACTACAAATTAATAAATATTCTAGGTGAAGGTGCGTTTTCCACTGTTTACAAGGCAGTTGATACTACTCAGAATAAGCCAGTTGCCATCAAGATTATTAGTAAGGCTCATCTTACGTCAAAGCAGTTTCACAACATCAAGAATGAAATAAAGATTATGAAACGTACTCATCATCCAAATGTATTGCAATTGTATGATTCGTTTGACACGCCTGATCACTGCTTTTTAATCTTGGAGTATTGCAATGGTGGAGAAATTTTCAATAAAATTATAGAGTACACATACTTTTCGGAACCATTATCACGTCATGTATTTAAACAATTGTTATCGGCCATTGATAACCTCCACAAGTTGAATATCGTCCACCGTGACATTAAACCGGAAAACTTGTTGTTTAAAAAGATTCCATTTTTTGCAAGGTCAGTTGAAGAAAGTGAGAAACAGGCTAGGAAATCAGATGACGATTGCAAAGTTGATGAAGGTGAATTTAAACCAAATGTCGGTGGAGGAACAATTGGTGTTATCAAGTTGGCCGACTTTGGCTTGGCTAAGCAATTGATTGATGACCAAGACAACTCCAGTGTGCCAATGAAGACACCATGTGGTACTGCTGGGTACACTGCACCTGAGGTTATCACATGCAATGCAAGAAGTGACGGCGTTCACCTGAAAAAGACGAGAAACCAATATTCAAAAGCGGTTGATATTTGGTCATTAGGATGTTTCTTGTACACTATATTGTGTGGATTCCCACCATTTTATGATGATGACGCTAATGATGTTACTATGAAGATCCTTCGCGGGGATTATGTATTTTTACAACCTTGGTGGGATGAGATTAGCGATGATGCAAAAGATTTGATTACAAAGATGTTGGAAGTCAATCCAGAAAAGAGGATTACTATTGACGAAATCTGGCATCATCCATGGGTTGCACAAGGACAAAAGAGCGGCATGACCAGTAATGGAGACTTGGTGGAAGCTTCTCATTATTTTGAGCAAAATTACGAGGTTGACCATGTGGAGGACATTGGCAATGATGAATTGATTATTCCAATGTCAAACCAGCCTATATTATCGCCAAGAGCACATGCCATTAAAGTTGTGTTTGACAATCCAGCCATGCTTGGAAGCTTTAATGATGTGTCGTCTCAGTTTATAGAGAACATCGACGAGGAAGAGGAGGAGGAAGAAGAAGAAGAAGAAGATGATGATGACGATGATACAGCTCACATTAGTATACACAAAGTTCTTCACAGGACCAAAGATCACATTCCCACGCCCATGCCAAAAGAACTCAATTTTAAGAATGTATTCAACATTGATAAGTCACAACTTGATGTGTCTGGTGATGACTCAGATGACGACGTTTCCGAAGATGAAGTATCCGAATTGGAAGATGATTTAGCCAGTTTACAACTCACACCAAAACTTATGACGAGATCAAGAAATAGTAGTCAACCTCAATGCCAACAATATGCAGGTAAAATCTTGGATGAGGAAATGGATGATTATTCCAATTCTGATAATGAAATATCTGAATGGACGAGATCATCGTCAATTATTTCAGGTATCGAGTCATTCAAGTTGACCTTAACTGATTCGAACTTATTAGCTAGAAGGAAAAGTTCACGTAAAACGTCAGCAGTGACAACAGCAACAACGGATAAACGACAAGAACAACAAGTATCATAAAAAAGAGATAACTTTAAGATTTTAACGATTACAAGAGAATGGGCTAGAAAATGGTGGTTTTTTATAGGGTATTTATTCATTTCTAAAATATATTTTACTACTCGTTTAGAGAAAGAGAGATGCATTTGTAGAGAGTTTATCGGAGTTGTATGTGTATTGGGTAGCTCATTCCTAACGAAATATTGCCAATGAAAATTTTCAAATCTACTTTCTTTTTCTTCTTGTTCTTGTTCTTGTTCTTCTTCTTTAAACCATCAAATATCCAGGATATGAAAGTTTTGGCCCGATCTAGGACAAGCATCCAATGGAAGTCTGTCCTACTCCTATACGATCAAACATCTTTTTAAATTTGACGACCCGTTCTGGCAAGTCTACAAAAAGCAAGACTTTGTTAAATCCTGCAAAAATTTTAAATCTGTTTAAGATTTTTGAAATCTCGCCTTGTGATTTGATATTTGTAAATCAAAGAAATAGTGCATCATAGTACATCAGGGATACAAAACGTACAGGAGAGTTGTTTATTTCTTTCTTACCACTTCCTGGTGTCTCCAAGAACACTAACATTTTTCCATTTTTTAAGGCAATTTTTTAAGTAACAAATTTTCCGCCTCATTATCATTAGATCATTGAATCATTCTTCTTTATTGATAGTTTATATCATCTATATACAAAACAGGGTCTACCCATAATCTGAAAAAGAAACGGTGTCTGTCTAAATCCAACTTATTCTCAAACACACTCTCTCTCTCTCGTTTATTCTTCTTCACCACGAATAATCTCACCACTTAAAGGTTGCAAAGCGGCGAATTTCCGTTTCATTTCTTCTTGTTCACGATGCTCTAACTCGTTGGCTTGTTGTTTTTGCGTCTTTTTAGCTCGTTGTCGTTCAGCATCCTTTATTGGGCCCTGGCGTAATGCTGCTCGTTCCGATTGTTGCGAGTAGTTGATGAATACAAATGCACCGGCGGCAAATGCTATTGATGCACCAAGGGTGATTTTTGATGCGGTTGACATTAGGGAGTGTGGTGTGTGTAAAAAAATCGGAGTAGGTGTGGTTGGTTAGGGTTTTCGTTTTCTATTTTCTATTTTCTATTTTCTATTTTCAGGGTTTTTACGCAATCTGCATTTATTTTCTAGACACCAAGGTCTTTGCAAAAGTTGCTTTACACCAGCGTGTCTGTACTATGGTAATGGCCCTATATATATTTATGTCACCTACTACTACACATCAAGTCAGTTAATTGCAAAAAAATTGTGTGTCAAACTATCTCGATCAGTCCTCAAGACTTCAGCTATAAGTGCGTTTCACATCTATTGAGAATAAGAGTTATCCAATAAGAAGACATGACACACATCAAATGATATTCCGAAAGAATGACTAAAAACTAAATCCATAAACCTAGTGGCTACTTTGTTCCTCCCCTGATTATACTAGTCATTGAGAAAGAATGGTTGCATTTGGGAGCCAAGGCAAAGAACAGTTTTTAAGGAGTCCTTGTTATGTCATACATTATGTGATTCAGTTAGCTATTTGGCCAAATTATGGGGAGCCTGTGTGCCGGCAGTGTCGACTTAATTTTAGGAAAGCAAGCAGAAACTACTCATTGAAAAAGCAAAATTGAACTTCACGTTTACCTCAGCCCAATATTTGTTTACACCACAGTGATATCGATCACTGACCTTCCCTACCATGCAATGCAAGAGGTTTTCAATCGAACCAACCCGCATCAGGTGTTGACCTTAGCCCCATTGCATTCAGTATTGTAATATGTAACCAAGAAAAAATTATACAAAAATATCTACGTTCACAGGTCAGCACAGGTACAAACAGGAAAATATGAAGGGCTTGCAGATGGGACTAATGATTCATATTAGTATCCCAAGAATATTGACTACCACAAGATTGAGAGGTGTACAATAATTTCGATGGACACTCTAGGGCGGTATTTGACAGAGATGGATAGCCGATATGAAATTTATCGAGTATCACTGTCTCATGATTATATAATCAAAGAAAGGGAGCAAGGACAAAATAGGGCATTTTCGGTCTAAATTTAGTCACAAATGTGATTTTCTGGAAGTCAAATAAACACATTTGATGATGTCGAGCTGAATGCTTGACTACTTTTACGTCGCAGGGGTTTTTAGAATAGCTACATGGCTAGGAGTATTATAATCGATGGTATTTGTTGAATTTTCTTATTGTTTCCTTATTGGCCATTACCTGGTAATACTATTACGACTTTGCTTCACAATCTAAAACATACTAACACGTGTGAATAGACTTTTGTTCGTAGCTACAATAGTCAAGTGTTGGGTCAAATGGTTCAACGTAATGCAGTACTACTGTGTTATAAATCTTTCAATATAGTCTGCTAATGCTACATTTCGAAGTATAAACGGAAAGCGTGGTGCAGCATGCAACCTCAAATCGACGAGCTCTCACACTCCCTGTAGTACCTGAATAGATTTGGCTATAGTTCCTCTCTAAATAACATATGTCTCCGCTAATTCCTCCCAATTTGGCAATAATCGAACTTCTAGTCGAAGCCATGACGTTTACCTCACATCTTCTAATTCCCACAAAACTTGCCTACACTAAGTATAAGGTTAGCCACAGGTGTATACTTAACAGCAATTGCATAGATGTTTTTCATCACATACCTGACTTGACCTTTCCTTGGTGTTAATGAATACCCAATTCGAGTCACCAATTTACGATATTGTTGTCTATTTTGCAAAATGTTCAACAATGTTTCTCGCAACAAAAAGATCCATTTTTTTTTCCTTTTGCATCACAAGGTTCAACCCGACAATCCAAAAGACAGATATACAATTGTATCAGCCGGAACTCAAACCCATTGAACAACTTTGCAAATTCAGCAACTGCATATGAGATATCCTCTGCCATTGCCAAATAACGATGAGCACAAACTTTCACCATGATGACAGTTCGACAACTAATCTGTTTCAATCAGCAAATCTAAATCCTTCTAAAGATATCCATCAACCAAGTTTCTGCGAACAAGGAGACCGCTTTGATGGCGACGATTCGAGTGTTCCACATCATTCTACAAAATCGCAAGTTTCTAATTTGACCAGAACATTGCAATCCTCGTCCTCGGGTAACTCCACTTTACAAAGTCAACAAAATTTCGATGACGATCCCCAGTCGACGCAGAGCCACGCACATTCTACCGACCCACGAGAATTGATTACGGGAGTAGCATACGATAAAGGTGATGATGGAAATGCTAGCTATCAAACCCAGCACAGTGCATTCCCTCAACAAATTCCCATTGCTCAGAATTCTTACAAACACATGCCCATGTCCCACAATACACCAACTGCCGTAGGAACTTCATACACTTCAGCGCATTCATACAATCCATCGTTGCCCTCGACTAATAATTTTATAACACAACCCGAGTCATCATCGTTCCATGACCACACGGCACCTTCAAGCTTCCGGCCAAATACAATGCCACATGCTTTTCCAACAACAACTGTTCAAACTGACTCGGTGGTTCCAACTAAAAGTTCATTCTCAACTGCTTCTGGTGCGGCATCTCTGCTACATCTGACGTCTTATTCAATACCAGGCAATCAATTTCAACATCCAATGATCCATCACCCGACCCAGGTTAATAGTGCGCAGTTTGCACCAAATCAAAGAGTTCCAAATTCACTACCTACAGGCCACAAATTTGGTAACACATTTCCTACCTTCAATCAGCAGCAGCAGCAGCAGCAGCAGCAGCCACAACTGGCTCGCCGACTTCAGTCGTTATTGAATGCAGATAAACAAACTGGATTAAGTACTGCTTCTGCAACCACTCTGACGGGCTCGATCAATATCCCCCACAACAGCAGAATTCAAAATCTTCAACAAGATCAAAGCCATATCGGTTCTTTCCACTCAACGCCGCCATACTATGAGCATGTTCAGCAAAATACCCTGGGTCATCAACAATGGTCAGAGTACGCTCGCCCTGAACCAGACCATTATTTAACGTATGGTGAATTCCTTCAAGAGTTGAAAAAAAAGGACGAGCAAGAGCGACCTAATGCTGGAGAAGAGCATTTGAATATTGTTGAGTTCCCCGTGAATGACCTAATTGTCATGCTCTCTTGTTTATTGACAAAAATCATTGAAGCAAATGACAAGTTGCATCCCAATCATTTTGAAAATACCATTGCAATACGACAGAAAATCAAGGATGAAAGAAAACAAAAAAAGCTTCAACGTAAAAATAAGCAAAAGGAATACCGTCAAGGTACAATTGTTGGTGGGGTTGAAGGCGAAGACACTGTTAATGCCGGTCGGAATAAGGACGAAAGAGGGAATTATGATGGCGATCATTTCGGTGTCAGCATTCATAGTGAAGATCGTATGGACGAGGATGACGATGATGATGACGATGATCAACACGAAGTAAATGTTGATTATGACGATGATTTTGTTGACGACGAAGACGAAGAAGAAGACAATGAAATGAAGAACAAGTATTTGGCCAACGTATTGGCCTTCCACGGTACAAATGTTCCCGGTATTTCTCTCCATGCGTACTTGGCGAGAGTTTTAAAGTATTGTCCTGTGACAAACGAGGTGTTTTTGTCTTTATTGGTTTATTTCGATCGTATTGCTAAAAAGGCCAACAACTTGAACCAGAAAAGAAAACTGAGAGCCAATGGTGATGGCCATGATGATAGTGACACTTCAGAAGCTGAACAGTTATTTGTCATGGATTCATACAATATTCACCGTTTAATTATAAGTGGGATCACCGTGTCTTCCAAGTTTTTTCTGGATATATTTTACAAAAACTTACGATATGCCAAAGTGGGTGGGTTGCCGTTGGAGGAATTAAATTATTTGGAGCTACAATTTCTTCTACTTTTAGATTTCAAATTGATGATCAGTGTTGAGGATTTGCAAAATTATGGTGATTTGCTAGCCAGGTTTTGGAAACGTGAACAACTGAATGCGAGTGAGGCCAGTACTGGTGGTGATAGTGGTAACAATTGATGAGTTGGTTTTGATAGCCTTGTTTCGATTTAAACGTTTGTGTGTGTTATCACTGGCATTTGGCTGTGAGCTTTACTTAATTGACACTGCAGTCTGTGTATTTTTCAATTTGTAACCAAAATATATATGTATAAATCTATGTAAAATAGGCCAGATGGTTTTGCAAACTGCATTTTGAAGTCAAGCTAATCACATCCTCGAGCAAGTTGGTTTTAATGGACCTTTGTTTAGAGTTCATGCAGGGACCCACGTGATGTCCTATTAAGCTTCTTTTATTGAGCCAGCTTCCTTAGTAATCAATAAAGTATTGTGATGGCGCAGCTTAAAATGTTAACCCAGCGTGGTGTATATGCTTAACTTGCATAGCATAGTCGTTTTAAGCCTAATGGATGCAAAGACTAATTGCCTTTTCGGGTAATCACATTAAAAAACTTCAAATAATTGAGGCTTAACATTTTGGATCAAAAGAAGGAAAAAGTCAAAGAATAATTGGAAGAAATTTAGTTTTAGTTTTAGTTTTGCTTTTAGTTTGATCGTTGTTTGCCACGTTTGGAAATTACACTTTTAAAGAGAATACAATCACCGCTCAAAGTCTTGGGTTAATACTACCTCGCAGCAACCACAGGTCTTTTTCGGTTTCCAGATAGAACCCGTCTTGTATTAGTTTTGTACTGCTGAAGAAAATTCTCGGCTTTTGTAGCCACTCCCGGCCCTAAAAGCAAAACTCAATGTATTTATTTTTGTGCATCTTACTCAAAAAATAGACTTTTATTAGTACCTTACTCTGGTTAGAAGCCCATGTCCTTTAGCATGCACTTTATCAATATCATGTGCGTATAATCAAAAACTATATAACACTAAAGGGGGAGTTCAAGGTTGGCAAAAGATATTTTGAACAAGTGGAGATATATTGCAACCTAAAAATAACGAATTCGTATTAATTCCGAGAGAGGATAAAAGTAATGATATCGTAATTGGCTTTGTGTTGAAATTGTCCTGCTCTCCTTTCAAGTAAAAATTTAAACCATACTGCAGTTTTAATTTTGTATAAGGACCACAAGGGGAGATCTTTGTTTCTTTTTACAATGCACTTTACATTTTTACCAGAGGCTATCCGATATTACCATATAAAAACGTTTGATTCCAGGTTTTCGTGATTATCTTGGGGTACCGTATTTAGATCAAGAAACATCATCAAAACTGGACATATAACGCTTCCATCCTCCTTCTCCACCCCTTTACAATCGTTGTTGGTATCAGTATCCTAAATCCTACCTTCGCTTACCTTGCTATAACAACTTCACATTCGCACTGGTACAACTACTAAAGTAACACAGGATCAAACTATGGAAGCAATTATAAATCAGTTTCTCACGTCATGGGCCCCAGCTACATTGCCAACATCAACCTCAATTAGCTCCATCGACCCCACAAATATCCCGGGTTTGCTGGCAACAGCAGAGTCACTACGACAAGAAGTAGCCACCCAAACAAATAGCATATCGCTATACTTCCTTTCGCGGCATGCAAGGGCGGCTGCCGCTTCGTATACTATATTGAGTGATCAACAGGTTTTGGCATCTGCGACATCTGCACTTAATGCTGCAGCAAGCACTGGGGATGCAACTCCCTCCCTTGACATTGACTTGGCACAAATCACCCAAGAATTGTTCAATTCTACATTGCTATTGAAGAAACTAGAGTGGCAGTCTAATCTATATGCAATTCACCTTTCGGTCCCATTCAACTTGCTATTTGCCATATTTTTTGTTATATTGTTGTTGTTGTATTTCTATCTTGGTCTTATTAGAGGCAAGACAAAATACTTTTCCACTTGTTTGCTCTGTGGATGTGGTTTGGAAATTGCAGGATACGTTGCCAGGTCAATTGGGCATTACCACTGGTCAAACACTAACATCTTTTTGTGTCAAATAATTTCACTCACAATTGCGCCGGCTTTTGTTATGGCTGGGGTTTACTACTTGTTGACGCAATTGATTATTATTCATGGTGGCGCAGAATTCTCCATCCTACGACCCAATTACATTTCCTGGCTATTTATCTGCTGTGATGTTGCGAGCTTGTTCATTCAGGCTGCCGGTGGTATCACTGCAGCTGTCAAACTTCGCCTCTTTGAAGATACAAAGAGTGGTACCTACGTCATGGTGGGTGGAATTGCATTTCAAGTTCTTTCAATGACTTTTTTCCTTGCTTTGTTGTTTAATTTCATGTACCGTTTGTATTTCAGATCGATTGGGTTAAAGTTTAATATCGTCGCTTTTTGCCATTTATTACTCAATACCAAGCGTGGTCAAAAGATACGGCATGATTACAATTATGAGCAAAGATATGACCCTTCGTTTGCAAATATAAGACTGCGACCATTGTTTAACTTCCTACCGTTGGCAATTATACTAGCCTCCATTTTCATTTATGTTCGGTGCATCTACCGAGTCATTGAGCTATCGGAAGGGTGGAGAGGCTACTTGATTACACACGAGGCTTTTGTTCTAACGTTGGACGCCCTTATGGTGCTTCTCAGTTGTCTAACATTCATCCCGTTCCATCCAGTGATTGTGTTTGGAAAAGATGTTCAAATCTCGATACGTCAAAGCTTTGGTAAAGGCGGTCATGTAGATTTGCCGCCGGATATCATTTTCAAAAAGGAGTATTCGTACTCTAATGACGATCAAAGTAGTGACACGTTGAATGATAAATATCTGTACAGAGTTGGAACGAGTGCTGACAGGATTTCGGGCTCTCCAGCCTTGAATAATAATGGTTGTCAAAAGTATTCAAATCCATATTTGTCACCTGCACGTTTTGCCAATTACAAGTCTGGAAGCAACACTGAGAAGTTTGAGTGGCCAAAGTAGATCAAAAAAAGGAAAAAAAGAGAAGGTGTTATCTATTAAAATATGTCTATTCAAAGTAGAACTGCGTTATATCAAAATATACTAAACTATCCTTGTAATATCTCTCTTTCCCAGTCCCTCCATCAAAACCTGGCGTCTTGTTTATTTTGCTTGTGGTATCCAATCAACATTCTTGACGCAGTATGGACCAGAACAGCCACAAGTCTTTACCTTTGTCAAATCATCTTTATAGTCATGAACGATTAGTGAAGGGTGATATTTGGGTACTTCGAGTTTTGTCGATCCAGTAGGCTTTGCCCTGTGTCTCTTGTTTAACGTGTTAGTTAATAGTGAGTTTCCCATTCTATTTCGATTTCTTTTTAATGATTCTCAATGTAGCGCACAGTTTGGTGAGGGGTTTATATTGTGTCAGAGTGAATTTAGTGCAAGGATTGCTATATATATATATAGAGAGAGAGAGAGAAAGAGGACGTAGAGTGAGAATGACAAAAGGCTTATCTATAAACAGCTTTGCAATTTTTCTTGTTTAATGAGTCACTGATAAGAGAATTGCTGTTGCAAAATGGAAAAACAATTGTTTGCTTATGTAATTTTCTTTGTTGTCAGCCAATTTTGTATTCTGCGCAATTTATCTATCATGTCAGATCTCGATGGTAGGAAGCATTCGATCTGAAATGAGTCTTGTCAAGTCATTACGATATCACTAGCCACTATCAACCACCAAGCCTTGGTTACATTTTAATTTCCTTGACACACTTTCAGATTTTGTTTACTTCATTTTCTAGCAACGTTGTTTCCAACAGCTGATCCTCAGCCAACTGTTTCCAAACCTCCAAAAACTAAAATTGTATTGTCAGTAACTGCAAGTGTTTGTAGCGTTAGTTGACACACATACCTGCTTATTAACTCTTTCATGAACAAATCTTGAAAACAACACTCCAAAGGCACACCATCTCAACCCATGGCTCAATGCCTTACAATCGCTAATAAGAAGTTAGTATTCACTTGAATTAGTATCATCGGTGAGTCTCTGGCTTACATTATCATCTTAACCCCGTAGTTCCATGACACACTGGCAATCCATTCAATTTCAAAAGAAGGAATAGCTGCAGTGACCACGTTAGACTGGTACATTCTGTAAAACTGAAGAACAGCCTTTCCCTTTTCAGAGTCGAATGTGTCATCACTAATTTCCATAAAATACCTAATCCAGATAATCAATCTAGGCAAAAATGTAGCATCTGCAAAACCTATGGCACGGTTGATTATGGATAATAATATACTCAGTTTTGCGTGTTTAGCTAGTGAACGCTTGCAGTAAATGAGTAAATTTACGTACACCTCGTACATCTCAATAACATGTTTCGGTTTGAATGTGGAGCAATCCTCGATCATGGCCTGGATTTGTTCGGTTGATCCAATAATCAACTCGGCTTGAAACCTGAATGTACACAATTGCTGTATGCACTCGAAGCTATCATCTGATAACACGTCACTATCTCTAATTTCTTCAATCATAGCAACACCATGTTCTTTGATATAGGTCCAATCATCTACGCCTATATCCTCCTTTTTGCTAAGAAAGAAAAATGTCAAAATCATTGCTCTTGTTTTCCAAATAATCATTTTATCACGCCTAACCTTTTCAATATCGGGTGGAATTAAGTGAATAAAACCAATACATATCTGACAAAGTTGAACAGCAATCTCACATCGATTGATTTGTTTGCAAAAGAGTGCTATGTTGTAAGCTTTACTGGCACACCATTCATAATCGTTTGAATTGAATATTTGGCCCGTTACATGTGACGTATGGGTTGCGAAATTGCAGCTTCCTTTCAAGATCTGGCAAAGGTTTAGCAAATTGGACTCAGTGTATTCCATTTCGTTTTTTTCAATGTTATTGGAGAACATCAAGATGGCACACCGACAGCAGATGGGTAATATAATCCCAAACAGATTTAGACTCTGAATAAATTCTTCATTAAATTCCCTTGAGGAAAGGATATTCAATAGCTGTAAAAAGGCATTTTTGATAAAGTCATTGGATAGGTTATTCGTGGCTTCAATAATGCAGGCAGCTACAGCTAAAATGGCATTTATATTTGTGTTGCCGTCAACTAATCTAGTAAACTGTGCAGATGCATTTCCTTCATCCTTCATTAAAGTGAAGGCCCTAAAAAGATTGTATTGGGAGAGCATGCTACTTTCATCTTCGGGACCTAACTCTTGATGTAGATCCAAAACAGCTTGGGCGTTTCCAGAAAGAAGGTGGTTGTTTTCAATTGCTCTTATTATTTTCCCGCGATCTTGATTCTCCAGGTACTCCATGTAAAACAACCTTGAAAGCGATAATCTGAGCCAACCGGAGCTCTGGTCGTAGTCAAGTGCCTTATACGCAGCCATACCTTGTTTCCAAAGCAATGCGAGCACACTCTGTTTCATATTCATGTCTAACAGATGCTGCAAGCTTCTTTCCGCAAGTTCAATGAAAAGTTCCAACTCTTTGATTCGTATTTGCGGTTCCTCTTTCTGAGCTAATTCTGCGTTGACAACAAATTTTGTAATTACCAAAACCCCTGCTTGAAAACTGCTTGAATCAAGGTTTGTCAAAAGGAAGTCCAAACAATTGTTTACCCCTTTGAAGCTGTAGTGCACTTTTTGCTTCAATAGATTTAGCACTTTTTCAAAATTATCCGCTATGGGCACCGACATCACCATACGCATCATAACCTCATCGATGCTGGAAGTATCATCGGTATCACCACAAATCTCAAAATACAAGCCATACACTTCAAATCTAGTCGAAAACTGATTTTGAATGAGCTTCACCGCAGATAGAGCCCTTTCCTTGGATTCATTTGTGTCAAGGCTTTTGTAGCATTTTATCAACAAGATATAAGTTTGCAAGTACCTGGTCTTTATTATGCCCTGGCTTTCTTCGGTGATTACCTTCTCCAAGAATTTGATGGACATAGCAGCCAAACATTTTGCAGTTTCAAAAGTTTCCTTATTGTATAGATCCAAGGCAGAATTATACAAGATACGGCTTGTTTCTAAGACGAAATCCATTGCAAGGTGTGCCTCCAAGTGACTCAACCTGGCCTCGTAAACTTTTGCTGTTTCGTAGTTTCCAGAAACCACTTCAAAACTCAAGCTAAGAAGTAAAAACTTGGAATTGTAATCATCAATGAGACTTTTGTTGTCCTTGTCCAAATTGCAATCTCTGTCAATCGTCAACAATTTGTTCAAAATCGTTTCCGCGAAGTTTTGACATTTTTTTGCAACACCTAGAACGTTTGTGCTGATGGATGATGACAAAAGGTTAATCAAGCAACTCAAGACTGAAAGGGACCGATCTATGCTTGGATTAAAAGACTCGTATATGAGTAATAAAACAATAGCAAAGTATTTGACTCCGTGAAGTGTTTCCTTGTTTACGTTTAACTGCCCCCCTAAATTCCATATATCTGACCCAGCAGAGTCAATCAGCTCCTGCAAATTGGTTGGAAGCTGGACTAGGGAAGGGTCTTGGGTCACATTTCTTTGCATATTCTCGGCTATGGGGATTATCAAATCGATTTTCTTTTGAACTAACAAGTCTGCATTTCCTTCATACTCTTTGGAATTCAAGCTACTATAAATCTCCCTCCCCGTCTCTAATAGGCGATTTGTTAGATACTGTAAAAGAAATAGCACGCTATTGTACATCACATACTTATCAAGTTTATAGCAGTTCCTTGTAAGTTCGATACAAGTTGCTTCATTCCAGGGTAGTGGTGTAACTGGTCATTTATTTAGAGGATTGCAAACAGAATTTCGAATTTGGTTGTAAAAAAAAGTTAAGTACTCCCTCCGAGCAAAATCTCTACAAATCTACAATAGTAAAGTGAGCCTCCATCTCTCTCTCTCTCTCTTTGCATTATACGTGATCAAATTATTGTACATTCAAAAGCATGCTAACTATCCCCCTTTATTTATTTTCTACCAGCAGAAGCCTTCTTCTCCTTTTCTTGTTGGTCTTTCAATACTCTCTTGACAATCTTTTGTTCTTCAATCAAAAATGCTCTAACAATTCTTTCTTTGACACAGTTGGCACATCTTGAACCACCGTAAGCTCTTTGGACAGTCTTGTGAGTTTTAGAAACTTGAGCGTATTCTCTTGGTCTCAAGGTAGAGATACCAGACAAAGCGGAACCACAGTCACCACATTTGACTCTGGAAGCAGCCTTTTTGACGTGTTGAGCAACTAATTTTCCACCTGGGGTTTTAACAACCTTGATCTTGTTGGATCTGGTGTTGTCTATACATTAAAGTTAGTAACTTGAGCTAGACGTAAACGCATCAAAAAAGTTGATGTGATACTGTCAGACAGAGGATATAGTAATTTGCAGGGATGGTGAAATGTATCTGGAGATAGTGATCATCGCACAGTACCAAAGGTAACTCAATGCTGTGGTACAAATCTTGCAAAGAGGAAGCCCTCCTTGGTGGTACAATTGTTTTCCAATATTCTAGTAATCAATCCTTGATACTAATTTAGCCTAGTTCTTATTCATTCCCAGTAGGTCTGCCAAATTCATCGTGGAATCATCACTTCAGCAAAAAATACTATATCTCCTCCAAGTGTATCAACTAAAGTCCAGTTTGAATGCGCTGGGTCAATATGAAGTAGTGCTTGAAACATACATGGATTTCTTCTTCTATAAGTAACACGTTGAGCCATTGTTAAGGTGTATTATGTCGATGGTGTTGGTACGTGGAAAAGGTCTCTTCTGTAAAATTTTGAAATTTTCTGTAATGTAGGTTCTGTCTCGTTAGGATGAAAAAAAAAAAGGACTTTTGTGCAATGACGGCTCTACTGCGGTAAGGGTGTTTTGCGTTGAAAAATTTTTCACCTGACCTCCTGTGACTGCTTTTTTTCTTCTTGTTTGGATGAAGTATTCCATTGTACACTACCTTTTCAAACACACGCTTGGAGCTCCGCGTAATATGACAAAACAGGCGTGAATATATTTTAGATGAATTCGGAGCAGCAATATCGCCTAGGGTATACGGTGTAGTCTTCCTTTCAGTTTGCGTTGTAAGAGATCTATTGTAGTATCATTGGCTCCCTCCCCCTGTCTTGCTTAGACCCCTCTAAAGAAAATTCATAAAAGAGAAACATATCTACTATGATTGCCAGGTTGCCGCCTCCTTTCCCCATATTCTCTCCCATTCTTGCAACAGAAATATATCGGTAGCGCTGGTTTACAAAGAAGTGTCTTTTTGGATAATATTCATTGAATAACTGTAAAGACTATGTGCTTAATCAGAGCTTACAATTTGGAGTCGTCCTTCTCAACTGCAATTGCTTCTATCTCCAATGGAACTCCCAATGGCAATTCCTTGACAGCAACACACGATCTAGCTGGTTTATGCTCGTTAAAGTATTTGGCGTAGACCTTGTTAAAGTCGCCAAATTGGGCATTCATATCAGTTAAGAAGATATTAGCCTTGACGATATGCTTCAAAGAAGAATTTGATGCTTCTAAAATGGCAGAAACGTTTTGAATTGCTTGTTCGGCATAGTCTTGAATTGTTGAAGACTCTGGTAATGGCTTGTTATCAGCAGTGTAGGGAATTTGACCGGAAACATAAATAAAGCCTATAACGAATGTTAGTATCGTATTAACAATTGAATTGGGCAATTGAATATATATCCACGACTGTGTAGTTTACATACCGTTAGCCTTGATTGCTTGTGAGTACGAAGCAGCAGGTGGAGGAGCTTGTGAGGTTCTCACCTTTAATTGAGGTTGTTAGTATCTCAAAGTTCGTGAATTTGTTTTCGCTCTTTGACACATACGGGGGTAATTGAAGAATTGAATCTTTTGGCAGACATGATAGAAGACCTGAAGGATTGTGCACTCAATGTGTTCTTAAACATTTGGTAAACTTCTTCAATTATAAATGAATTTAAAAATAAAATCTAAGTGAGAATCGACTCCTCAGTTTGTTTGCCCTTACTATTTCTTTTTTTCCGCTTGGCGGAGTCAAGAGCCGCACAGAAGTCGAGAAAGAAGAGAGAGAGTATTGTTGACTCAGATTAGAAAAATGTCAGATTTATGCAGGTACTTACCGCTATTTACCGAGTCTTTTTCGATTTTGCCTTCTTTTTGGACTTTGACTTCGACTTCTTCTTGTTCTCGTTTCTAGATTCTCTACCTTTTGTCTCATCGCCATTTGACACCGCATTTCTAGATTCAGCCTCTGATTCCTCAGCTTCTGGAGAATCCAAGCTCTTACCTGAATCAGCTACATCACCAGAAGTGATAACAGCCTCAAACTTTTCAAACAAATATTCGGCAAACCTTTCAATCTTGCATAGTGTGTTGAAATTTGCCATAAACGTATGGAAATCCTTCTGAAAAGTACTCGATTTGCTTATTTTTCCCTTGCTCAAAATAGCCAACAAACCAATCTCGATTTTTCTAGCAAATTCATCAATTATTCTTGAATTGAGGGAATTAGCGTCTATATCGTCGTCAATTTCCAGAGCAGTCATATCTTTATATTTCACCAATAGCTCTTTTCTTTGCTCAGGATCAATAGACGATTCATCCTTAACGGTCTCTACACGTTGCTCATTTTGCAAGCTTTTAATCCTAAAGTACAATTGTCTAGCTTCCGGGACTTTTCCAATCCACCCAATCAATAACACTTGTAACTCGTTGTTGTAATTATGGATATCGTCTTTAGAGCTTTTGTCACCAATCTTGATGATATTGAGCTTCATTAGTTGCGATATCATCAAACAGAGAAGTATCATCAACTTCTTTGCTATTGATTCGGCCAATACTACTTCATAGCCATCATCAATTTCAAGACCTTCATTCGCAGACAAATAGAACGCACTATTGGTGAAAAACTCATGCAAAAGCATCAGCTGTTCCACCTCACTCAATATGACTTTGCCACCTTGTCTTGAAAATATGTACGGGGAGGACGTGTCTGGACTACCTCGTAGTCCAACGGCAAGTTGAAATACATAATCTATGAGTAGATTCGACAAGTTCAAATCATGTGTGATAAACCAGATCAATAATCGACGATGTCCGTTGCACATGAGCATTTCATCCATAGCTGCCCGCGCTAATTTTGAGTTGGTCTGTAGCATAAGCTCAAATTTAGTGATACTGAAAATGGGAATGAGCAATTTGTTGTTGTCTTGTGCCTTTTTGATGTCATTCTCCAGAGCTGGAGACGACCAGTATTTGTGAATTAAATCGGGAGTAATGGAAGTTTCTCTGCCCTCTATTTCATCCTTGATTGCCTTTGATATCGTATTAATTACCAGCTGCCCAATCTTGGCTTCTGCCTCAGCACTGCCTTCAATAGAAAACCCAGAGAGAAATTCAAAAGTAAAATACAACTCATCCCATGTTGTGAATAGGTCGTCAGACTCAGTTTTATCTTGCCCACCGTCGAAAGCAGCAAATTTCTCAAGGAACATTGGGTTGAAGCGCACATTTTCGCCTCTTACTATGTCCCGCCAGTCTCGCCCCTCGTCGTCAAATTGAATATCTATAGCCTCTTGTTCTGCCAACTCGTCCTTCGCTATTGTGTTCAAATCAGGAACAAGGCTCTTTTGATCATTTTCGTCTACGTCATCAGCATCGTCTATTTCATATTCGAGCATGTACTTAATATCTTCGTCAAATCGGTCAGCGTACTCTAAATCAATTAGTACGTCGCCCAACTCTGCTATTCCCTTGGATCTGTTGAGCTTTCTTACTGCCTGTTCCTCATTGACAGAGGGCTCCTCTATAGGACGATGTTGCTCGCTGGTAAAGGAAGTTGCCGAATACACAATCAACAAAGCTATCATGACCAACCTCATATCAACCAGGATTGCGCCACCATTGGTAGTGGTTCTTGCCAAGGGTTCGATAAAATTCAAAATTGGTTCATTCTCCAAGTCCATTGCTCCATCGGCAATTGATTTGATAGTTTCCTGAGATAAATCGTAATCGATCGCCAGAGATGGGTTTTGGTTTATTATCCACGCAAGCACGCACCGCACTGAGCTTGAGCCTTTCAAAACTTGGATTATTATCGAAGGTGTTTCTTCTTCTTCGTTGTTTTCCTGGTTATTAAACTCGATGCGGCGGTCTATCTCAAGACCAAGCAAAATGATATTGGTATGGCACTTCCAAAGTTTTATCAAGTAATGAAGGTATGGGTTCATCGCTAGGTTAGACGTTCCAGCACCGGGAGAAAACATCTTTTGAATCGACATAACAAGAACACATGCCATGGAATACAAAAGTTTCAAATTGAGCTCATCACCCGAGACTGTGGTTTTTGGTGTCCACTCAGCAAGGGATGTTTTCCAACTCCCTTCGCTATTGTCCACGAATCTCAATTTCAACTCATCCGACGCATTCAATAAATCATGTATTAGTCGAAGCAATGTGAAGAACTTTGTTGATATGTCAAACTTGATAGAATCGATTTCGATGTCATGTGCATCCTTAGCTTCACGGTAAAACGAGTACAGAAGAGAAATAAGCAAATCTGATATACAACTGACACTTAAAACATAGTCTTCTGTCTCCTCCGGTTGAGTAAATGGGTCGCAAAGGGATATTACAGTATCGAAAATGAATCTTAACAAGACGTCGAATAATGGTACATTTAATAAGCTTCTAATATGATCATGTCTTTTGTCAAAATTTTTCACGGGGCCCGTCGGTGGAATAGCAAAATCATATTCAACTGTATCTATCTCTTCCTCGACTTCTTTATCCAACATATCATGTCCCAATAGAGTGTCAGCCTCTCTCTTTCTTTCTTTCTTTCTTTCTTTCTTTCTTGTGTTCTTTACTACAACTCTGTTTAGAAAATGGGAAAAAAGCTGGAAATAGTTTCTTCAAACACGCTACCTTCCAGTAAAAAAAAAATGTGCCTCATATTTCGTCTACAAAAAGTCTACTACTAAGTATATATGCCATTGCTAAATTAGTTGTATTCCTGAACATTGAATATCTGTTTAAGACCCTTCCCGAAAATACCTCGAACACTCGATGACCTATTTCTGGAATATGCGACTAATATAGCCAAGCTAATTGAGAAGACAAAGCTTTCTATTTTCAAGTTATTCTCTGAAGGTTCGGAGGGGACCAATGTACCCAATCCTCTCGGAGCAACAAACAATGCCAACTCTTTTCTCCTTTGCATTGTCTCTACGAATGACGAAAAACCACACATAATAGCCCCTGAAGCTGCACAAATAGTATCGTCAAATCTGGGTCTTGGGATATTGGGAAACAATTTGGGTAACAATCTTGTTCTCGCCAAACATACTCCATACCAATAAAGGCCAATGAATGCACCCAAAAAACATGAGGAGCGAAAAGTGGACTTTATTGCCCTGAGCAATCTCGCTGAAGTCTTTACTTTCAGCGGGAATACCAACATGAACAAATTTAGTGGTCCATATACCGTAACTGCAAACTTAAAGCCTCTCCAGAATCTCCACAATGCGTGTAGCTCACAGCTTTTGCACTTGAAAGCGTGTACGGCTTCGCAGTTTATTGGTTGATTTATTACAGTATTTCCTCCCCTTGGGTCTTTACCGTATTTAACAAAGTATGGGGCTAAGTAATCCTCATACGGGCCGTGTTGGCCATAAATCAAGTCCTTATTCTTAACCAACCTTAAAACCTCAATAAAATCAGGGTCCATATTGGCTGCGGACGTTATCCACTTGGAGTAAGCAGGCGGTAACTTCTCTGGATGATAAAACCAAGAAAACATAACTAAAGTGCTGCTGATGATAAATAATAAAGCATCTCCGTACTGGCTAATTCCTGCAGGTGTAATATGGGACAATGTGGATGAAAACACAGTATCTAAGGCCCGAGTGGCCACCAACAAAGTGAGATCTAGCGAATTGTATCTTCCAAAACCAACAACGTGGCTCTGGAACAAAGGGAATGTAACTAATGCTGAAGCCAAGGCTGATGCTAATGTCGAAACAAATAAAGCTGACGAAGGTCTCTTTAGGAATCTAGACTTCCTAAGAAGACCGTACACTATGGGCTCCAAGACGTTAATCCCGGTGATCAAGCTAGCAGCAAACATTGGGAACTTGTACGGGTGTAACGCTTTCACCATAGTCTTTTTCATTCTTGGTATTATCCTGCCATATTTTCCCTTTTTCACCCCACTTGCAATGGCTTTGATTACCTTTGGAAGTACTAGGTAAAGATACGCGTAAAGGAACGCCTTGAGCGACGGCTTGCCTACCCGGTTGATAAGAAGGTGAGCAAGTAGGACATTTCGACTCTTTTTGGTCAAGTTAGCATCCATAGTACTTATAGTGATTTATACTCTAAATATGCAAGGTTGTTGGCCATTTTTTAGAGACATCTGCATTGATTATGGTTTATTTTGAAAATGATCTGAGTAATATTTGAAAATAATAAAAAAAAAAAATAAAATAAAAAAAGAAAGAAAAAAGGAAAATACGATTTAACCTCGGCAGGATCTTACGATGGAAAATGCAATTTTCTTGTAAACACTTGTTGGGTATTGGTTGAAATTTGTGGGTTTCTTTCCGTTTCAAGGGTAGTGCAACCGGATTGCAGGCGTAGATGTCATTGGAATTGTGTTATTGGGACTTTCTTATAGTGTGCGTTCATGGAGCGCTGTCATTGCTGCAATCTGACAAGCAAATATTATACATCAAAAGTTGACTGTTTGTGCTCTCTTTTCCACAGTTTCTTTGAGAATAGAGTCTAATTGTACTAAAGAGCTTTAATATTGCTCTGGTACATATTTCAAGAGAAACGCTATGTTGGGTTTTTCAATATGCGCGTTTTGTGGCTTTGTTGCACTAAACAGAGACCAAAAACAATTACGACATTTCATGTCGTTCTTTAGTTCTCACAAAAAAAAAGTCACTTCAAAATAATGTCGCGTAGTTTGTTTTGATGCGTTGTTCAAAGTGAGGTTACCAAGAAACAAGTAGTAACTGGGTCGGCTGACTTGTGAGCTGGTTTTACCAATTAAGGGCAGATCACTACTGTTTGTCTTTTTGGGTTCATTTTGATACACTATTAACCAGTCGTAACTATATCAAGCTCATATAAACTCTTACAGCAACATTAATAATTTCTTTCATTATTCTCTGATTTTAAAAATCAACAAAGCTTCTACCTTTTTTTTCCATTCTTTTTTTTTTCCAAATTCCACACAACGCCTGTAAACTGAACTACAACTAGAATCAAGCTCAAATCGAATTTCAGCACGAACCCAATTGAATCACCGAAACTTTCATTGAGATAACAAGGGTGCAAATATGGTTAAAATAAGTGAAATTAATCGTACTTCAACTTTTGCCTGGAGTCTGGACAGTCTTCCTTTGTTAGCCACTGGAACTGTCGCGGGGGCCGTTGACATTGACTTTAGTTCTTCAGCAACATTGGAAATTTGGGACATATTTTCACCAACAAGCAAAGACAAACCACTTTTCTCTGCACTGGTTGAGCACAAATTCTACGCCTTAGCATGGTCAAAGCCATTTGACGGGAGATCGAAAGGATTGTTAGCAGGTGCTTTTGAAAATGGAACTGTTGAATTTTGGGACGTAGCTACGATGATCAAAACAAAAGACCTTGGAAAATCGTCTGTCCATAAATCTGACAAACATACTGGCGCCGTCAAATCATTGCAATTCAACCCCATCCAGCATCATGTGCTTGTGACTGGAGGCTCCAATGGGCAAATTTATATATGGGACACCAAGAAGTTTACCGAACCGTTTGCACCGGGTCAAGCAATGACGCCAATGGATGAGATAAGTAGTGTTGCTTGGAATAATTCAGTAAGCCACATTTTTGCAAGCACTGGCAACAGCGGATATACATCCATTTGGGACCTTAAAAGTAAAAAGGAAGTATTGCATCTTTCGTATAACGGGCCAGGAGGAAGAGCAAACTTTTCCCATGTTGCATGGCACCCAACGAAGTCTACGCAATTAGTTACTGCCAGTGATAATGATTCTTGTCCTTTGATTTTGACTTGGGATTTGAGAAACTCAAACGCTCCAGAGAAGGTGATTGAAGGGCACAAGAAGGGAGTTTTGTCTCTCGACTGGTGTAAGCAAGATGCGAACTTGTTGATTTCATGTGGAAAAGACAATGCCACTATATTGTGGAACCCCATGGAAGGGAAGAAGTTGGTAGAGTACCCAACAACCGCAAATTGGGCATTCAAGACCAGATTTGCTCCATCGGCACCGGACATTTTTGCTACCGCTTCATTTGATGGAAAGATCACTGTGCAGACTATTCAAGACACGTCACCACCGATGTCAACCAAAGTTAATGCATCAAACAATGACAATGACTTTTGGAATGAGCTATCCGTCACCGAAACTCAACAGCCAATTTTTGAAGTCAAGCAAGCGCCGGCTTGGCTCAAGAACCCTGTGGCTGTGTCTTTTGGGTTTGGATCCAAGTTAGTATCTGTTGAAAGTGTAAACGGAAAGTCCATCGTTAAAATTGAAAAGTATCTGGCTGGATTTAAAAAAGAGGGCAGTGACTTTGAGAACTTGAAAAATGGCAAGTATGAAACCATTATTGAAACTAGATTAAATGATGGGACTGTAAAGGGGAAAAACCAAGTCGATTGGGAGATATTGGAAACTTTTTCCAAAAGTGGAAAGGATAAATTGTTTGAAACTGAGAACGATAAGGAAGAAACCGAGGCCAAAGGAGAGCCTCAATTAGAAAACGAGGATGGTTTGCGCGAAGATGTCGCTGTCAACACAGAAGGCGATGCCGATTTCTTCGAGCACCTTGGTAATGGCAAAGTAAAATCCAATGGTGACGATTACGTACCTACTGGAAACTTTTCTATTTTTAGGTCAAACGCATCTGACGCTGACAAGAAATTGATCAATTTGATCTTGAGCAACAAGATTGAAGAAGCGGTGGAGTCTTCTTTGGATCAAAAAAAGTTGGTTGAAGCGTTAGTATTGGCATTGGATGCATCTGAAAATGTTAAGCAAGCTGTGAAAACCGCCTATTTCAAAAAGCACAAGGAGGATAGTTTAGCCAGGGTTATCTACAATGTGTCTTCGAGGAACGTTACTGATCTTGTTGTACATGCCAATGTTCGTGATTGGAAAGAGATTGCCAAAGGAATAGCCGCTATTTCCACAGACTCTCAAGATTACAATAATAAGTTGTCTGAGTTGGGAGATCGTATCTTGAATTCAAGTGATGGAAAGAGAGAAGATGCAATCACATGTTACTTGGCGGGTGGTGCTTTAGACAAATTGGCCAATCTTTGGTTACAAGAATTACCAGAGTACGAATCAGAGTTGTTGCATTCTGACGCAAAAGAAATTTCATCGCCTTCCGAAGCGCGTTTACATGTTTTGACAAACTTTGTTGAAAAGATTGCCACTTACAAGTTTTATTCCAAAAATGATGGTACTATCACGGGTCCACTGGCTGAGCCTATTTCGAAAGCGTTGTTGGAATTTGTAAATCTCGTTTCTGGTTCAGGTGAATTTGAATTGGCGGAAAAGGTTTTACAATTATTGCCAAGCGAGCTTGCTGGAGTTGAGAAAGAAAGGATTTTAAAAGCCACTGGAAAAGATGTTAGCTCCTCAGTCAGAGCTTCGGGTGCAAACAAGTCCTCCTCTAAAACTCCAGGTGTGGGAATTGAGCAAAAAACTGTAAGACAAGCTTCTGTTGCCAAATCTAGAGCTCCTTACCCAGCTGCAACCAATTCAGGTTTACAACAAGAAGGCTTTCAATACCAAACCCCTCCAGTTCCTACTCAACAACCAGCGGGATTTCAATATTCAAACCCACCATTATCTCAACAGCCTCCAGTAGCTTTCCCTCAGCTGAATTACCCATCGGCGGTGCCCAAGACAAATCCATATGCAAAACCCAACCCATATGCACCAACAAACATCTACAAAGCTGCATCCCCTGTGGCCACCCCTACCGCATTGCATAATCCATCGGGAGCCCCTCCACCACCTCCACCTGCTGCTGCTGCTTCTTCTTCTTCTTCAGCTCCTAGAAGCAGCAAGCTGGAAACTGATGGGTGGAATGACTTGCCGGAAACATTCAAACCAAAGACAACTGCTCCACGTAGGGCTGCTGCTGCTGCCGCTGTGGCTGTTGCTAGTCCAGCTCCTGGTACTGTGCCCCTTGCATCTGTACCTCCATTGCCAACCCAACAAAGTCAAACGAGCTTGAATACTTCCTTTGCCCCTCCGAAGAGAACAGTCTCAACAACGGGTTTTGCACCACCACCAAAAACTAGCAGCCGTAGCGCATCTAGAACTTCAATCCCAACTCAACAAGTGCCATCGCCAAAGCCAACCCCAACGAGCAAATATGCCCCACCACCAGGTTCTGAACAGCCGCCGCAGCTGGGAACTCCAAATTTCGGTGCGCCACCAACAGCTGCTGCATCTCCTCATGCGGTTAAGAAGAACCCATATGCTCCAACAAGTGAACCAGCACCAGCAAAGGTTCCGTATGCATCCCCTCCTCCATTAGCTTTTGGAGCACAGCCAACGCCAGCCGTTGCACCACCAAAGAATCCATACGCTCCACCTCCACAAATGCAGAACAACTTACCCCATGTATCAGGCGTTCCAGCACCTGATGCGGGTTCAAGATTTGGAACTGCAGCTCCACCCCAACAGCCATTTGGAATAAGCCTGAGCACTCCGGTTCAGCCACCATTCACCCCAGTGGCACCTCCCCCAACTGGTCCGGTACGCCCACCTGTGTCGGTGAACAATCAGCCACCAGCTGCTGCTGCTGTCCCTGATAGATACCCTCAAGGTGATAGATCGCATATATCCGAAGAGACGAAACCAATCTTCACTTCTTTGACCAAGGTCATGGAGGCAATTAAACCAAATATTCCAGAAAAGTTTGCAAAACATAGCGCTGATATGGAACATAGATTAAACATCTTGTTTGATCATTTGAATAACGACGATTTGTCCAAGCCCCTTGCCGGTTCTTTGAAAGAGGTCAGTGCTTTGTTGGAGGATAAAAAGTTTGACGAAGCTAATGCTATCGACGTTGAAATTTCTACAAATTTTAGTGACGAGTTAGGTAACTGGCACACGGGTCTCAAACGTCTTATTAGAATGGCGGAAGCGATGTATTAGAGTTACAAGAATAGTGGTTTCCATTTCGGTGCGTTTTAATTGAATGCTATTAATTGATATCTTTGAAAGAAAACGTAGAGTCAAAAGCATACTATATTTGTAACTGTAAAGACAACAAAATAAAACTTTTTTTCCTCTAATCTAATCTATTTCTTAATAAAAACTAACTTCAGCAATCTTGGCCCCACCATAGTCATCTTCAATTGGCACTGTATTGTGAATGCCATCTACTTCAAGTAAAAGGAACCTGCTTTGCAAATTGATATCCAATGACGTCGTATTATGTCGTACAGGTACCAATACTTCTTGAAATTCTGCACTTGAAAATGGTGCATTTATGGGGACATCCTCTGAGTGCACTAGCTCAAATACATCGCTTTGATTAAGCAATTTCTCTTTGGGGTTGGCAAAGCGATAATTTTTGTAAACTGGGTTGCCAAAATCCACCTTGGCTAAAAAATCAGTGACAGCGTTGAATTTTGTGTCTGCATATTTCAGAAGTTTAACTTGCTTGGGCGGTCTATCAGCCCAGTTGAATGTGACACCGGATATGTTTTTAATTGTGTGCAAGTCTATCAACACTTTTCCAGTTGTATCGTTATACTTTACCTGCCATCTAGTAGTATTGTCACCATCATTAATCAGAAAAGATGAATCTCCGGGAGCACTCTCAGTGATGTTATAAAATGTGGCCAAACCACATTCTGATAAGCTGTCCTCCACATTCTTGCTCGGTTGAAATAACTTGAATGTTCTTTCTTCATTGTCCTTCAATTTGTATGTGCCGTGTTCAGGGTTTCTATCAGCCATTGTTATAGTTATGTAATTGTTTGCCCTCTTGTTGGTCTTTCCTTCATTTCGAATCACAAATTCCGAGTCTGTAATATTCATCGAAATTGTATGGTTATCATAATGAATACCACTGTACTGAACACCATTGCCTAAACATGGCAAAGCAATTGGGTCCAAATTCAACGACCTCGACATTTTTCCATTGTCTATGGTGTAGGTATGTCTCAACCCGGTCAATCCGTGTATGACGGCTTGTACAAACCCCCCATGGGCAGTCAAGAATGGGAAAGCCGGATGCGTACCTCCATTTGATTTGTAATCATCGTTATTTTGCTCAGAAAATTGTACAAATGGTCCTCTCAAGTATGGTTGGATTGCCCTGTGCAAATATGATTGAGATGCACAACCACTAGAGGCCAAATTAGATGCCACAATGGAAAAGATTGAAAATGTCATTGCTGGTCCATAACTCACTTGCTTTCCAGAATAGAATTCCATATTTGTGTATGCCTGGTCAGTATCAACCAAACTATTCTGTAATGGATATGTTAGTAGTACAACATCGGCTTGCTTAATTCCTACCGACGAATTCATTCCTGAATACTCTAATGTTATGTTCTGTGAATTGTCTGCTGTTGGAAGATACATTTTTTGCGAGATTTCAGCAAATATCTTAGGCATATCGACATCAAGTATAGCACCAATGTCATTTATCCAATTCATTAGTAGTGCAATACCGGCATTTGTATAAGCTCCATTGTCCACGTGATTTGCATATTCGTCTGGATCTGTGAGATTATTGGTGACAAACTTGTCAATAGTATCGTTGTAGCTTGTTACATAATCGGAGTAGAACTTTGCCGCATCATTTATCAAGGGGTAGATTGTACTTTCCAAGTATTGCTCATCAACTGCTCCACTTATATATAGCTCCCACGCAGCCATAGCAATAGCTGAATTGATATGGTATTCATAATTCAAGCAAGGTCCTGTGGCAGTGCAATTTCCAAACCTTCCACTTGTCCACGGATAAACTGCGCCCTCACATCCTTGAGGAGTATTGTTCAAAGCCTGCTGGTGCGTATGCATTCTGTAATTTACTATGCTTTTTGCGTGGCCAGGATTGAGAGCTAATATGGCATTAAACATCCAAAAGTCGGTATCCCAGAAAACCATGCCGCCATAACTATCTGAGCTTAAACCACCCACACCGAGGGCTCCAGTTACCCCTTGTGCATCGGAACGCGTATTAGCGAGCAAATGGTAGGCCGAGGCCTTGGACCCTAAATCAAGCAATGAATCATTTGGAAACGTTATCGTCGAGATTTTTCCCATCAATTCCTTCCATGCTTGCACGTGAGATTTAATTATCAAGCCCAAGTGTTCAAACTTTTGCGAAATCTGCTTTGCAAATTGAAGGGTATCCCTAGTGGTTTTCAATTTGGCGGGATCAAGGTCTGTAGAAACAATCCCTACTGTCTTTCCTAATTGGGTGGTTTCTTGGGAGAGTAATCGAATCATTGAACTTTGCTTGGTTTGCTTCTTTCTTGATCGACGACTTACATTGTCAAGATGAAGCGTTGAATAAATAGCACCAGATATGTAGTCCAAGTTATCTGGCAGAAACGACACATAGATACCGGAATCATCGTGGCCAATCAGATTCAACTCACACCTTTGTGCTGTATCAAAGTTCAACTCATCTATCACGCTTAGTTCGACCGTGTCATTCCCATTGTTCTGGATATCCACCTTGACCAAACCCAAATTGATTTCAGACCTGTGAGCAAGTACAGTATACTTTACATCTAAAACCTCTAGCCATGTAAATTGAGTGGTAACAATCCCAGTAGACAATGACATGTTTTGAACATAGTTTGTTATTTGCCCTGTTCCTTCAGGCAAAGCCGGGTCTAATGTATAATTATTGTCGCCCTGTTGAATGACCAACTTTAATGTAGTCCACTGAGGGATGGCAGATATGACACTTTCATACCCATTTTCTAATAGTTCAGGGAAATTGTTTCCCGTTGTATTTTCTTGAAGGTTGTAGAACCCAGCCATAAAGGCTCCGGAAAACCTTTTATCAAACAACGGCCATCCGTTGTACAAATCATCTTTATTTGAATCGGGAGATTCAGTTAGTTGGTCGTAGGTAAACCCCTGTCCCAAGTTGGGTATTCTACTGCCAATATACCCATTAGCAACATATGGCTGGTTTTGATACTGATTGTACTTGGAAAACTCAATTGTTCCAACCACATTTAACTCTCGATCATAAAATGCGCTTTCGCCAAACTGTAACTGGCTAAAGATTTCTTTGTTTTGAAAGCTATTGACAAAGTCGCCGAGGTTGGAGTCTGACTGTTGTAGTGTGTATCTTTCAGTACGGGGTAAAACGAATGGAAATGCTTCACAGTACTTGGCATTTAATAAATGGAGACTGTAAAATAGTAAGAAGTTTGCAACGATCGTCATGGATATGATGTACACCTTATTAGTCTTATTGTAAAACAATTTTTTAATGCCCTTGGCTCTGGAACTATCTTCAATATATATACCATTCTCTATGTCCATAGTATATATATATATATATATATTGGGTTTTGGCGGGGTGAGATGATAGCACAAAATCAGTATGCAAAGTGGAGTAGTAAAAAACTTAGATAAAGCGTATAAGGGTAGCAAAAATCAAGCAACGAATGATGGATCTGTAGTTTTCTTCAAGAAGTGTTGTGGTGCATAAGCTATGTTAAAAATGTGTTACGCAAATTAGGCAACTGAGAGATCTTTCTCTGTGTGAGAGGGTATTTGGATTTGGTAAACTTCGTTTGTCTGAAAAAAAGAGAAACCACAAATAAAAGTGGAGTGACGTACGACAATTTACGACATTGACCAAAATCTGGGAGATTGCGAGAGAGATAGAAAAGACTTGGACTTTGGACCTTGACTTGCTTTTCATTGAACAACGGTCCCAAGGTGAGGAGAACGCTTACTTGATGCTTACCACTACCGCAATTGAATCAAGCTAAGGGGGTGTGCATTTCGGTAGCAACCACAATCAATTGTGGTTTAACCAACAAACAAAGGCAAACGTTTGCTCGCGTCCGATGCTGAGTAAGGCAAGTGGGTTTCCTCAAAAGGGCAGAGTGACTGAACAGCAAAAGATCCCCCAAATCACTTAGACTGATTTCACAGTATTTATTGTTTTTATTTATTGTTTTGCCGTAGCAAAGAATGATTGCGAAAACGGAGTTGTTACCTCAGATAAAAGAGAAAGTAAATGTTTACCTCTTATGAATGCTTTCACAATGATATGTTTGGTAGCATTGTGGCCGTACTTCTCAACACTCTTTCTGTTACAATTTCATAAAATTGGAGAGTAGTGTCCTTTTGATATGTCATCGCTTGCAAAAAACAATCAGCTTGTTTGAAATGCTGAAAGCAAAGGTCTTATAGTGGAGCGCATCCATCGATATGCTCTCCTTTTCCGCGTGAGGCCATTTTCTCATTCCCAGCAAATACCAATACTATATATGCAACAGTGTGCAAAGCAGAAAAGTTCCTTTAACAACACAATATATTGTAATAAACAGATTCACAATCACCTGACGCTCAGATATATTAACCTATATGATGGCCCTCTCGAACAGATCTACTATCCATCACATATACGATAAAACAAACCTGTCTCCATGAGATTTGCAGACGTGCATAAAATACCAATTTTTTATTTTTTTGCTTTTTCCTTTTTCCATTTTTTTTTTCGCTTCTCTCTTTCTCGTGAAAAATTTCAAGAATCTGAGTCAGATCCCATCATCAGATAGTTTATAAGGCAAATTACATATACATCATCTCCAACAAAAAGACCAGTTTGTATTCCACAATGAGCTCAACTAACTGCAGATTTTATGAAAACAAGTATCCAGAAGTGGACGAAGTTGTTATGGTCAACGTTCAAGAAATAGCTGAAATGGGTGCATACGTCAAACTTTTGGAGTATGACAACATTGAAGGTATGGTTTTGTTATCAGAATTATCAAGAAGACGTATCCGTTCCATTCAGAAGTTGATTAGAGTCGGAAAGAATGAAGTTGCTGTTGTATTGAGGGTCGACAAGGAAAAGGGTTATATTGATTTGTCAAAGAGAAGAGTGTCCGCAGAAGACATTGTCAAATGTGACGAAAGATACAACAAAAGTAAAGCAGTGCATTCCATCTTGAGACATTGTGCTGAAAAATTCAACATACCATTGGAAAAATTGTATGAAACCATAGGTTGGCCATTGAGCAGAAAGTATGGGCATGCATACGATGCGTTCAAATTTTCAATTACTGACCCAACCATTTTCGAAGGTATTGTGGCCCCATCCGAAGGCGTTTTGGAAGAGTTGAAAACGTACATATCAAGAAGATTGACTCCTCAAGCTATCAATATAAGAGCAGATGTCGAAGTATCGTGTTTTGGATACGAAGGTATAGATGCGATCAAACTGGCCTTGAAAGCGGCAGAATCGGTGTCGAATGAACAAATGCAAGTCAAGGCTAAGTTGGTTGCTGCCCCGTTATATTTCCTTTCGGTGCAATCGTTAGACAAGAACCAAGGAATACGTCTTTTGGAATCGGCCATTGAGAAAATCGTCGAAAGTATAGAGTCAAACGGTGGTGTTTGCAAGGTTAACATGGCACCAAAGGCGGTAACCGCTACCGAAGATGCCGAGCTTGAACGTTTGTTGGAAAGCAAAGAAGCAGAGAACAAGGAAGATGAATCGGACGAAGAAGATGATGAATAAGTCATTTTTTGGGTGTAACATAGAAGTATATAAATGAAAATGTAAAGCTTTCAAACTAACACAAATTCACACTCCTCACCCCTTCAAATCACTCAGCTCTTTCAAATCCTGCGATTCTTTCCTGTTTCGTCTTTTCCATTGCCTCTTGAATTTGAGCACCACTAAAAACTCCGGGCCCGTCAAAAAGAGGACCTTCATAAACACTGATATTGGTAGGGATTTTCTTCAAAATAATTTTGTTTTTGTTGGCTCTGTCTACAATGTCGGCAGGCAAATTGGGCACCATTTCTTCTGGAACCCGTAATTCGGTGACGGACTCCGGTATTTTGACATTCTCAAGCGATAAAAGCTCTGGATTACCACTCAAGTCGAGAATCTTCAAGTTGTTGCCAAATTTAATGCTTCTTATGGATTTCATATCATTGTAGGTTAAGCTCAAGTGGGTCAAGCTTTGGGGGAATTCGTAATTCTCAAGAATTCTGATACCCTGATAGCCGAGTTTCAAGACTTTCAAGTTTGGTGGGAGAGAGACATCTCTCAATGTAATAATCTGCTTTTCGTTATCAAAGGACTCTGGGTCGTTCTCTATGTCAAGAGTTTCCAAACTGTTTGGAAACACAACATTCTTTAACGTCGTCAAAAGGTTGTCACCTAAATATAATTCTTTGAGGCTAGAAGGGAATTGAACTTTATTTAAAGTCTTGATCTTGTTACCGTTCAAATATAGCGTCTCAATCCCATTTGGTAACTTTAAAGTGTTGACGCTCGTGACACCATCCTCGGACAAAACCAAAGTTTTGACATTTGATGGAACTTTCAATCCGCGAGGAGTTGTCATTGCAGATTGTAAATTCAAGACTTCAAGCAGTTCGGGAAATTTGACGCCAACCATTGCATCATTGGGTATTGTACTAGCGTCTAAAAATTTCAACAACGGAGGAAAGGCTGCTCCCTTCAAAGACTCAATGGGATTGAATGCGATACTCAACGACTCAAGTTTCGGTGGCCATCTAGCACCCGCTAAGTGGTCAATTCGATTTTCGGATAGGTCAATATCAGTCAATGAATTTGGGAATTTGATGTCGTCCAACATGTAAAGCTTGTTCCCCAGAAGGTCCAAAGTTTCAAGGGATGCAGGTAAATGGATTCCATGGAGATAAGAAAGGGACCCACTTGAGGCGTGGAACCTTTTTAGTTTGGATGGCATAGTGAAGCTCAACTGATTCAAGAAAAAGTCACCACTGATATTCAAAACCTCCAAGGACTTTGGAAACTTGATATCGGGAAATGATTCAACACTGCTCTCGGTGTAGTCCAAATGCTTCAAGTTTTTCCATGGTTCTACATCCAGCCTAATTTCTGCTTCCACTTCTGATTTATTCCCATCCTCATCCCCATGAGAAAACTTATTCACAATAGACAAATGAGTCACCTTATCCCCGCAAATGTTTTTGACAGTTGATATGAACTTCTTGTATTGCTCCACATCGATGGCACTGTAATCCTTCCAGCTTTTATCTCCGTTGAAAAATATATGACACCCCACGTTTGTATTTTCAGTAAGCAATTGAGAATTACTTTTGAGGTAATCAGTGTACTTTGTAAGCTTCTCCCATTTTTTTTCATCGTATTCAACTAAAAGGTGGATATATTCCAAAGCATGCGGGAAGGTGAACTTTTCCTTATCGGCTTTTTCAATATCAAGAGTAGTTAATTCTGTGTTTTTCAAGTCCCTCAATTCCTCAAGAAAGGAAGACTTGGTATAGCCCTGGTGTGATTCACTCGTCACCACCAATCTATAGTTAATTTTGGGATTAGTCATGGTTAATAGCAGAAAATAACCAACGTTGAGTCAAGAGTGGAGAGAGTGTGAGGGACGGAGTTCTGGGCTGCTTTGTTTTTTTTTATTTGATTTGGCGAGGAGCGTGGCTAGAGAGCCGTTTCGGTTTATGCAGGATTGGTGGTTATATTTCCTTTTCTTAGACGCATATCACCAAAGTAGGAAACAGGGAGGTGTGTATCACATGTATAGGTATCTTGAGGAAGTGGTACATTATCCATTATTGGAAAAGTCCATTTACGTGTATACTATGTTTAATAGAAGTATTAACCTGTATTTAGATGATACCAATTACTTACTGTTTACTTATAAAGAAAGCAATAAGTATGCGAGGATTATGCGACGCGTGTTGTTTTTTCTTTTCCACCCTACCAAGCTTCAATTACCACCCCCCATGTTACACCTGGAGGTGAATATTTATCCATGTGTGTCCCTCCCTCTGAAAATGAACTCAGATGTGACTCTAAATTTTTATCTTCTACCTCTAGTCTACAATACAAAACTGGTTTATTGAAAAGAGTTATGCGTGGCCTCGGTAATCCCCGACACAGTCAGAGTGGATAACTACTCAGCGACAACAATAATACATATTCTCGATCTTCTACAACCCTGTCTTTCTCTAGAAAATTGAATAAATTGTAGATTTATTATCTATACAGAGCTATCATGTTTTTTCTCCACCTATTTTTAATGCATTCGTAAAGACAGCAAAAAATGGCACGGAAACTTGGGTAATATCGACTTGATCTGAATCAACCAGCCCATCCTTGTTTATTATCTCATCTCTTGCTTTCAAGTAGCCCCTGATTAGCAACATGGTTGTTGCAGAAGCTAGAAAAATAACACCAGTAAAAATGGAACAATATTGGTAACTTGTAGGATCAACAGTAGCACCACTTCCTCGTACGAGTTTGACACCGATTACTGGTGAGAATACACCAGCAATACCCATAAGACTCCAGATTTTTCCAAAAACCACATTCATTTTTCGTAGTCCAAAAATTCGTGCCACTAGTGGAGCAATAATAGCGTATATGGTACCCATGAGAGCACCCTCTATTAAGGCAAAAACAACCACGGTAGCATAGTTTCGTGCTGGTATCCACATTGCCAAACAAAATATTCCGACAAGATAATACGCCACAGTAGCCACTGAAGCAGGACCAAGCCTGTCTGATAAATACCCCACGACTGGCCTACCAAATAATGAGCCGACCTGCACCATAGCAGATACTATAGCACCTTGGTGCTCACTGTAACCTAAACTCTGTGTGAAGTTGGCCAATGTGTACAATACGATAACATAACCAAATATACAAGTCAATACCCAGAATAAAACCAAGTAAAACCCTGCAGTTTTGAACACTGTTGGGTCAATGAACTTGAATTCAATGTTGTGTTTGGATGCTTTACTTTTGGCTGCAAGTATTGCGATCCAGGTTAACCCAAACCCGATAATACTTTGTGCCCTCAACGCCCAAAATACACCTGAATGGTCAACGACTTTTTGCATACCTAAATTGAAAACAACCCCTCCTAAACCTGACCCCGCTGAAGCTATACCGCCGGCTAAAACTCTTTTTTTCTTGAACCATTGTGGTAGTAAGGTGATTGAAGGGATTGAAAGGAAAGCTAGACCAAAGCTCTGCATTAGACCTTGTGTCAAGTACAATTGCCAAAGCTTTGTGGACCAACTTGCCAACATCAAGGCCGTAAATTGGAAGCAGTTCCCAGCTATCAACACCGGTTTAAACCCGAATATCCCCATGCATACAGTGATAGCGGGTGAAAATGCAAGACCTACTCCAAAAGCGATACCTCCTATATAACTGTAATCCATCTTGTCTGCTCCTTCAAAAGTCTGGTGTTTCAAATAGTATGCAAAGTATATGGCGAATCCCGAGTTCATACCCCACGTACAAAAATTGAAAAGCACACATGCAGCACATACAACCCACGCGTATCCACCATCTGTATTTGGGTCGTCATCTTGGAGGGCTTCCTTGGGTGGGAAAGGTTTCTCTATATCTATCTGTTTCTCCAAACTATTGGAGTTAGACAAACTAGCTCTTGTATTGTCATCTGAAGAGCCGTCTGATGTCATTGAGAATAAAGTTGAGTTATTAGTCTATGATGACAATGGATTGAGGGAAGAAATGATTATGCAAAGTCGGTGATATGATTTAAGCCACAAGTAACGGATGAAATGTTATATATATATTAGCTCAAGTTCCCCCATTAGTCAGAAAATATTATAGAGTAAATTTTTTTTCTGAAATAAGCGCTTCTTTTAAAAATACAGAAAAGGCTGAAACTCGGTAAGCGGATCGAGATGGGACCGTTTATGCGAGAAACAAGAAAAACCGCAAAAAGAAAAATATTGATGCCACACTTTAATGGGTATATATGGTAGACTTTGTCAAGGAGAAGAGGAGTTAATAAGTCAAAGTCTAAAGGAGTTTCTGTTATATCCTAACTGTTTTCGCAAGAACAATAGGCGATCTATTGACATGCTGCTTCTGTTTGCCTTTCAAAAGATCTGCGGTCCAGCATTGTCGGAGTTAACACTGAAATGCCAAAACATCACAAACATTTGCAAGCGAGATACTATAGGTCCTTTTGAAATCCCTTTAATCAACACACTTAAAAGGAAACACAGACTCAGAAGCCCACCTTAGGTTGAATAAGGTTGCTTTAGCTCTTGTGAGATACTTATCTCCGAAGACTGGCAAAAAAAAAAAAAAAGAGCGCATAGATCTCAGTTTATATAATTTCTCTAACCATTTTAGGTTTTGTTAATAACTCCGATATAAGTGCGATGTATCCGTGGCTAAAGCTATTGTCGATAACAAGAATTTGCTAGAACAAAGGGATCTCCAAATTCTTTAAACCTAAGAACTATATGAATGGGCCGTACCCATGGCTAATACAACAAGATAGCTATAACAGCAGAGTACTGACCACCTTCTTATCCCTTTACAGGAAGAGCTTTTGTTCGTGATAAGTGCAATGTGGTGTTAGTATAACTTAGTATCAATACGTTTAAACATAATCCCAAAACAACAATAAAAAAAATATAACATGGGCTGCTAGATGACATTACATTGAATGAAAAGAGGGTAATAATAAAACATGGCAGTTCAATTGCCAATCTGTAGAGGCAAAAAATAAAAAAAAAAAGCGGGGTGATCCGGGAATCGAACCCGGGACCGCCCGTAAGTCAAAAGCCAATCCGTGAAGACTTGCTAACGACCCTAAACGAGAATCATACCATCTAGACCAACCACCCGCACTAACGTAGCCGCCGAGCTCGACCCATTTCTAGGTCGATCACAACAGTAAACACAAATGTTCAACTACGCCACAAGCTTAATTTTTCGGAAAATTGATTTTTGCTTTAAATAATAGTGGATAATTTTAAGATTGAATTGAAACATTTCACAACCAAACAGTCCATGATTTCAAAGTTTAATGACTTGATGGTGTTTTTATTACATTTATAAGAGTTTGGCTTAAACTTTTCATTGCATTTGAAGAGTATTTCTTGTCTTTTGAGATGATTCATCATTACAATTTTCTTCTGTAAAAATTCAGCCAAAATAGTGGCAAAAACTTTATTAAAATAAAAAAAGAGAGAAACAAAAAGATTCAAATACTCTCAAGAGCAATAACTCACATAGTGTATGAATGTTTGTTATTGAAACTATACGTTGAGAGAAAGGTGGTTCTATCTACATAAAAATTGAAACGACCAAACACAGGTCAGAAGCTCCGGAAAAATGTACTGGCCACAGCACAACCCTTTTACCACTGAAAGTCACCTCAATGTTGCCTAAAAGGGATGATTTTGTTAGGTTGGTTTGATGATTTGACAAGGCAATTTCCAACCATAGTTAAAGATTGAGGACGTAATAAAATATAATTCATCAGGCTTAGGCTTCATTCAAATTATGCTAACATTTCCCACCCCTAATACAAACACTACAGCTTTTGTTTGAAATATCAAACTCCACGTCGCTATGGGGACCCAATCCCAATGGTTGGCGTCTGCTTTTTAAAATATTTCTAAAGGATCCTCTCTTTGCAACCGAATTGCAACACAAACTGAACCAGAAAAACAATTCATTTTGAAAAAAAAAAAAAACAATTCTTCTCGAAGTGTTATGCCAATCTATCTCATCCACATGATATTGAGGCATAAACTACTAAAAGATGTCTTCTCAGCCAGATCATATTCTACCGTCAGCAATATTGCACTACTGAAAATCCGAAATATTGGAATCATTGCTCACATCGATGCCGGGAAAACTACCACCACCGAGCGCATGATTTATTATAGTGGGAAGAGTAGGAGAATAGGAAACGTTGATGAGGGCGATACCGTGACCGACTATCTTAGATCCGAAAGGGAACGTGGTATTACTATTCAACTGGCAGCCACGACGATACCGTGGAATGAACACAAGATTAATATTATTGATACACCTGGCCATGCTGATTTTACATTCGAGGTCGTTCGCTCATTGCGAGTGTTGGATGGAGCTGTCACTATTCTAGATGCAGTCGCTGGTGTTGAAGCACAAACGGAGAAAGTTTGGAAACAAGCTAGCGTATTGGGCTTACCGAGAATTGTCTATATAAACAAGATGGACCGTCCTGGTGCTGGATTTAGTAGAACCGTTAAAGAGATTATTCAAAAGCTAGAAACGAGGGTGGTTTTGTGCAATATTCCATACTTTGAAATTGCCGCTGATCAAGAATTCATCTTTAGAGGTGTTATTGACGTATTGCACGGTAAATTGTTGAAATGGAAAGAAGAAGACGAGTTTGGTAAAGAAATCGATGTTATTGACTTGGATGACTCGAACCCTGATCTTTTCCAAATGTATTGCAGTGCGAAGGAGTCCATGGTGGAAACCCTTGGCGAAGTAGACGAATCAGTCATTGATGCTTTTCTTGAAAATGATGAAGACTACCTAAAGATCTCCCCCGATTTGTTAGACAAGGCGATTCGAAAAGCCACAATTGCAAACTATCTATCTCCAGTATTTTGTGGGTCTTCATTTAGAAATATTGGAGTTCAGCCGTTGATGGATGGGATTGTAAAGTATTTGCCATCTCCCTTGCAAACAACATTGCCCGAGATCAAAAGCAAGAAAAAGGAAATTTCAAAGAAAATGGACGATGCAAGGGGATTGGTGTTTAACAATGACAAGAATTTGACGGTTGGTCTTGTCTTTAAAGTCATGACACACGCAACGAGAGGACCTATGACTTTCTTTAGGGTTTATAGTGGGAAGTTGAATGCTTCTACTAATTTGGTCAATACTCGGACGGGCAAAAAGCTTTTGGTGAGAAATCTTCTTGTGATGCATGGTGATACCCCAGAGGAAGTGAAAAGTATCAGCGCAGGTGATATTGGGGTGATTCCAGGTTATGAAACAGAGTTCAAGACAGGTGATACATTTGTCTGTAGCGCAGTGGGCAAGAAATCAATGGGACCGCTTGAATCAAGTTTGACATTGATGCCGATAGACATTCCGCCTCCTTTGTTCAACGCAAGTATAGAGCCACATACAGCTGGAGACGAGGCGTATATGAAAAAGTGTTTGGATATATTAGTCCGCGAAGACCCGTCATTAAAAGTTCATGTGGATGAAGAATTGGGTCAAACCGTACTTAGCGGCATGGGAGAATTACATTTGGACATTGTTCGTGAGAGATTGGTTAATGACATGAAGGCAAAGGCTAACTTACGAGATGTGGCGGTTTCTTTCAAGGAATCATTTGTGGGTAAAACAGAGACACAGGGAAGTTTTTGCGATGAAAATGTTCAAGTTAAACTAACTGTTGGTCATGTTGAGAATTGTGCTGATTTTGAGTCAGTACCAGGGGCACAGATTTTTGAAGATGAAAACAATGTCATCATCTTGCCCGATACTGCTGCCTTAGAACATGTTCGAACTGCATTAAGTGACAGAAGATGGAAATGTCCAAACTCATTGAATGACTTAAAAGAAGCTGTAACAAACGGTTGCTTAACAGCGTTACAAATGGGAGGTCCACAATTAGGTCTCTCATTGCACTCTACCTTGGTTACAGTCAATCACTGGGATGCCGCCATAGATAAAGGCGAAGAACAGATTTCTTCATTATTAAATGCAAGTAGACAGGCGATTCAATCAGTAAAAGAAACGGAATCCAACTTTGCCATATTAGAGCCGGTGATGATAACAAAGGTCTATGTCAATTCAAGCGACTTGGGTGAAGTGTCGCATGATTTAACTCAAAGGTGCCAAGCCGTTATTTTAGCTGTTGAAGACGAATCAATACAAGACGCCGAAATTGCTGATTGGACAGCACAAGTTTCCGAAAAGACGTATGTTCCACCTGACTATACGTTATCACAAACAAAGGGTAGAAGTGAGGACTTTGCTAATAAGAAGATTATTATAGCTGAAACACCATTGAAGGAAATGATTGGGTACTTGTCAAAATTGAGAGCTCTTACTCAGGGAAGAGCTACGTTTGACATGTCATTTATTGGAATGAGGCGTGTGACTGGATCAAGGGCTGATTCAATTGCTCGTGCATGAGTTGTATATAGTGTATCTCTACATAGCGGAGACATAGAAATGTAAAAAATATTAGCCACCACCATGCCTCACATGCGCAAATTGAAAGTGAATGAAAAAAAAGAAAAAAAAAAGAAAACCGAGCAAAAAAAAAGTAAAAAAAGTAAAACAAAATCTATACAAAGGGTAAACAAAGTGATAATTTTTGTCTTATTTCACGTATTCTGATCAACGATGGATTTCGTCGACAAAGCACCCTTGTCTCTAGATAGGGATAGAGTCACATGCTTGCTTTTGATTAATACTCATCTTATGAAAAAATGCAGTAACATGTATACCAATGTCATTTGTAACCAATCGTTAATGCAACAAATGTCAAATGAAAACCGAGCCAACATTACTCAGTCGTACGCTAACTACATCAAGAGACTACAGTGTAATCTAACGACCTTGAACTACATATACGAAAAATATCATGGTCTGCAACAGCAGCAGCAACAGGCCTCAAGATCTACATTTCCTGTGGTATTATCGGCACCTCCAGATATGCCTGAGTTGTTTCCTTTGTACGCAAAGTTACAAGAGTTGTATGCAGAAGCATTGCAGTACTTGAGAATGAAGATGGATGAGATGAGGAAACAACAGATGTTTCAACAACAAAAGCAGCAGCAAATGCAGCCACAGCAATCAGGTGGAGGGGGTATGAGCCAATTCCAACAACCACCATTACCATCCCAACAACAGCAGCAGCAGCAACAACAACAGCCCAATCTGATGCACCTACAACAGCAACAGGTTCCCACACAGCTGCAGTTGAATATGCAACAACAAAGTCAACCTATGCGACAACCACAGATGCAACCATATCAGCAGCAACAACAACAGCATGCACAACCACGTCTACATCCACAGATGCAACAGCAACAACAACCACCACAACCACCCACACAACAGCCCCAACAACAGCAACAACAACCCCCACTCTCGGCAACGAATTCTCAATTCCAACAGCCATTCGATGATATGTTACTCGCAGACACATTCACTAACCCCTCCTCACGCGCACCGCTGGGCATGAGCATGAATACAACTGGCGTGGGAGTCGATTTCACCAACCAGAATTTCAGCAATGGTGGAGTGATGATGGGCAATGGAATAAACAATAGTGCGCTAAACAGTGGATTAAATAGTGGCGGCAACAGTTTCCAAATGTCGACATTATCACCACAACAAATTTTGCAACAAGCTAATGAAGCTAAGAGTAATACTAGTGATAACAATAATGGTAACACTCCACATCTTGATCTGAATGAATTTGGAATATTTTGATGAAATAAGGAGTGTAATATGTGTGTGATTGTTTAAGAAGCGATTGTGTTTGGTGTGTGTGGTTCGAGAGTATTTGAGTTTAAAGTATATCAGTTACTTTATAGAGGATGTCAAATACTATTAACTTAGGAAGGGCGTGGAGTTAAGTAAAAAGGAGTAGAGCGACTAGAGTGATTAGAATGTGTAGAATTGTTCTTGAATGTATTAATAAGTACCTAAACATGTTTCTAGTGGATTCTCTTTGTCTCTCTTTTTTTTTTTTAAACAATTTATGCATATTTTCTGTATAGGAGATATATACAAGATGGAGGTTGGATAATTGTCTTCTTGCATCAACACCTTTAATTAGGCTTCATTGTTCCCTTTTTTGTAAAGTTCTTTTGTCGCTTGGTTTGAAGGTGAATGACGAAAGCACACGCCAAAATCTAGTCATTGAATCAACTAATTCCAATCCCCTTATTGTCATTTTCCATCTATTCCATTAATTTCTTTCTAAATGTTTTGCACGGACAAGTAACATGTACATCGAAGTTCCTCCAATAAATATCAAAAAGTAATTTACACCGGTATCAGCCAAAAAAAAAAAAATAAAGGCTTCAAAAGCGTTGCCGATAACGATAGTGAAAAGCTTTATAGCTGTTCATTTTTCTTCTTCATTGGTTTGTTACATAATAATGATTCCTGTTGTCCCCATTGAGAGTAGTTGTAGGTGGTGACGTTGATGACGAAGATTGAGTTTGTACCGGTGGTGATAATGGCGTTGGTTGCTTGATTTCGTTTCGTACTGGATATTGAGACATGATATATGATTGATGAGGCTTGAATTGGTAATTGTTTTGATTACTATAGGCTTCTGGGTTTTGGTATTGATGACTGTTGCTAATGCTGCTGTTGTTTTTATTTGACTTGTCATCTGTTTCTGGTTCACTTTGATTATCCGAATCTGAATGAATTGCAGTTCCTGACATCGATGCTATAGTTGCCAGCAGTTTATTGAAATCATCAACCTCACCTCCATTACTTGATTGAGTCAGTGCTACCCCATTATTATTGCCATGTTCACTTGTTGGTGAGAATGGCGAGGGCAAATTAGCCAATCGGTCAGATGCATCTCGTTTATGAAGATATTTCAACGATCCTGGTGGTCCTCCATGAATACTGGCTCCACCTATTCCATTATATCCTCGACCATTCCCATCCAAGTCATGATTCATCCCCAATAGGATACTGGCAGCTTCTAATAATTGTACTTGTTGATGTTTGGAAATCAATAATTTTTTAGTAACGTTCCATTCGGGTGTATGTTCCCACAAATGCTTAGCTAGTGAGGATATATGTTTATATCCTTTACCACAGGCTTCACATCTTAATTCTTCCTTGACGCGACCCGTCTCTCCTTCGCTGGTTCGACGTACAACAAACTCCCGAGATAGTTTTTGTTGTGCTTGTACATTTAGTGGAGGAGACGCTATAGCTGTCAGATCTTCTGGATATTGCTGTGGGTGTTGTTGTTGTTGTTGTTGTTGTTGTTGTTGTTGTTGTTGTTGTTGTTGTTGTTGTTGTTGTTGTTGTTGTTGTTNTGGGGTCCTTGTTGTGGCTCTTGTTGGGACTCTTGTTGTTGGATCTGTGGTGGAGAGAGTCGAGTTTGCTGTGAGTGTTGCTGCTGCTGCTCCTGATGGGGTGGTTGTTGTATTTGTTGAGATTCTACCTGCTGTTGTTGGGGGTGAAAATTATATGATTGTTGTTGTTGATGTTGATGTTGTTGTGTGTTTCCAGCATAGTTGTGTACAATTTGTACTGAAGGCTTATTATCGTGTTGATTCATTGAGGTCGTATATTGTTGAGGAGCATGCAAGGAAGGACCCAGCTGTGCAGTATGTAAAGTAGGGAATGAATGTGGGTGTTGGTTACTATAATGTTCTGGATAGGACTGCAGTTGCATTGTGGAAGCCTGTTTCGTCAGATGTTGAAGATATTGGTTATTATTGTTATAATGAGGATAATGTTGTTCCTGTTGTTGTTGATGCTGCTGCTGTTTTATGGGTATTGAATATGGAGCGGAATTAGAATTTCTTCGATTGTAATCAAATTGATGGGTACTTGTTGTCATTTGCACTTTCTTTGTCTCTCAGTCTCTTTCGGCGTAGCTCTATTCGGAAATTGTACCTGTATTACTTGACCAAGAAAGACAGTGCTATGTTATTGTAAAAAAAGTTGGTTTTGGGTTGAAAAGAATGAGCAAATGGAAGTTACCATTAACAAGGCGATATATATTTTGATGGTTTATGGAAATTTTTTTTTAAATTTTTTATTTTTTATTTTTTTTTTCTGAGCGATTTTTTATTTTTTATTTTTAATTTTTTATTTAAGTTTTATTTCAATTTATTTTTTTAATTTCTCTGTCTTTGCTAAATCTTCTGAGTTATTTAACTTGCAAGAAAAGACAAACCACTGAAGAAGAATAACTTTGTTGTTAGTATGTGCTCACAGTTGGCTATTTTAGACATATTGCTTAATGCACCTTCCCTCATAGCCAGCAAGGGGTTTTTGATTGAAAGGAGACCAATTTGTAATGCAAAATCATTTTAAGATGGCAGTTGCGCTACCTATCAGAGACAGATTATTGTGTCACCGTTGAAATTTTTAGCCTTTTTTTATTTTTTTATTTATTTATTTATTTATTTATTTATTTTTATTTTTTTTTTTTAATCCCACCAATAACTTGATCGTGGAATACAATATACCCCTCACACCCTTTCATGTCTTTTGTTTTATATATAACCAAAAAAAATGCGTCAACCACTGAACTACTCTATTTAGAGCTAGAGTTACAGTTACTCTATTGACTGATATTTGCTTGAATGTGAGGTGAATATTCGTCAAAACGAGGCTATACAACTATGGTGGCAAAAAAAAGAAAGAATCAAAAAAAGTAGATGGATAAGATCAGCTCATTTCAATTGGAGGCATTCAAAGTGTAGTTAGTCTTTGATAGCAATAGCTCTACAAGCATTGTAGATGTCTGTAAAGAAAGAGAATTGTTGTTTATTTGTTTGGTGTTTCATTTTGTTTATTGGGTTATAATGCGTGGATGTTCCTTTTAGTGTCTGTCTGAGACATATACAAACTGACAAGACAAAAAATAAAAATAAAAATAAAAAAAACAAAATTAACCGCACGCATATTTCCCTTTCCTTTTTTTTTTTTTTTTTTTTTTTTTTTGTTTCTTTTGTCTTTTACGATGATTAACTGAAAGAAAAAAAAAATAAAAAAAAAACATTTTAAAAATAGAAGAAGAATAAGAAGAATAAGAAGAATAAGAAAAAAAAACATATATTTAATTTTTAATTTTGTACTACGGAATTTATAATTAACTCAAGCTACTTTTTAGAACCCCATACACAGGGAAATGTTTCAACAGATAAATTAAACCTACATTTGAGGTTTACTAACAACTTTTATAATATATATATATACGATTAATCCTAATCACCACCTCCTCACCCCTCCTCCCCTGCACAATGGCCCAGGACACTACTAGCCATCTCCTTCACCAATCCCTCCATCCAATTCTGTTCAAAACTCACTATCTAGCATATGAGCCTCTGAGCTAAACCCCTCTTGAGTAGCATACAAGGTATCTTCAATTTTCCTTAACAAGGTCAATACATCCAATTCTGGTATTAAACTTTCATTACTTTGAATATTTTGAATCAATATCTCAATATCGCGACATTTATTGAAATAAAAGTTTCTTTCCACTTGTAAAGTATCACAATTAAGTTTAGACTCATTAACTTGTATTTCTAGTTCACTATTCTTCTGGAGTATTGCTTCAACTTCTTCATTTGAAATGTGGTAGCCATTATCACCACTTGTGTTATTAGCTAGAGCATGATGATGCTCATCTGACGTATATGCTAATACTTCCCCTCCTCCTGCTGGTACTGCTGCTGAGGTCAATGTTTGAAACGAGGAGGAGGTGTTTCCACTCATACTCGAATTAAACCCCATTGCCGGCGGTTGTCCTGCTCCTGATTGCCTCAATTTACCATTGGTCAAAGTATCACCATTACTGCCAGTAGCAACAGTCCCTCCTACAGTGTTATGCCTGGATGGCATTCTTCTAACCAGTCTATCTGAAGTTTTTCTTATTTGCTGTTGAATAGGGGTGGAAATTCTTGATGTGGTTGGCGTGAGCGATTTTCTTGGCCTCACTCTAGTTGACATATTACTACTGGTGTAATTTGAAGATAAAACATCATGAGGAGAATGGCCCTGCATATTTGTATCCAAAGCAATTTGGTCACTAGATTGCATGTCGTTATCACCACTATACCCACCATTGTGATTTTGGTTTATCTGCGGACTTTGACTAATTTGGCGTTTGGTTCTAATTGTGGCATTGTTTGATCCTGGTAGACCTGAATTCAGTTGCAGCCTCCTTAAAGATGGACTGCTATTAGTGGGGATCAGATTCAATGTATGGTAGGGACTAGGATTGGCTTTCCTTTTGCTCAATGCATCGTAGTTGTTGCTTACATCGGCATTTTCATTCCAATATCGTTTAAACCATTGTAATAATTCCAAATTATCTTGTAAACGACACTTTATTAATCGTTCAACATCAATATTCTTGGTAATCCGGTGTTTATTAAATTCCAGTTGTAATATCTTCCAATTATGACGATAATCGTATTCAGTTTTGGCACTAAATTTTACTTTATTTAAAGCAACACCACCAACTATTGAATCCATCAATTGACAAAATGCGGCTCCTGTACCGCATTGTTCTATTTTGGTGTAGTTTAAATCAAGCATGCTGTTAATCCACTGCAATAGCTCTGTACGCGATTCACCCACCACCATTGTTGTTACAACATATATATATACCGTGAATGTGTTTAAATGGGATAGTGTATGGACAGTGTATGGGCAGTGGTAATAATCTGCTTATTCTCTACTGAGTATAGTCTTCGGAGATGTGATGGATTATGTTGAATGGAGATAGTATTTCCACCTATACTTGAGTTTTGAATGTGGTGCAAGCTGGGTTGCTGAATTTATGCAATTAATATGGTATGTTGTGTTGTGTGTTGTAAATCAAAACACGCATCAAAAAATTTCAAAACAAAATAAAAACAAAAACTCCGCGTTTTAATAGAGAGGAAGTGCGAGGTGTAGATATTTCATGGAGAAGAGTTTCCAAACTCAACGCAAAGTTATAGCGACAACTATGGCCATAGACATACTTCTGGTATTGTAAATAAAGAGAGGTAGCAAATCACTTGTGAAGTCTGTAACTTAATTGTATGGCTTTAATGGTTAAACCAAAAAAAGAAGGACAAGTCACGTGTATTATTACAACCCCAAGACACAAAAAAACAGCAAAGGAAACACTTCGTCATTAGCAATCAACGAAAAGCATATCATCTATTGAACATTTGGTGTTGCTGTAATAACAAAGAAGTCATCTGTAGAACAAAGAATAAGAAGAAGGGGTGTGTGGTAAATTAAAATGAAATTGAGTATGACTGCATGTGATAAATTACCGACATTACATTTATATATATGTGCATGGATGTAAAAGAATTTACGACACACACAGCCTTATGTTAAATCAATGACGTAAAAGGTAAGTAGAAATAAATGACATAAATCAAAGGATTTCACAAAAATTATAAAATTTACCAGTCATCAATTCAAACAACAAAAAAAACTTCAAAAAGCCAAAACAACCAGTAGCAACTTTAGTATTCTAACTACATTTACACATCTTTCAACAATTTATCTCATCAATTGAACACATACTTGATCTAATACCACTACACCTCAATTGATTGAAGAGAAAGCTCAGTATACCTCAATTTAACTAGGAGATAATAATATATTGCATCGAGTTGAAAATAAAAAAAAAAATGTCATCATCTACAGGATATCAACAACATCACAACATTGATTCCTCGTCATCTGCAGTTTCCGATTCAGACTACGATGCCAATGACGCATCCTCATCATCAACACCACCAAACCCACCATTGAGAAGATCGTCATCACTATTTTCCCTTTCTTCAAAAGAAGATATTCCTAAACCAGAACAAACTGAATACTTGAAGTTTATTAATGACAATAGACATTTCAGTTTATTAAGAAACTTACATATGGCTGATTTTATCACTTTATTAAATGGTTTCAGTGGGTTTTACGCTATAATATCTTGTTTAAGATATTCATTGACTGGCAATTCCACTTATGTCCAAAGAGCTCATTTCTTTATTGTCTTGGGGTTATTTTTCGATTTTTTCGATGGAAGGGTTGCTAGATTGAGAAACAAATCGTCTTTAATGGGACAAGAATTGGATTCATTGGCCGATTTAGTCAGTTTTGGAGTTTCACCAGCAACAATTGCCTTTGCTATTGGGTTCCAGTCAACTATCGATGTGTTGTTGTTGACCTTTTGGGTCTTGTGTGGATTAACTAGATTAGCCAGATTTAATATCTCGGTCAACAATATCCCCAAGGACAAGACTGGGAAATCACAATATTTTGAAGGGTTGCCAATACCTAGTAACTTAATTTGGGTTGGATTAATGGCATTTTTGGTTTATAAAGATTGGATCCATAAGAATTTGCCTTTAGGCGTAGTATTTGCCAATACTCCTTATGAATTTCATTTATTAGCTTTTGGGTTTGTATTACAAGGATGTGCCAATATTTCAAAATCATTGAAAATCCCAAAGCCGTAAAGCACAAACTGGGATGATTTAGCAAATGAAGATGCTGGATTTAGGCTTATAAAAAAGAAAAAGAAAAGAACAGCGGGTGTTTCTTTTTACACTAGAGGAATTTATAGGTAAAGAGATGATACAGATTCATTCTTTAGGGTACAGAACCATGTATGTTATCCAAAGGTTGTGGAGAAATTTGTGCTTTTATTTAGTTAGACCGTGGTTTATGATTATTTGTCGTAGCATCGGTAGTGGTGGTATTTGTAAATTTAGGTCTTGAAAATGCAAAAATGATTACATTTCTAAAATCAATTCCATTGTATTTACCAGTAGCCAACTGCTGAATAAAATCAGGGGGGAAATTCTTGGGATCTAATAATCCAATATCATTAATTTTAAAGGGAGTCAATCTATGTTGATGTTGTGCTTTATCCAACAGATAACAGGTATCCCATAATGCTGAATTCAACGGAATCAATTTCAAAATCATCAGGGGCCAGTATTTCCAATGACGTTTACGTTGACCAACATTATCATGCGTTATGCCCAATTTTTTACATTCGTAAAAGAAAAAATTCAATTGGAATAGTAGTTCGGGTGTATCTTTAACTGCATCAATTACTTGTTGGACTTTATTTTCAGTGGGTGATTTGCCTAATTCGTCGAATCTTTCGTCGATTTTATTGGCTTGTTGAACTGCCTTGAATACATTGGGGATTTTAAACGACAAGTTGCGGGCGGTAGTGTAGGCTAATGTGGATGTCAAATTGGTGTTGGTGTTGGTGCGGTGTAGGAGACGCGTTACTACTGGGTTGCGTATTACCGTGAACTGCCTCTTGATGGTATGAAACATTGTTTGTAGTAGAGTCCGCTCAGTCTAACTGTATATATCTTGCTCATCTACAGCCTAATCCTAAATAAAAAAAAATAACTCAATCATTGATCCACGATTTCAGGTAGCGCATACCTATAGAAATCAAATAAAGTGGAAAACAACAAAAAAAAATCTTCGATGTGAAATATTTTTTCAGAAAGGGTCACTTTCAGTTGCAATAGCATTTTCAATTTTTTTTTTTTCATTTCTACTCTATTCTTTTTTGGTTATTAAGACCATACTATACAACCAAGTAGCAACATTATGCTCAGGACATCCGCTAGGCTGTTGATAAACTCAACAATGAGGTCGACTAGACCATCATTAGTCTCATCCCCACAAGGAGCAGCACTTCTACCAAGATTACATCATCATCCATCTTATTTCCAATCAATAAAGTTTTATTCAACTAAAGATGATAAATCAGCCACCGACAAGAAAAAGAAGGATGAGCCACAATCAATTTTAAATGACGATATGCTAGCTAGAGCTGGGTTCGAGGATCTTGAATCTAAAAAGGAAACCGAAGGTAAACCACAAAGCAAGAGTACTAGTAGTAGTAATAAAGTCACTGAAGAACAAGAACAAGAATTTGAAGACGAAGAAGGAGCTAGTGACGATTCCAAGAAATCATCATCGAGACGTAAAAGAAGAAGAGCACAAACTTCGAAAGATTTGAAACGTGAGAGATATGCCAATATGTTTTACTTGTCTACCTTGGTTGGAGGTGTCCTTGGATTAGGATACATGAGTAGAGACTGGGATTCGGAAAAGGAACAAGAAGAAATGGATGGTAAAGGAATTGACAATGGATACACTCCAAGCTTGATGTACGAAAGAATGAGTAAAAGATTGGCATCGTTATTTACGTTTTTTTCAGAACCAGCATTTGAAAACTTGTTGCCACCACCAGCTCCAGAACAATATCGTCGTCCATTGACCTTGGTGTTAACCTTGGATGATTTGTTAATCCATTCTGACTGGGATACTAAGCATGGATGGAGAACTGCCAAAAGACCAGGACTTGATTACTTTTTAGGTTATTTGTCCCAGTATTATGAAATTGTCTTGTTTTGCACCAATTCGCAAATGTTTTCCGAAAAGGCAGTGGGTAAATTAGACCCTTACCATGCTTATATCTCATATGCATTATTTAGAGAAGGATGTCGTTACAAGGATGGAAAATTAATCAAGGATCTTTCATTATTGAATAGAGATTTGGGCAAAACAGTCATGGTTGAAGTTGACCCTGATTGTGCTTCTTTGCAACCAGAAAATGCTATAGTTGTCAATAAATGGAATGGTAAGCCTGATGATTATTTGATTCGATTAATTCCATTTTTAGAATATTTGGCTACGCAACCAGTTAAAGACGTGCGTCCAATTCTTAATTCTTTCAATGATAAGAAAAATATAGTTGATGAGTTTACTCAACGTGAAGCCAAATTAAGACAACAATGGAGTAAGGATCACCCAACGGATAAGCCAAATGCCGCCAACTTCTTGGCCAAGATGTTGGGAATGCCAGTTCAAGAACCCAAGATGCCATTGGATATAATTAGAGAACATGGTCAATTACAATATCAACATTTCCAAAAGTATTTACAAGAAAATGCTGCCAAGTTTTTAGAAGAAGAGCAGAAATTGAAGGATGAATTTGGTAAAATGACATTGAACAAGTTGATTACTGAAGGTGGACCAAATCCTGAAGAAATTGCCAAAGTACAACAGCAAAGAGCAGCTGAAGAAGCTGAGAAACAAAAGCAAGCAGCAGCAACAGCTGCTGCAAATGCCGCTGGTGGAAAGTAAAAAGAGAAAATTCCTGTAACTCTAAATATATATGTATATAAACGGTGAAATGATAATAATAATAAGTAGTAGTAGTAGTAGTAGTTGATATATCAATGAAGTAAATTGCGCTTTACAGGAAAAACGTAGACATATACATGTATCTTTAATAATAATAATAATAATAATAATAAAGGACGTGTTTTCTCCTTAAGATTACGAAAGCTGCCAAAATTAGATCCAATTAGATGCCGTTTCTCCCTCTCTTTTTCTTTTGTGAAATTTGGTTAATTGATTGATTGAGTGATATCAAAATTTACCGCTTTTGATAAAAGAAAATAAGCGTAAGATGTTTTCATTTCTTACTTTTTCTTCTCTCTGCTTGATTTTGTGTCTTGAGAAAAAAACAGAGGCCGGACTCGGATTTTGCAAAAGAAAAACTTTACACACACACACACACATATAATATACTCTCCCACCTCCCTGGTTTAGATGGAAACTATAGAGACTAACAATGTATGAAGAGCCTCAATCTCAATCTCAATCTTATGACTTGGTTCGTAAAATTTGTTGAAAAGAGATGAAGAATTGATGTTTTTGCTGTTGCTGTAACTTTAACATCAAAAAGATAGACCTATTAGACCTACAGTAATTAGGTAGAGATATATCATGATCCCAGGTGTCAAATTTGTTTCTTCATTGTTATCATAGTTTTAGAAAAAGGTGACGAAGGAAAAAAGGGGAAAGAGGAGAGGTTATAAAGTTACTGATTAACCAATCATTTCAACAAACAAAGACTAAAAAGACAATGAGGATATACAAATACATATATATATATAGATATAGTAATGGTTAGAAAGGTAAAAGAAAGAGAGAGGGGTTACTCTTTTCTTCTTCTCCTTGTTTGTTTGTTTCAGTCTAATAACAATAGAATTGGGCATATATAACTGTTGTCTGTTAAAAAAAAATCTAAGCTATATATATATATATCTATATATATCACTTTATATAAGAGTGTGTGGGTTTAAATTTCAGCCAATCATAGTAATGTTGTTAAAATATAATATAATATATTCTATTACTATATTTCTTTAATATTATGTTTTGTGTGTGTTATTTCTTATTTTTAATACTAATTCTATTGTCTATTGTCTATTGCTGTCTGCTTAGTTTTCCAGTTTTTTATCTTTTCCATCAATTGAAATTAATTACATAATATATTACGTAATTAGTTTCTTTTTCTTCTTTTTCCACCCTCAAATTTAATTTTTAATTTTTTTTTTTTACTTTTCACAGTACCCATTCTTCTTCCTTTTTTTCAAATTTTTTTATATAATCAAACATATTTTCACTCTCTTTCTTGCTTTAATTTGCTGAACCCTGAAAAGCAAAAGATAGCACTATCATTGGAGAGAGTAACATACAAACAACCACCCGTTCAAGTTCAGACACTCGTCTTTTTTCCACCACAAAAGCTAAAACGAACGACATACAAACTTCCAAAACGCTGGGGGAAAAATATATATATATATATATATATATATAAAGGTCTCCAAATCAGAGAGAACCAACAACGATATAGATACACCAACATACTGGTTTACCCATGACTGCAAAGGGTCCCAGTATTGCACCTCGCCAACTGTCGGTAGCTCAGTCGCCGATTGCTATTGCTGGCTCTCCTCCATCTTCAGCTTCAGCAGGCTCAACACCTAGAAGTGTTGCCAGTCCCGATACCCTCCACAACAACAACAACAATACAGCAGCATCACCGCCTAATAACACAGCCAATAGAACTTTAACCACCAAGAATGTTACACTGATTATGACATCTAAAGAATGGGTTCTTCCACCAAGACCTAAACCAGGTAGAAAACCTAGTGTTGATACCCCAGCATCTAAACGCAAGGCACAAAACAGAGCAGCACAAAGGGCATTTAGAGAAAGAAGGGCTACTCGAGTTCAAGAGTTGGAAGAGAAACTAATGGAGGTTGAAAAGGAAAAAGATATAAAGGAAATGGCGTTGATTAACACGATAAATAAGTTGAAGGCAGAAAACAACTTCTTAAGCAAGAGTATGGACCAAATACGACAAGAAATGGCCATGTTTAGAGCTTCACAAGAAGAAATGAGACTGCAGTTACCACCAAATCAAATACAACAACAACAACAACAACAGCAAAACACTGCTCCTCTTCCTCAACAACAACCACAGCAACAGCTACCTTCTAAACGTCATTCAAGTAATACATCATCATCGTCATATTCACAGCTTTCACTTCAACCTGCACAACCACAGCAACAACTACAGGCACAGGCCCAATATTATACTGGTTTAAACAATGGTCAACATATATCGCCACTGAATAACGTTTCACCAACTGGCTCGTCGTACTCATTACAACAAATTTCACCCGCACCTTCCGCTGATCTGCCTCCTAATAATACTTTAAGAAACAACTACCACTCCCACGGTTTAATCAGTCGCAACAACAGTAGTAATAGCAACAGCACTCAACATACATTAACACCCGTGTCCCATAACAATACCCCTGACAAACTCTTTCCAACATTGTCAAATTCTAAGGGTCACAGTCACAGCAATAATGGTGTAGTTGATTCATCCGAATTTGATTGTGGTGTCTGTATAAAAGATGAATGTCTTTGTGAATCCGTTGGATTGAAAGAGCCTCGCAAGACTGAAGCTGACCGCGAATTGGAGAACCAGTTGAATTCAATCAAACCTCAACCAGCAGTATCACTTCGTCGGAAAAGAAAAACTCAAAGTATAGATGATGTTGAAGAAATTGATTTTACAAGACAATTTGCTACAAAGGCTAAACCAATGCCAAATTTGAACAAATTACGTAAACAAGAACAACAGGCTACAAATACAACTGTTGTATCGGTAACTAAACACAACCACACTCAGCATCAACAACGGTCGAAATCAGCTGACAAGATTGACACGTCTGATTTCAACGAAGATCTGCCAATGGAGAATTGTGGATTTTGTTCAGACGATACACCATGTGTTTGTCGCGAAGCTGCTAAAGAAGCAGCCAGGCTTAATGCATCATTGAATGGGCCCGATAATATTATTCTTGAAGAGGAAGAAGAAGAAGAAGACCAGCAGCAAACCCATGCTGCTGGTGAACAAAACGCCGATCATAATACTCTACCACCATTGAAATTCAATTTGACTAGTAATAACAGCAATACCAAGATGGCTCTTCCGGTAATGCACCCAGGTCCATCAGTTGAGATTCGCGATATAACTAATTTAACACCAGGTGCAGTGCCAACAGTAATAACACGAGCAAATCAAGCTTCTTCTTCACTGGAATCGTCACAAGGAAAGCAACAGCAACAACAACAGATAGCAGAAGAAGTTGTCAACTCAAATGAAGATGGTGGTGCTGCTGGTGGCGGATGCACAGGAAACCCCGGTACTTGTCAACAATGCCAAATGGATCCCTTGTCGACGCTTTTCTGCACCACTGTTGCTTCCAAAAACAATGATTCTTCAATACGACCCAATTTATCAAGATCCAACTCCAAATCTACCCTACTGTTGAATTTCGGACCCAATACTCCTGGCGCAAGTGGTGCCAACAACAGCAACAGCAGAAGCAACGGCACCAGCAACAACAATCACAACAATGCACCAAGCCCTATTCCTCCTCCATTAATCGCTTCCAATAGCTCAAACAATGTTGTTGCAAGTCCTGGAGGTGGCTTAAATGGATTTCCGGCACTTTTGCCAACAACTCCCGGAAGTAGTGCATCCAACAATGACACCAACAACGATGCTACTAACGCCTCCACTGGTGGTGGTATGTTTATTCCTTGTGCTGATGCATACAAGACCTTGTCGCGTCACAAGAAATTCAATAGTGTTGATTTCAGTACCTTGGTTGGTAAATTGACTACAAGAGGGATGCAAGTTGAAGTTCAATCGGTTGCTAATGTTTTGCGAGAATTAGATCGAAGATTATACAATTGAGAGGAGGAGAAAGTTGAATAGATAGTTTGATACTGTTTAATGGTAATATTTGATATCTTTTTTATTTCAAGACAAATCAGATATAGACGTAGCGTTTAACAAATAACAATATTTCTTTCAATTAAAAGACAATACAATAGAAACTCAAACTGATAATAATAATAATAATAGAAAAAAGATTAACCTGCAGTTAAGCTCTCACCTCAATTCCATCCACCTGGCATACTAAATGACGTATTTGCATTAGTCACTTCAGAATCAACTTCCGCAGCATTTGAAGTCAATCCATGTGACGATGATCCGACATCTGATTCAGTTGTAGTTCCAGCATCTTCATGCAAACCTCTTGGCACCTTGTTATATTCACCATAACCAGCAGCAGCAGCAGAAGAAGAAGAATCCCCACCAGTGGTTGATCTACCAACACCTGTTTCGCCCGCAGATGTGGTATTAATACCAGATGTAGATTTCGTATCTAAACCTGATTCATGAATATAATTTGACGTTGGTTTTGAAATGGAAGAAGAAGTGGTTGCTAATGGAGCTGATGATGTTTGGTGATCAGCATATCTCGAAGATTGTCCGCCACTAGCATACAGAGCATCATTAACATTTTTATCAAAACTGGTATTCTCAGAAGATGATGAGTACGCATTAACAGCTGACTTTGGGTACGCATTGGACCCCAGTAAATGTGTTGATGATGGGTTGGAGTCAGAATGAGACTTGTCAGTGTAGTTGTCTTCTCCGTAGCTTGTGTTAACATCACCACGACCACTTTGATTTGCAACACCTAATGATTCTAAAGCACCAGCAGCACCAGAAGCACCAATAATGCTTGATGATAAACCGGATAATCCTCCTTGTGATTCAATGGATTGTTTCTTATTACCATGTTGGTAGTTTCCAGCTGATGCAGAATTTCCAGAACCGATTCCACCACGATCATCATAATTTGAGTAACTTGGCAAACCACTTGATTCAGCTCCAGAGGATGACTTGGCGTTACGTTCATCCGATCTAGTTCTGTCATAACCAGAACTTGAATATTGAGATGCAGTGTTTGCTTCCTTTGTAGCTGGTACTCCTTGAGGATATGGTGGTTCAGGCTTAGATGAAGAGCCAGAACCAAACTGTTGTCCTGCATTGGCGCTTGTATGATGAGTTGGCTCAGTCAAGTGAGGATGCTTTGAAGAAGCAGTATTAGCTGCAGCTGCAGCTATTCCACCAGTACCAACAGCATCAGTTGTATTCTTCGATGCACCTCCATGATGATCCGAACTTCCAGGATGTTTAGCATCAACAGCCAAATCTGCAAAATGGGCAATTTCATCGCCATTTTCATCTCTAACGATACCAGAGTGAGCATCAACTTGCAATTCTTTAACTTTTGAAATGACAGACGCATGTGTCTTTTGTAATCTTGCAACAGCAGTTCTGGCAATCTTAGTGGCAATTGTGTTGTCCTTGGTACCCTTGACATTAACAAATATTTCATCATCATCAGTAGCAGTGTTTGATGTTGACTTATCCTGAGTGTGATGTCCTCTACCTGCGGCAGAGCCAGCGGCAGCACCTGCACCTGCAGTAGTAGCTGTCAATCCAGCATTTTGTCTTGCGGCTTCATGTAACCTCTGTTTTGCTAACTCAGATTGATCGGATTGTTGGCCCTGAGATGGGGCTCCCTGGTATGGACAAGTCTTGGCACCTGCACCAGCGCCTTCGTAAGACGTGTCAAGTCCACGTGTGGCAGATGCTCCATGACTGTCTTGATAGTAGCCTGAAGCGCCTGTTGCACCTTGATCCTTAGCACCAGCAAAAGGGCAAGTCTTGGCACCAACACCTTCACCTTCGTAAGACGTGTCAAGTCCACGTGTGGCAGATGCTCCATGACTGTCTTGATAGTAGCCTGAAGCGCCTGTTGCACCTTGATCCTTAGCACCAGCAAAAGGGCAAGTCTTGGCACCAACACCTTCACCTTCATACGAAGTATCAACTGCATGTGGTCCACGAGAACTCTGACTATATGAGCTACTTGCTTGTTGACCGTATTGATGACCTGCAGCATAAGCTTCACGAATGACGTCTGCGTGAGCACCGTGATCTGGAACTCCTTGTTTGTGGTATTCATCAGCTGCACCAGGTGTAGGTTGACCTATGGAACTAAAGAAAGGACATTCTCCTTGTTTGAGTTCCGGTGGTGCGCTTCCATCACCATATGTCACACCAGGAGCTGCTTCTCTGTCAAGTGCTAAAATTGATGCAATTGCATCATTTCTATCGCCTTCCGGAACAACATCAGTTCTCTTGCCAGCACCATCTCCTCTGTAAGAAGTATCAACATCGCGAGTACCTTGAGTATATCCTTCAGCTCTGGATTGTCCCACAACTTGAGGAGCAGCAGCTCTAGTATCTTGACCGGCATAAATATTGGTTTGCTGACCTGCGCCATCACCTTCATAAGAAGTATCCAATCCACGACTGCCCAGAGCGCCCAGAGCACCCAGAGCACCCAGAGCGCCTTGCGTATAGCCCTCGGCTCTAGATTGTCCAACAACGTTTGGCACAGAACTTCCAGCAGGTGCTTCCTTCTCAGTAACATAATCCTCCTTATAAATCTCCTTGTTGTTTGCGTCAATAACTAATTTGCCTGAGGTCAAGTCAACACCTTTTTGATCTAATTTCTTTGACGCATTTCTCGCAGTTTTCAAAGCCTCCTCCTTATCCTCAATTCCAACAACTTCAACAACTAAATTGTTCGCATTGTCTTGTCTTTCCTTGTGTGCTGTATTTTCATCCACCAATTCGGATTTATTGTCAAGTGGCGTATGTAAATACTTTTCATGTGATGATCCCAAAGCTGCGCCTCCCAAAGCTCCAGCTCCAGCACCACCAACAATGGCAGCCTCTCTGTTTGATGTACCATATGATCGGTTATGGATGTTATTGTCCTTCTCAGCTTTCTTTTCAGTGCTGCCTCTGGCATATCCATGCTCATACAAATCTTGCTTGAGCCTAGAGTCCAATTTGGAGTCGGTATCTTTTACACCACTAGTAGGGGCTCCATAGGCTGCAGAAGATGGTTGATGCTCATTTTGGCCAGCTGAATATCCATGTTGGTACAACTCTTTCTTCAAAGCGGGGTCAATCACTTGAGATTGAGTAGCACCTGATTTATAGCCATGTGCGTACAATTGCTTTCTCAAGCTATCGTCCAACAGCTGGTTTGCGTCATACACAGCAGCACCAGCAGCACTACCAACTGGTGGTGTAGCTGCATTTGTCTTGGAGTTTGAACCGTCAACTGAGTGATCGAGCGGTTGAGTGGTATTGTAGGAAGCACCCGAGATATTTCTTTTGTGAGATGGTGGGTCAGTAGTATTAGACTTTCCTCTTCTGTACCCTTCGTCGTAAAGAGCCTTCTTCAAGGAATCATCCAACTTGTTTGTGTTTGATGAGCCAGTAGATTGTCCAGAAGTGGCACCTAAGACACCCCCCTTGTTAGAAGACCGTCCGACATCAGATTTTCCCTTCGAATACCCTTCATCATAAAGGGACTTTTTCAAAGCTTCATCCAACTTTTGCGTTTTTGAGGTGTCAGCTGATTTATTTGAGGTGGATTTAGAGGCAGCAGCTTCGGCAGCAGCGCCAGCAGCGCCAGCAGCACCAGCACCAGCTACAGCGCTTTTGCTATGGTCACTATCTTTTGCAGTGGTATCACGGCTCTTACTGTCGTCATCCTTCTTGCTGCTCTTACTTGTGTCGAGAGACTTTTTACTTGCAGAGTCACTGGTTTTGATACCTCCAGCACCAGCAGAATTCTTGATCTCATCGGTCGTCACAGCAGGATAATTGCTTGGCAAGTTTTGTACATCATTTCCCGAGGATTCGTTTGCATTGCCTGCTAATTCTTTGTCGACTGATTGACCTTTGTGAGCTGGCATTTTCTCAATAGTTGGATCTGAATTTTCTGCAACTTCAATCAAAGAAGATTTGGCATTGGTGAATCCATGCTTTTTGTTGTAAGTGGCAACATCTTCCTCAATTTCCTTGAACTGGTTATCTTCAACAATTTCTTTTTCCACGGGGTCTGCATCAGCGGAGAGTGTCTTTTCTTCCTTAAGTTTTTCCTTGTCAAGCTTATGAGCTGGCAACCTCTCTATTGATGGATCAGCTTCTTCGGCCTCTTTTATCAAAGAGTCTTTTGGATCCTTAAATCCATGTTGCTTATTCCACTGGCTGACGTCATTTTCAGCAGCCTTGAGTTGCTTATCCTCAACGGATTCTTTATTCAGACCTACAACCTCCTTCTCATAGTTGTCAGCATCAGGTGAAAGTGTTTCTTCCCTTTCAAGCTCTTTCTTATTTACCTTATGGGGTGGCAATTTTTCAATGGAGGGGTCTGCTTTCTCTGCATCTTGAATCAATGAGTCATCGACATCCGCGCGCTTGTTGCCATTGTTACCTAAGCCGAGTGCTCCGGTAACAGCAGCACCAGCACCGGCTACAGCAGCTCCTGCAGATCCTAAATATCCTTGATTTGAGGATTGAGAAGTGCTTGTAGAACCCTTGTCTTTTCTGTCTACTTTGTTGTCACCAGGGATAGCACTTGTACTTCTGTGCTCTTCGTCTCTAGCCACGTCCTTGTTTTTGCCAGTTTGCTCGGTTGTTGACTCTCCAGGTTGTTGTGAATCGCCCAAGCCAAGGGCACCAGCAGTGACAGCGGTAACCTCACCAATACGCTTTTTGGTATCTTCCAAGAGCTGACCTGATGTAGGCGTATTTGCATAATAGACCTCTTGATCACCTTTCTTTTTTCCAGCATCATAAGCCTCTTTGAGGATTTGTTGACGTTCTTGTTCAGGATCACGAGGGCCAAATCCCAAATAACCAGCAGCAGCAGCGGCAGCTCCACCAATCGCGCCTTCTGCTCTTTCGACGAACCCCTCTTGGTTTTGGCCAGTTGCCCCTCTAGAGGGTGAAGTTCCGGCAAGTTCGTTCTCTCCCTTCCTCTTTCCAGCATCGTAAGCTTCTCTGAGTAGTTGTTGGTGACCTTCCCTGGCATTATGACCGCCAAAGCCCAAGTAACCAGCAGCGGCGGCAGCGGCTCCTCCAATGGCCTCTTCTGCTCTTTCAACAAAACCCTCCTGGTTCTCGTGAGTAGCTCCTCTAGTGGTGGCTCCTGCTCTGTCATCCTCAAACTTTTGTTGCCCAGCAGCATAGGTGGCGTCGAGAGTTTCTTGTTTCTGACTAGGAGAGACGTCTGAAGTCGACTTCTCTTGATCTTTGCTAGAGCCAAAACCCAAGAATCCCGCAGCTCTTCCAACAAGACCTTCTTGGCCATCACCAGTGGAATCCTTAGCAACTCCGCCTGCTTTCTCGTTTTCAAATTGTTGTTGGCCAGCAGCATAGGAAGCGTCCAAGGTTTCTTGCTTTTCTTTCGGTGGTACTTCTTGGTTTAATTTATCTTGATCCTTGTTAGCACCGTAACCCAAATAGCCAGCAGCTGCAGCCAAAGCTCCACCCGCACCAGCAAGCACGCCGGGGCCAGGTTTTGCATTGTCATTGGCATTGGGGTCGGTCTGTGCATCTGCAAATTCATCATGACCATCGGAATGGTCATATTCATCGTGAACGTCGGCCAACCTAGGTGTCTTTATTGGCTCATCACGAACAGCAAAGGTAGATGCATTGCTAGGATCATTCTTCAAGCGCTCGATTTTGCTATCAGTTTGATTGATTTGTTTATCGAGATCAGAAATTCTTCTTTCGGTGTCGACTGGGTCGTAGTTGTCTTGTTTTGCTGTAGCAACACCTGCACCACCGAGAATGACATCACCATCTTGAACAGTGCCCGGGTGAGACTCTTGCTGCTTGTTTGATTTGGATGGCAATCCACCCTCCTCCTTCCCTAAGATGCCTGCAACACCATCCTTATTGTAAGCAGATTTATTCTCCTCATGGATTGCTTCTTTGTCAGGGTTTTGCTCATCGGTTGTAGTTCCACTTCCTCCAACTTGTCTGGAACCCAAGATTGAAGGATCCTCTTGTGTATCTTTTCTTCCTTGTAGATTGCCCTCACGGTAGGCATTCTGTTTGATCTCCTCCAAGGCTTCATTTGCTTTGTCCTCTTGTTCATAGACAGAGGGCTTGGTTTTCAAATTGTCAGTATCAACATAATTAGCTTTTGTGGCCTCTTGGTGCGATTGTTTGAAGTCGCCCTTGTTATAAGCATGAGCAGAATCTTCCGACGCGGTAGCAGCACCAAGAACTCCACCTTGAGTATCTTTTGGATCAAAGAATTTTCCGTGTCCTTTTGCTGGCTTAGCGTCGTCGCTATAATTTGGATCCGAATTAGTGACAACGGCAGGGTTTGATTCACTGGCTGAACCTTCACCTCCAACCACGGTTGGATCAGTAGGATTCTTTTGGTTACTGAAGTCTCCAGGAACTTCATACTTAATTGGCTCTCTCGAACGCCTTGGTGGTGACGAAACTAAGCGACCCTTTGATGAGCTGGTAACAACATCACTGGCATCTGTACTATATTCATAACCAGAACTAGGAGCTCTGTTATGACCGGATGCACCGTAGCCACCAACTCCTTCGGCAGCTGCAGCCGCAGGAGCAGTACCACCGGCATAGACACCAGTATTACCTTCTTTAGTGTGGTGATGAAATAACTTTTCTCCAGCTTCCCTGGCTTCTTTGAGGATGTTATCATGCTCTTTGTGTCCAGCCTTTGTTACATTGGCACTGGTACTAGCACCAGTACCAGCACCAGTACCAGCACCGGTTGCTGCAACTCCACTGCCTGCTGCAGCAGTAGAGCCCCCGTGCTTATGATGAAATACCTTTTCTCCTTCTTTACGTGCTTCTTGAAGTAATTTTTCCTTCTTTGGATTAGTTTCTTTTTTCGATGACGACTTGGAGGCCTTTGGTGACGAATTGGGCGAAGATTCGTTACTTTTGTCCCCTTTGAATGTCTTTTTCAATTTACTGAAGAATTTACCTTCCGAACTCATGTTTCAATTCTGTTTAATGCAATGATATGTGTAACCTTGATTTTTCCTGACAACAGAGGTGTGAAACACAATTGGCTGAAATTGAGTATGTTTTGTTTTAAATTGGTTATGTGATTAGCGTATAGTCTCTTCTATGCTACTGAAGAGTGGGTAAAATGTGAAGTTTAAAAATGCAATTGGGAAAAAAGCAAGTTGGAAATAGCAATTGGAAGAGCAATTGATGATTCTTTTATAGTTGTAGTAGTGAAATAATGCTTGTGTTTAATGTGTGGCTTATTTTTCAAACAATAGAGAGGGGATGGAGAGTAGAGTAAAGTAGAGTTATAAGAGTAGTAAAATAAAATATAGCAATCTAAAAAAGAAAATGAAAAGAATAAAAATTATTATGCTTGTCCCAATTCCAAACTCCAACAACTTTGTATTTTATCTTTACACAAAAGTGAGGATTATCCTTTAGTCATCACTTTTTCAATTTCATCTTCTACAATTGAAATTCCATATAAACAAACACCTTAAACTTCTTCAGGGTGTAAAAGAGGTATATATATATATATATATAGCAACACATATACAAGTTGAGCCACGAGCAAACACTTTCGTACTAATATGCTTTAGAAACATCTCCACATGTGATTCTCTCTTCAATCAAACTCTGGCCAGAGGGAAAAAAAAATCAGTTTCCAGGAATAAAAAAGTAACCATTCTTGCACCTCCTTTTTTTTTTACCAAGTCCGGTTGAATTGATATGAGTTCTTGAATCACTTGGTGGCCTCTTTAAGAACGTGTTCTATAGCTCAGTCGTGCAAGTGTGACGTCGTTCCAAATACTTTTCTGACTTTTTAACGTTTGTTTGCTAAACGCCACAAAACAATTACTACGCGCATTGTCTTTTAATCTCTGGCAATCGAGAATCGAGAAATATATATACTGTGGAACACAAGTGCAATGTAAAGAAGTCGCTGCCTTGGTCTGAGGAGAAGAGTTGATAAGATTGTAAGGTGTTTTTTCCTTGCTTCATAGAGCTTATGGGGTGATTGGAAGTTGTGGAACTTTAACACACAAAAAATGTAGCCCAAAAACATCGTGAGGCGCAAATTATGTGGTCTGTCACCTTAACATTTCGGAGGATCAATATACTATTTACGGAATTTCCATGATGATGGCTATATTGTAAAAGTATTTAACATTTTTTCACTTCCTGAATGCTTACGACCCCGCAATTCACATCCGCAAAGAGATTTCCATTATTTATGGCTTTTGCAATGATACTAACCAGTAAATTGTTTACCACGGTAGCCAAATATCTATTTATGTGGTTTACAAAACAGTCACTAGTTGCTTGGATGAACCCCTGGCTGTAATCCGTCAAAGTTGTAGTGGAAGGCCAAAATATTGATGTCAGTTTTGTGATCGAAAGAACAATCTAATAGAATTATTTACGTCATAGTTTGTCAGACTTCTATTCTCATCTTGTGCGGCTCAAGGCAAGTGCAATATATCCAGCTTTTGCTCCATTCACTTGTTGGTTCCAACTGCAGTGAACCTAAATTAACCTCCGCTATTCCCAGATGCAAAATACAACAATACTCGCCTTGCCATTGGCTGTATCACTCCTAAACTTGTGCATATCTCCATGTTTTCTCATCTCTGAACGTAACATAGCCTATGGTGGATGATGTATCCATTACCTACTGATATAGAGAGAATTGAGCTCTAGTGCCACATCTGGTGACATTATTAAGATATATGTGGGATTGAATTAGTACTAGATAAGTTGGTTACTGTGGTGCTAACCTAGATACAAGATCGACAATTCTCACCCCAACAAACTCTTCCTGCATGCCTCGAAAAAGTCAACAGTAACTTTCACAAATGGTCAATATTGTACAAATATCACTCCAAAATCGCAGGCGACAAGCCAGCCTCCATGTACAATGAGAACCATATCATCGGCTAAAAACACTTAACCTGTTTAGTCACTCTCAAAATGGCGGTTAGAAACCTGAATAAATTGGTTTTGACCGTTCCGGGGACCACTTTGCAATTGCGCACCGTTTTGGGCTTTGTAAAGCTTTTATATGGGACAAATCCAACAACACACCAAGGAATTAGGATTTCAATGGTGACATAGTCTATTAGCTATATTGGGGAACCTTGTTACTTTTGTTGTATATCAAGCGGGTTACTAGCCACTCCAAACTTTCCTTCAACCCTTGGTTTTCCAACACACTAACAGGCAATAGTTTCGAATCAGTGGCTTCCAACTCGCTCACCAATTTAATAAACACACCCGTCTTCAAACTCACCAAATCAACAGCTTGAGGCAAATCTTGCTTATTTGCAAGCATTAGAATAGGAACATTCACAGTGCCGTCCAATCCTATACTTTGTTCCTGATCGAGATTGGATTCTCCACTGTCATTTTCTCCCCCTAAAAGCCAACTATCATCATGGGCTATTTCAATTAAAGTTTCATAACATTCTTGAAATCGTTCAGTATCAGTGGAGTCAATAATGAATATTATGCCATGACATTGCTTAAAATATCTCGACCACATGTTTCGCAACGATCTTTGCCCCCCTAGATCCCAAAATTTTAAATTGATATTTTTAAACTGCGATGCAAAAGGTGACAGTTTATCGGAAGCTTCGAACTTAATTGTGGTAGTATTCTGGCCCACTGTCGGCAAGATTCGTTTTGACTTTAAGATCGACGTTGTTGATCGCTGAGCGCCTCCCTCAGTGCTGTTATTATCATTGGAGTCTCCACTGCTACCGTTATTCATATTAGCAGTTAAACTGTGCGATTTCTTTTCGGAGGAGGATGCAGTGGCTGACGGGTATAGTAGTTTTATGTGCTCGAGAAACGACGTTTTCCCGGCATTGTCTAACCCAAGGATAAGGACATTATATTGCTCTCGTTTGGTGTATTGAGTGTATAAAGATGACGCTAGATGAAACATTGAGTGAAAGTCGGCTTATAGTAAGGGAGGAGGGAGGAGGAGGAGGGGCGATGTTGTCGCTATACTATCAGTGGGTGGTCTATGTATCTACGAATCTGGGAACTTAACTTTTTTTTTCTTCTTCGTCTTCAACAGAACTGTAAACAGCCTCAACTATAAATAACTTTAAAAATTTTTTTCTATTCATTTTTCTTTTTCTTTTTAAGCCTTACATGAAACATTATGGCCTCATAAATGGTATGTGATATTCCCTTTTGGAAATGCATTTACATCCCATTGTTTTTATGATGAACAATTTGATAGGGACAACTGAGTTTACACGTTGACGATAGTTGTTTAAAAAGATAGTAGAAATAAACAGATCTGATTTTTTTCAACGAGATGAGATGCAGACGAATTGAGATTCCGGAATGTCATTTTTACTAACTATTTATTACAGTTTTGTTTAATCATTTAATTTGATTAAAAAATTCTACTTCCAGTCTATAAAATAAAACAGTATATTCTTTAGATGTTTTTCTTTGCATGGTTGGGTTTGCCAATGTACAAGTACGAAACAACAAAACTGAACCATGCAAGAATAACCAATACAGTGCTTGCAATGTATAGCCACGAGTTTGATAAATCCCATGATCTTTTGAACTCATCATTGGCTAAGTGCCTAACAGTGACAACCTTCTTGTCCAAGATGTAGCTCAATCCATTACGTTTATAGTCCAACTCAAATGTAAACATACCATGATGGTCAGGCACGGTAAAGTTGACAAAATATGCGTAAGCGTCCAATTCATCACTGTTTTCCGTGGAACTGACAGGACCTAACGGACTCAAGTTCAATCTTTGGTACGGGTCTAACATCTTGAACGATAACTGTAATTGTTCATCTTCGTTTTTAACCTCAAAGGGAACCCATTTACCGTCCTTGTATTCTGAAATTCCAATTGTGTAGATGGCCTGATCTTTGATTCTGTACAAATGTGGGTTCAAATTTTCTGGCTCATTAGCTTTAATATGTTGAGCAAATTGTAATTTGAGAACACCCGTGTCTTGGAAACTCCACTTGTACAAAGATTCATCAGCTAACAAATCAAGCGATCCTATCCAAACCAATCTAGCATTGTTCAATGCCTGGAAACCAACAGCTAAGAATCCTTGTTCCCCAAAAGTCCAGGTAAATTCATCACTCATTACTTGGCCTACTTTGTTGGTGTAACCAGTCTTTGACGATTTGAGTATAGGTTGAATCAATTCATTATTTGAAATCAACGCAGCATTTCCATTGGTGTATTCAACAGTGTTTAGTTTCTCCAATATTCTATTATTGCTAATCAAATTTTCATCTTTCAATTCAACGACTTCATTCTTGGAATTGAAATGATCGATATATTTATATCCCTTAGGAGCAGGATAAATTCCCAATTCGTTCAAGAAAGTTCTTATCCCCTCAGGCAATGCAGCATCAGATCCACCAACAGCTAAAATGTTGCCTCCTTCGTTAATGAATTTCAACAATTGATGTTGATTCAAACCAGATTTGGCACCAATGGCTTTCTTCAGCGAGGGAAGTAAAACTAAATGATCGAATCTAGGATAATCATCATAAAACAACAGTACTTCATTATCACTATAAGGACTAAGTGTAGTATCGTAATGTGTGTTTAAAAATGTCAAAAATTGATCAATTTCAGGGGATAGCGACGCAGTTGAGTCGTTTAAAGGAATCAATGCCGGATCGTACATGACCAAAGCAAAGTCTTTGCTTGTTACCGTAGATGCATTGGCAATGGCCAGTAAAAAGAATGCAAACGATATATAGATGAAAGACAACATGGTTTGAGTATGGTTTCAGAACACGTTCGTTGAAAGCCAATTTTTCAAAAAGTAGACACATATTCAACATTCTCGTGTCGAGCGGACAGAAGAAAGGAAAAAAATAACGAGTCTCTGTGTCGTGTAAAAAGTTGCGACATACGGTACATTCAAAATTTTCATACCACCATCGTAATCACGAAACAGCTACACACCGACAGCTTAAAGTAGCAATACAGAAATGGCTATCAAAATCAAAGTGGAGTTCCTTGGAGGACTCGATGTTATATCCTCATCTGTCAGAGAACATAAAGCTGTACTCCCATTCGATGAAGGCGAGGCTACTATGAAGGATGCTATTAAATATATTTGTGACAACATCATCACAGACCCAAAAGATATACCTGTTTTTATCGAGGACGATAGTGTACGGCCTGGGATTTTAGTGCTAATTAATGACACTGACTGGGAGTTGGAAGGTATGGATGATTATGTTGTTGAAAGTGGAGATGTCTTGACTTTTACAAGCACGTTGCACGGTGGTTAATTGGAAAAGAGCTGCTTCACCGATTTGGAGGAAACAAGGCATTACAAACAAAGATGTCATGCTTTGGATCTATTCAAGTACAACAAGAAGACTCTCTCTGAGATCGAAAGCATCTGAGAGCTAGCTTTAGGCTGTTGAAATTATCGTTAAACAGTTGAACACAGGTCAATAGATAGAATACTATACAGCCACAGAACGACATTCAATAGATTGACTACGGCGTTTTCTCTCCAATTCCAAGAGTTAGATACAACTAAGTTATGTTTCTACCTGGCCGAACTTGTTGTGACCCTTTGTTTCAGTTCAAATATAAAAGAAACTCCCCCAATTATTAGCTGCTCCGTTAAAGGAAGGCTATTACAGCCATGTCACTCTTGGCGGACACACCTGAAGTCAGTGATCCGGGCATTTTTTTAGGATGCAACATCGGTCAAATGGAGGAAGGCCGATAATCAATGAGATTAAACTCCTAAGACAAGATCACGACACTTCCCTATGTCAAACTTAGCTACATCCAGTCTTTTCAAGTACCATAGAAATCGGTCCAGTTCCTTTAAATAAATATTACAAAGGTACTATACGACATCCAATACCTTTACCATCCCATGTCGCACTGGTGTCAAGAATTAGATTCAAGGTCTCACCACTACGCTTGATAGATAACTGCAACTTCTCACCAGGTTTAGCTCTTACTCTTTCAACCAATTTGGATAATTTATTATGGTTCAATGCATGAATATCGTTATCAAAAATCACAATCAAATCACCTTCTCTTAAGCCTGCAGTCTCGGCAGGGCCACCAGGAATGATTTCCTTTACTTGAGCGAAAGGAATCATTGGCTTTGACTGACTCAGCCTTGATTGATCTTGATCATGATTATCACCCACTTCTGCTTTCCTCTTTGCAAATTCCTCTTCCATTTTTGAATCTAACACCTTTAGCAACTCTTTATAGTCATTCTTCAATCGAATGATTTGCACTCGGATTAATCGAATTGTAACAACATCAATATCGCTTCTAGGAAACCCGTCTGTAGTGACTAAGCTTGTTTCCATATTAGCCCCATACTTTTGCAGTAGCAAATCGAATAATATCTTCAATTGAGATTCAATTTCAAGTTTTAAATTCAGAAGTTGTTGGAAATTGTACGTCCGGAAATTGGACGGATCGTATTCCTTAAATTGGTCAGAGTCCAAGTTTAGTGATCTCATCAATCCCTGAAAGCCAGCAACGTCATGGTCGTCAACTGTCATTGTAATTGTCTTGCAAATGGTGCTAAAGGAGGGCAAAAGTATTAAGTTTTTCTCTTTGCAATATGTGCGTCCTCAAACCTCCCTCATTCCAGTAAAAGCTCTATCAAATAATGCCTAAAACAATCCCACAGATATTAGACCTAGACTCGTCATCAACATCATTAAACTCTGTGGAATCAACAGAAGGCTCGTCCCGTATGGCATCTAC